CTTGTAAAAGAATGGGTCAGTTTAAAGAGCTCACTGAACTTGAGCGTGGTGCTGTAATAGGATGCAACACATCAGTTCATGAAATGTCTTCCCTCCTAGATGTTCCACAATTAACTGTGAGGGGTATTATTAAAAAGTGGAAGCATTTAGGAACCACAGCAACTCAGAAAGTGTCAGATCACCTGAAGTTACAGAGCGGGTCACTGAGTGCTGAGGAGTATAGTGCTTAAAAGTCTCCAACACTCTGCTGACTCAATAACTGCAGAGTTCAAACCTCCTCTGGCATCAACATCAGCACAAACACTGTGCGCCGGGAGCTTCACGGCAGGGTTTCCATGGCCGAGCAGCTGCATGCAAACCTTACATCACCAAGCACAATGCCAAGCATCAGATGGAGTGGTGTAAAGTGCCACCACTGGACTCTGGATCAGTGGAAACGTGTTCTGTGGAGTGACGAATCAGCTTCTCTATCTGTCAGTCTGATGGACGAACCTGGGTTTGGCGAATGCCAGGAGAACGTTACCTGCCTGACTGCACTGTGCCAGCTGTAAAGTTTGGTGGAGGAGGGATGATGCTATGGGGTTGTTTTTTCAGGGGTTGGTCTGTCTAGAATCCTTAGTTCCAGTGAAGGGAAATCTTAATGCTTCAGCACCAACACATTTTGGACAATTGTACGCTTCCAACTTTGTGGGAACAGTTTGGGGAAGAACCTTTTCTGTTCCAGCATGACTGAGCCCCAGTGCACAAAGCTGCACCATAAAGGCCTGGCTGGGTTAGTTTGGTGTGGTAGAAGTTGACTGGCCCTCACAAAGTCCTGCCCTCAACCCCATCAAACACCTTTAGGATGAACTAGAACGAAGATTGAGGCCCTCTCATCGAACTTCAGTGTCTGACCTCACAAAAAATTCCCTCTCCAAAATCTTGTAGAAAGCTTCCCAGAAGAGTGGAAGCTGTTAGAGCTACAAAGGGGGACCAAATCCATATAAATGTCCATGGGATTTAGAATAGGATTCATAAAAGCTCCTGTAGGTGTGATGTGTAGGTGTCCCAATACTTTTGTTCATATAGTGTACCCCCTGGTCCCATGATGACTGGCTACTCCAGCGTTGACTGGCTGCTAACTCACTTGCATAGCAGCGCTGATGCTTTAATGGCAGCAAAATGTTTAGTTTAAGTTCTTCTTCTGTAAAGTCTCTGTCCTAATGTGGTTCTTCCTCGTGAGCTCTTCCTCGTCTCCTCTTCTGTCTTCAGCTTGAGAAATGGGTGACAATTCACTCTTTACACCAAACTCTTGGGAGATTGGGCAAGTTTTCAGATTTACAAATATGCTTTGGCATTTTTCACAGGTATCTCAGGCATAGTCACAATTGCTAGGCTACAGAGGACCAACTGGGTGAACCAGCCTGTTACAGCGCCACCCTGAGGCAGAGCAGTGCTACCAAAGACAGAAGCTCACCAATTGTGGGTGAAGCTGCTAAACAATGACCTTTCCCTGTATTTGAATTAGATCATCTGTTTCAATTTATTTTCAGGGACCCTTCAGAATTTTGCTTATGGGATATTCAGGGGGTCCAAGCAGTTATTTAGGGAATCCTGGACCCCCCAGGTCCCCAGTGTATTTCACACTGTGGTTATACCATTTGTTTTTGTGTGCAGTTGGACAAATGTAGCAACTTAATGGTCTATTTAATGAAGCAGTTTCGACTTAGAGTTTCAGTTTCACGAACCAACAAACACAGACACGGTTAACTCGATTTACAACAGCAATCTCTTAATCCAGGTTTAGATAATCAGACTGTGATTATTTCAGGTTTGGATTCTCAGACTCTGATTAATCCAGGTTTGGATACTGAGACTGTGATTAATCCAGGTTTGGATACTGAGACTGTGATTAATCCAAGTTTAAATACTCAGACTGTGATTAATCCAGGTTTAGATACTGAGACTGTGATTAATCCGAGTTTAAATACTCAGACTGTGATTAATCCAGGTTTAAATACTGAGACTGTGATTAATCCAAGTTTAAATACTCAGACAGTGATTAATGCAGGTTTAGATACTGAGACTGTGATTAATCCAGGTTTAGATACTGAGACTGTGATTAATCCAAGTTTAAATACTCAGACTGTGATTAATCCAGGTTTAGATACTCAGACTGTGATTAATGCAGGTTTAGATACTGAGACTGTGATTAATCCAGGTTTAGATACTGAGACTGTGATTAATCCAGGTTTAGATACTGAGGTAGGAGACAACAAATATCCCACAAGTGTTGACTGCTTTTAGGTCAGAATTTTCTCAGAACTATCAGTGGCGAAACAGTCAGTGAATTCATAACCATTTCATGTAGTAACTCTCTGTGAGGGAGCTTTTAGAGGTGGACGTCTGGTTCCTATCACCACCACTGTGAACAGTTCTGACTCGGTAAATTTCTCTAGAACGGAGCGTTTCACACCAAACCACTCTGAATGGCTCTGTTTACGTCTTAACCATTTAATTCTGCAGTTATTTTGAAATAATTCAGTCAAGTGTGATGCATTTTATGTATGTGATGCATATGTTTACATAAGTAATTAACTACTTTTGGTTGATTTTCAGGCACTCTGAAAGCCTAAAGTGAAGTAATAGTCAGTCAAGTTGGTTAAATAATAAATAAATTCACTAAGTTCTCTACAGATGTTCCTATACAAATGTTTGTTGCTTACATAAAGACACAGTAACATCTTCCAGGATCAATAAACAAAACCAATGTCTGTCATTTGAGGTAACAATGATTACACATGATTATACATTATGTGTGTCCACTTGTTTTGTGGTTCCTTTTTGGGATGACATGCTGAATAGTACAACATTTAAAGGGTCCATATCCTACTTTGGTGACACTTTAAGTGTCCTTTTTAGACAAAACAAACACTCAACAGACTCTCAGTAACATGTCAAAAACGTAAGAGGGTTAGGATTAGGGCCAGGGTGACGGTTAGGATTAGGTTTTGGGTTAAGGTTAAGATTACGGTTAGGATTAGGGCCAGGGTGAGGGTTAGGATAAGGTTTTGGGTTGAGGTTAAGGTTAGGATTAGGATTGGGCCCAGGGTGGGGGTTAGGTGTTGGATAAGGTTGGTAAGGTTGGGCGTAATTGAAGTAACATATTAACAACACGTCTACTTAATGTAAGTAATGTATCAACAGAACATCTACAAGATATTCACTTCAGTGTATTCAGATGCTTCACTACTGCTACTTCACTGATATGTTGTTGATGTGTTACTGATAATCTGTTAAGGGTTTATTATTCCTCTACAAAGGTCTACTCCAAATAAAGTGTTACCCCCAATTTTCCCTGAGGTCCACAGTCATGTCACAGTCATTTTCACATTTTCTAACCTCTAGTAAAATAAAACAGGCTGTTTGTGTTACTGCGCCTTTAAGACTGATATATGTAAAAGAGTTCTGTTCTGATTGGCTGCCTCATATTGTGTCTTATTCAGAAAGCAGTCCTAACTGAAACACTGCTTATAACTTTAGTGTGAATAGGCATAGGCTAAATGTGTGGCTGTATGACATCACGAAAAACAATAAATTCAACAACCAGTTCCGTTTCCACTATTTCAGGGCCCTGTAATGTTTTGAGGAATCATCCCAGCTGAGAACAAAACTCATAAATTTGAGAATAATGAGAACTAAATCAGTTTGCGAGAGCCGCAGGAGTTCAGGTCAGTCTCATATCTGTATGTGTTATTTGTCAGCTCTGCATGAAGAGGTGGAAGTTGGTTCTGGTGAACTCCTGGTGGATGGTGTCGATCAGCAGGTCCGAGCTGGCGGTTCTCTCAGTCAGTGAATTCATAACCATTTCATGTAGTAACTCTCTGTGAGGGAGCTTTTAGAGGTGGACGTCTGGTTCCTATCACCACCACTGTGAACAATTCTGACTCGGTAAATTTCTCTAGAACGGAGCGTTTCACACCAAACCACTCTGAATGGCTCTGTTTACGTCTTAACCATTTCATTCTGCAGTTATTTTGAAATAATTCAGTCAAGTGTGAAGCATTTTATGTATGTGATGCATATGTTTACATAAGTAATTAACTACTTTTGGTTGATTTTCAGGCACTCTGAAAGCCTAAAGTGAAATAATAGTCAGTCAAGTTGGTTAAATAATAAATAAATTCACTAAGTTCTCTACAGATGTTCCTATACAAATGTTTGTTGCTTACATAAAGACACAGTAACATCTTCCAGGATCAATAAACAAAACCAATGTCTGTCATTTGAGGTAACAATGATTACACATGATTATACATTATGTGTGTCCACTTGTTTTGTGGTTCCTTTTTGGGATGACATGCTGAATAGTACAACATTTAAAGGGTCCATATCCTACTTTGGTGACACTTTGAGTGGTCCTTTTTAGACAAAACAAACACTCAACAGACTCTCAGTAACATGTCAAAAACATAAGAGGGTTAGAATTAGGGCCAGGGTGACGGTTAGGATTAGGTTTTGGGTTAAGGTTAAGATTACGGTTAGGATTAGGGCTAGGGTGAGGGTTAGGATTAGGTTTTGGGTTAAGGTTAAGATTACGGTTAGGATTAGGGCCAGGGTGAGGGTTAGGATAAGGTTTTGGGTTGAGGTTAAGGTTAGGATTAGGATTGGGCCCAGGGTGGGGGTTAGGTGTTGGATAAGGTTGGTAAGGTTGGGCGTAATTGAAGTAACATATTAACAACACGTCTGCTTAATGTAAGTAATGTATCAACAGAACATCTACAAGATATTTACTTCAGTGTATTCAGATGCTTCACTACTGCTACTTCACTGATATGTTGTTGATGTGTTACTGATAATCTGTTAAGGGTTTATTATTCCTCTACAAAGTTCTACTCCAAATAAAGTGTTACCCCCAATTTTCCCTGAGGTCCACAGTCATGTCACAGTCATTTTCACATTTTCTAACCTCTAGTAAAATAAAACAGGCTGTTTGTGTTACTGCGCCTTTAAGACTGATATATGTAAAAGAGTTCTGTTCTGATTGGCTGCCTCATATTGTGTCTTATTCAGAAAGCAGTCCTAACTGAAACACTGCTTATAACTTTAGTGTGAATAGGCATAGGCTAAATGTGTGGCTGTATGACATCACGAAAAACAATAAATTCAACAACCAGTTCCGTTTCCACTATTTGAGGGCCCTGTAATGTTTTGAGGAATCATCCCAGCTGAGAACAAAACTCATAAATTTGAGAATAATGAGAACTAAATCAGTTTGCGAGAGCCGCAGGAGTTCAGGTCAGTCTCATATCTGTATGTGTTATTTGTCAGCTCTGCATGAAGAGGTGGAAGTTGGTTCTGGTGAACTCCTGGTGGATGGTGTCGATCAGCAGGTCCGAGCTGGCGGTTCTCTCAGTCAGTGAATTCATAACCATTTCATGTAGTAACTCTCTGTGAGGGAGCTTTTAGAGGTGGACGTCTGGTTCCTATCACCACCACTGTGAACAATTCTGACTCGGTAAATTTCTCTAGAACGGAGCGTTTCACACCAAACCACTCTGAATGGCTCTGTTTACGTCTTAACCATTTCATTCTGCAGTTATTTTGAAATAATTCAGTCAAGTGTGAAGCATTTTATGTATGTGATGCATATGTTTACATAAGTAATTAACTACTTTTGGTTGATTTTCAGGCACTCTGAAAGCCTAAAGTGAAATAATAGTCAGTCAAGTTGGTTAAATAATAAATAAATTCACTAAGTTCTCTACAGATGTTCCTATACAAATGTTTGTTGCTTACATAAAGACACAGTAACATCTTCCAGGATCAATAAACAAAACCAATGTCTGTCATTTGAGGTAACAATGATTACACATGATTATACATTATGTGTGTCCACTTGTTTTGTGGTTCCTTTTTGGGATGACCTGCTGAATAGTACAACATTTAAAGGGTCCATATCCTACTTTGGTGACACTTTGAGTGGTCCTTTTTAGACAAAACAAACACTCAACCGACTCTCAGTAACATGTCAAAAACATAAGAGGGTTAGAATTAGGGCCAGGGTGACGGTTAGGATTAGGTTTTGGGTTAAGGTTAAGATTACGGTTAGGATTAGGGCTAGGGTGAGGGTTAGGATTAGGTTTTGGGTTAAGGTTAAGATTACGGTTAGGATTAGGGCCAGGGTGAGGGTTCGGTTAAGGTTTTGGGTTGAGGTTAAGGTTAGGATTAGGATTGGGCCCAGGGTGAGGGTTAGGTGTTGGATAAGGTTGGTAAGGTTGGGCGTAATTGAAGTAACATATTAACAACACGTCTACTTAATGTAAGTAATGTATCAACAGAACATCTACAAGATATTTACTTCAGCGTATTCGGATGCTTCACTACTGCTACTTCACTGATATGTTGTTGATGTGTTACTGATAATCTGTTAAGGGTTTATTATTCCTCTACAAAGGTCTACTCCAAATAAAGTGTTACCCCCAGTTTTCCCTGAGGTCCACAGTCATGTCACAGTCATTTTCACATTTTCTAACCTCTAGTAAAATAAAACAGGCTGTTTGTGTTACTGCGCCTTTAAGACTGATATATGTAAAAGAGTTCTGATTGGCTGCCTCATATTGTGTCTTATTCAGAAAGCAGTCCTAACTGAAACACTGCTTATAACTTTAGTGTGAATAGGCATAGGCTAAATGTGTGGACGTATGACATCACGAAAAACAATAAATTCAACAACCAGTTCCGTTTCCACTATTTCAGGGCCCTGTAATGTTTTGAGGAATCATCCCAGCTGAGAACAAAACTCATAAATTTGAGAATAATGAGAACTAAATCAGTTTGCGAGAGCCGCAGGAGTTCAGGTCAGTCTCATATCTGTATGTGTTATTTGTCAGCTCTGCATGAAGAGGTGGAAGTTGGTTCTGGTGAACTCCTGGTGGATGGTGTCGATCAGCAGGTCCGAGCTGGCGGTTCTCTCAGTAGAAGCGCACGGCTGAGAGGACGCGCTGTGCTCTGGTGTGTAGGTGAACGTGAACGAGCTTCGGTAGATCAGTCCGTCCAGCCGGATCAGAGATAAGGGGACAGTGATGGGCTGCCTGAGCCACTTCCACTCTCCGCTGAAGACTGAAATATCAGGGACGACACACAGCAAAGACCTGGGACTCCTGCAGGAGGTGGAAGAGGAGCACATGTTGTGTGTGCACTGCAAAAAATGGTATCTTGTCAAGTAATATTATCTTAAACACCTTAACTCAATAATTAGGTGTGTCCCAACACTTTTGTCTATATAGTGTACCTTAACTCAGTTTGGCTTTGTTTTTCTGATATATCTTCTGATAACTAGTGAAAAAACTAGTTTTGTTGTCTGTTTTGTGCTGAATTAAGATAAAATAGCTATTTTTTATGCTTTCAAATTTTGTGTTGAGGTTAAATTTAGGGTTGGGATTAGGGACAGGGTTAGGATTAGGTTTTAGGTTGAGGTTAAGGTTAGGGTTAGGATTAGGGCCAGGGTGAGGGTTAGGATTAGATTTTGTGTTGAGGTTAAGGTTAGAGTTAGGATTAGGGCCAGGGTGAGGGTTAGGATTAGGTTTTGGGTTGAGGTTAAGGTTAGGGTTAGGATTAGTGCCAGAGTGAGGGTTAGGATTAGGTTTTGGGCTGAGTTTAAGGTAAGGCTTCTTTTCTCTGACTATACGGTTTAAAAACTAGTTTTGTTGTCTGCTTTGTGCTGAATTACGATAAAATAGCTCATTTTTATGCTTTTGTTTGACGACTGAGGTAAGAGTTTTGCTAAGGCAAGCTTGTTTGTATTTATTACCTCGGTGGCTAGTAGTAGGATTGGTGGAGACAGCAGAGATTCCCAGTGATTGTATGATGTGTTTGTGTATTTTCTGGGTACGACTACTGGGTATTGTAGTCAGAGAATGTTGATGAAAAAAAACATGAAAATGATATGAAATTGTGAATTTGTCAAACCAATGAAGCTGAGGGATACACTACAAAATATCGAAATATTACATAACACAGCAAATGACATATTCAGCTCTATTTTTTTGCCAAAAGCCAAAGCTTACAAACCTATGTCTCACAATGTATTGTTTATTTGTATTATTTCTAAGTTTTTTGTTGTCTGTTTGAACAAATAAATGCCAGATAAACAGCTTTACATGTCATTTTCTCACATGTCTATCATACGTGATCAGTACATGATCTTCTGGCAGTGGCATCTGAAAAGAATGCACTCCCAGTTCACCTTTATGACATTGTGTTTTGGGTATAATTTAGAAAAGGATGCAGCTTTTTATTACAGCCACATTCTTACACGCATAACACAGATGTCAGAACTATTTATCATCCCGACATCCTGTGGTTTACAAAAGATGAGAGGAAGCCTCAAAGGTCATTTCCAGCTTTGCCTGGAGCCAATCAGGAAACGGGAGATTTGTGCTAACAAGAGAAGACTGTTTGTGTTTATACCTGCTGCGCACTTATAAAGTCTCTATGATAAGAGCAGAGAATTTTACAGCCCAATGTTCAGTTTAGCAGAAAATAAGAACAGACTTCTGTCAGCAGTGGCGTTCCAGATTTTTTGAATAACACTTTACCTGAACATAGTTTCAGCCTCCATGTTCCCAAACCAGACCTTCAGGTGAGGACCAAAGTTTTCTCCATGCAGCTCTAACATGGCCACATGACCTCCTCCATTTAACTACATCAGAAAAGAAGCCAAATCAGACAAAGTTCTGCACAACACTTACTAACACAGTACTGTACAAAGTCAGACCACCCTTCATTTATTTAATTTTCAGTTAAAATGACCATTAAGTAACAAGTTATTCATTTCTCAAGAGATATTCTGAGGAGATTAGATAAAAAATAATCCACTTGCATAAGGGAAATATGTCAAAGTGAAAAAAACAGGAGATTTTCTAAAACTGGAGTTCAAAAAATGATTAGAAGCCACAGAGAAAATGAGTCTCCTAACAACCACCTGGAAGACCTGGCAGACACCAAAACTGCCCCCTTCAGATAAACAGCACTTAAAGCTTTGATCTCTGAGAGAGAGGAGAAAATCAAGCTGCTTCAGATCTGAAAACATCCACAGGTGTTTCTGTCCATCCTTCCACTGTGAGAAGACGACTCAGTGCTGTGGGTCTGAAAGGATGTGTAGCTGTCAAGAAGAACCTCACTGAGAAAAGGAGACGGACACATCAAACAAAGAAGCTGAACGATGGACTGACCACCCCAGAGTCCAGACCTCAACATCACTGAATGGGTTTGGATTTCTTGGATTGTGAGAAGCAGAAAGTGCAAAGACTGAAAAAAATATCCCTGTTGTTTTCTTTGAAAGGGTGGTTTCTGACTTTTGCACAGCACTGCAGCAAATTTACATGCTCAAATTCTAGTGTGAGTCACAGCTGCATCGTACTACCAAACGTACTGAAGCACTGTTACAAAAGTGATGTTTCCAAGATGAATATACATTAATTTCACTTTAAAGAGATGTGTAAGTTAAAGGGTGGGGTTCCAGACACTGCAGAATAACAAAAAGTAGCTTTCAGCCAGGGATAATTACAGGGTGCCGTTCAGGGATAACGTCAGTATGCGCAGTTGTGGTACTGCTGAAGATACCAAAACCAACAACATCTTGAACAAATGAAAGACTGAAAGTGATACTGCTGTGAAGAAAAGAGTAAGTCAGCAAAAAAGGCACTGACCAAAGATGATGCTCAATGTTGCGTTAATAAAGGAGGCGTTGGAGGCCTTTCCATCTTTAGAAACTGGTGCAGGGTCTTCCACAATGCATTAAAGGGGAACTCCACCGATTTCGCAAAATTACTCAATCATTCAGTGGTTTAGATGTAAACAAAAATCATGCAGATTGGTTCAGGCTGAAAAATGCATTTCTAGAGAAATTTACCGAGTCAGAATTGTTCACCATTATAGCACTAGGAACCAGGCATCCAAAGCATTTAATAATCTGCCAGCACCGAAGCAGAACAACGCAGGGCGAATGGAAAGTGATGGTGTCAACAACAAACTACTTGCTACTCTGCTCACCAATTTATGAGGTAGGATAGCGATGTAGTGTTGGGACCAAAGGCTATCCCCTTCATCGCCAGGCCTCCAACATAATATTATTAAAAAAGAAAACTGTTTTAAGTCTAAGTTCTCAAAAGATGTCAAAAAGAAAAAAGCCTTCAGATGCTGAGTTTGCAGAAAGACAGAAAAAGGCTTCTTCTTTATTCCAGCATCAGATGGCACGCCTGTCTCGAGAGACCGAACTGTGCAATATAGTGTCAGAACAATGCCTTATATACCCTTATCTGGGGTGTTATGATGTCACCTCAAACTTGATATTCCATTAGTCTCTATACAAAACTTCATCATCACTTGGCCTCTCAAGTTCACTGCGGACAACACTTGTTTTTTAAAAAAAGCTGGTTTCAGCCAGTTTGTACCAGTTTATCTCATCCTACAAGGCCCTACTGAACCATATATCATATGGACTCATATGGATTCACAAGTGTTCACTTTTATGCACTTGCAAGTAAGGTCATCTAAGTTCATTTGCTTTTGGAAAGCACCCAAACTGGCAGACTATGGCCTAATGCTTCCTATATTAACTCTTAGTGAGAAGTTAATATTCCCTTTTAGTCAAGGATTAACTATTTGATTACATGTCTATTCTATTTACTTATTGATTAAGGGTGTATTTATTCAAAACCTTCCATCAGTAGACAGTTACTTTATTGCGTAGCCTACGTTAGACAGTCGGTTGTAAGCTAAAGGCTAACACTGATATATGTACAGTGGCTGACGACGACTGATTTATTTCACTCACAAATGTTTCTTACTTTGAATCCAGTTTCTCTGGTGGAAAATACAACAGAGGGAACAGCCATTTTCTTTAGCAGCCGCATTTGAAGAAATCTGTTTTGCATTTTTTCACTGGTCTTGAGTAACGTTAGTCTTCATCGGTAAAGTTGTTCAACTTTCTTATTTGTGTGTAGCTTCAAAACAATCAGCCACAAAAGGCACCGTACTGTATTTTCTCCATTTATTTTTGCAGGGTGGAGAGGTACATGCAGGGCGTCGTAAGGAAAAAATAGAACCCAAAGAAAGTATATATTTTTAATTTAGCACTATTTTATCATTATCAGCGTGACATATAAAACCGTATAAGACACTGTAAGTTCACTGGTCATTTTGAATTGCACATAAAATGGTGATATTTGTAGTGTAGATATAATGACGTCTGGTTCCTAGTACTACAATGGTGAACAATCTTGACTCAGCAAAATTCTCTAGAAAGGCACATTTCACACCAAACCACTGATGGATTTTGTTTACATCTAAACGATTGAATGATGAAGTAATTTTGCAAAATTGGTGGAGTTCCCCTTTAATGCAGTATTTGGGTTAAAGGTGAATCTATACATTTTTACATGACTACATGTGTCACAATATGGTAATAATCCAAAATAATGCTAGCAAAGCAGCACAATCTGGAAGAGTCAACAAATTGCCCAAGCCAGTCTGAAAAATCATTTATTGTAATGCTTAATGCTTAATTAATTAATCACAATCAGCTTAATTAGTTGTTTCTGACCTCCAGTCCGTTAATGACAGGCACTGGGCTGATGGTGGTTGGGCTACAGGCGAGGCTCTCACTGAACGTGTACTCCACGACCTCCGTACCAATTATGGTCCAACACGAGCCATCATTCAGCAGCTCTCGACTGCTCTCCTTTGGGCATGGAGAGGCCTGGAGGAACACAGCAGTGAACTGATATCACATCCCTTCATAGAGATATGACACTGTACACTTTAGTAAAAAAAATGGTTCTATAAAGAACCATGAATGATCAAAGAACCCTTTGCATGATTAAAGGGTTCTTTGCATCATGAAAGCGTTCTTCAGATTGATGGAGAATGTGCTGTACATGGTTCTGTATAGAACCTTTTTTAAAATGGTTCTAGACAGCACCAAAAAGTTCCTCTATTGTTACAATGTCAAGCCTATAACAATAGAAGAACCCTTTTTGGTGCTATATATTTATATATATATATATAAACATTTCAATAAGATTCTATATAGAAACACATTAAAAAACATTCTCCATCAATCTGAAAAATGCTTTAATCATGCAAAGAGTTCTTTGGGTGTTCATGGTTCTATAAAGAACCACTTTATTTAAAGAACCCTTGAAGAAGTGTGCAGTCTGTAAGTATGGCTGCCTTCTTCGCTCAGGAAACATGCAGAACAAACTTGAACATCAGTTGTTGGAAAATCATCTCAATCTTAAACTATAATGGTCACATTTTGCCAAAAATCAAAGGTTATTATGAAATGGTTATGAATATGCTGCCTGATATCTGAGATATTGTTTTACGATTTGGAGGTTTTGGATTATTTTGGATTATTATTTGGTATTTCTGATGATCCATCCCTATTTGTAATGAGTTCTTTGGGGATCTAAATTAAAATATACGCAGTAAGTACAAATCTTCCAAAATGATACTTAAGTACAAATTTTCCAAAATGATACTTAAGTATAGTAACAGAAGTACAATAACTTTTCAGAAAAGTTTTACATTCCATCCTTGTCCTTCCTACACATTGATGATGGCCTTCAAACCATTCATTTTCTGTGAAATATGAAGGCTTGTTCTGTCACATTATTACATCCAAAGTAACAGATGCCAACATGTTATTATGTCAATAGACAGGAAACATATTCTTACTGAACACTGAGAACTAAATATTTATATATACAAACTATACAGACTACAATGCTTTAAATATTAAGCAAAAATCCTGGCAAACACAAAAGTCAACGAAGCAACCCACGATTTATCCAAATTAGGTATTTAAAGCTGCACTATGTAAGACATTTGTTGTTAAAACTAAAAGAAGTGTCATTACTGAGTGAGGGGAATAAACACAGGCTAAAATGGGGGCAGTCATGGGCTGGAGGTTAGGGAACCAGCCTCGTGACCGCCGGTTTGATCCCGTGAGCCGACAGTATGTGACTGAAGTGCCCTTGAGCAAGACAGCTAACCCAACTGCTCCCCGTGTGCTGCGGATAGGGCTGCCCACCCCTCCGGGCGGGTGTGCTCACTGCCCCCTTGTGTGCGTGTTCACTAGTGTGTATGTGGTGTTTCACTGCACGGACTGGTTAGAATGCAGAGGTGAATTTCCCCATTGTGGGACTAATAAGAGTCACTTACTCTTAATCTTAAATATGGTGAGGGTGCGTTGCTGTGAGTCGCCCTGTAAAGCCTGAAATAATCATTTAAAACTCACAGGCGTCGGCTCTGGAGTTTTTCACAGCACATCACACATCTGTATGTATTAACATCACATGGACAGCCTCAAAAAAAAAGGTCCAGCTCGATGTTTAGGTCTCAATTAATCTCAAAATCAACATTATATGGAAAAACATATGATGACATTATTAGATAATTCACTCACGTCCTCGGACGACGCGTCCTTCACCAAGTTTTGACTGAGTTCTCTTTGAATTCTCTTTGAACTTGCTCGGAGAAGGGGTTTGAAGCACAAGCCACATTACAGAATGTTTTTCTGCACATTTGGCGCAATTACACGTTTCCACCAGAGAGGTCTCCAAATCCCCAAAACTTATATAGTGCAGCTTTAGACGAGTATGAACACCTTCTATACAAAAGCTCCAGTCTAATGTAAAGTGTGGGTTTTTACCTGGTATTGTAAGATTTTTTCGTTGGAGATGCAGAGGTACATGTGCTTGCTGTCTCTGAACTGAAAGGCACATTTATGAAGCTGGGACACAGGCTCGTCCACATCTAGGCACGCGTGTTGCTTGTTCACCTTACGGATGACCTTAGAGAAAAACAAATGTTATTTAGTTAAAGCCAAGACATTCAGATCTTATTCAATAAACTGGATTAAATAATTAAGAAGTCAAAAGATTACTCTAAACCAGGTTAACTTGGCATAGGACTGGCTTAAAAGGGAATTACACCAATCACACCAGTTTTTGGGGGGGGGAAATGAATACAGTTTGGTAGAAAACTACAGGAAAACAAGAATTTAGTCTTTAATAAAGTGCTGAATTGTTCTTAATAGGACCAGGAACACAAACTAAGTAGATAAAGAAGATTAGTTTTGATTTCAGATGGACTTTAATTCATGTTAGCCTACACTATTATATAAGATTCAGGTCTGAAAACCTCTATATGCTTGACTTTCTTATTCAGGGACTGATGCATGTTCCTGAGTTCTGCTATGATCATTCACTGTCAGAAGAGATGATCATCTGAGAAACAGGAAGAGGGCAGGAAAAGCATCAAATGTGGATGGACTGTAAAACCTACCATGACCAACGACTTGAAAGGCCAATAAACTGTTCACAGTAGTGGGTATAAATGCTATCCACACTGGTGAAGCTCAAGAACAAAGCCCTTAAAAATACTGAAGCCTTTTTACATTTAGTTCAGTTCAGTTTGTTGGGAGCTGTGCTTCAGTAAAGGGGTAAAAACAAGTAAATAAAGCTGTTTCAGTCTTAACACATCCAGGTCCAATAATGAAATATAGCATGAGGAAAAATGCTGCAGACCATGTCCTTATTGGTATAAATTGATGAAATGTTGCATAATTTGGATGAACATCTAACAGAATATATATTCATGTGATAAACTCACTTTCAGTCATATGGTTTGGTCACTTATGGACCAAAATACATTTAATATTTGGAGATATGGACATTACTGGGTTAAAGAAAGCAGTGGAAGTGGTTTATGTAATGTGTAATGTGTACCATGGGAGGCAGTGCGACTCCTGAATCCGTGCACACAAGCTGAACCACACAACCATAACAGATATAACTGTCACACACAGAGTAATCACCATGGTCAGCCTGCTGATCCTCCGCTTCAGAAACAGAAAGACAGAAAGAGAGTGAGAGAGGAAGAAGAGAACAGGTTAACAATGTCCCAGATGCATACTTTTTTCAGGTACACACTCACACACGCACACACATATATGTGTGTGTGTGTATATACAAACATTAATATAGAAAAGCAGTAATGAAGAATTAACAAAAACGCCTTGTTTTCAAAATACATTTGAGATGTCAGAAGCACAGAAGTTTGATTCCAGGCTTCTCCTCTATTCCCCCAGTCATACGTCACATTTGTCAAATCCCATCAGCAGCACATCTGATTTAGCCAGTATTTATTCAAAGAAACAAATATTGGACGATAACTACAATCCATACTGGGCTTCTCAAGGAGATATTATATATACACTATATGGCCAAAAGTAACTGTTATCTTCACCTCCATTCTTCTGGAAAGGCTGTGTGTCTGTGGGAATTAGTGCCCATTCAGTCAAAAGAGCATTTGTGAGGTCAGACACTGATGTTGTTCCATAAAGACATCAAACCATGTCTTTATGGAGCTGCTTTGTGCACAGGGACTCAGTCATGCTGGAACAGGAAAGGCTCTTCCCTAAACTGCTGCCATAAAGCTGGAAGCATATAATTGTGTAAAATGTCTTTGTATGCTGTAGCATACAACCCCTTGGGCAGGGCTCTCCGGTGGGCATAAAGTTTTATTACACACTTCTATAATCTAAGAATAGCTCAGCCAGTTTGCATTGAAGTCCCTGTAGTTTTTGAATAATAAATCTTAGTATGTAATAAGCCTGGAATTTTAAGGGGGTATGATCACCCTTCATTGGAACTAAGGGGCCCAAACCCTGGAAAACAGCCCCAGCCCATTATCCCTCCTCCACCAAACTTTACTGTTGGCACTGCGCATTCTGGTAGGTAGCGTTCTCCTGGCATTCACCAAACCCAGATTCATCCATCAGACTGACAGATAGTGAAGCATGATTCATCACTCCAAAGTTTCATCTACTCCAGAGTCAGTGGCGCAGCTTTACACCACTCCAGCCGACACTTGGCATATATATGATTTTAGGCTTGTGTGCAGCTGCTTAGTTATGGAAAGCCATTTCATGAAGCTTCCAGTGTCCTTGTGCTGACGTTGCTTTCAGACGCAGTTTGGAAATTTTACATTTTGCAAAGGTGGCATCCTATGACAGTGGAACGTTTTAAGCTATGCCAGTGTTTGTCGATTGCATGGCTATGTGCTTGACTTTATTCACCTGTAATTAATGGGTGGGGCTGAAACACCTGAACACAAAAATTGGTGTGGTTATGGTGTCCCCATACTTTTGAAAGTAGTGCATATCTGAGAAAATGGTCTGTAAAGCCATCTGGACAATGAGCGTTCACTTGTTAAAAATATAATACAAAATTTAATAAATTAATTTTTAATAAAAAAAATTATATGTGATTGTTCTGTGCTTAATTTAACCATTTACAAATCCCTCCTGGAGGAAGTTCCGTATTACCATCCAGTGCCTAGTTTATCCAATCAATCCTTCATTAAATTAAATCAGGTGCTGCTGATGGAACTGAACAGACCCATGAAATAGACGGAGAGAAGCGAGAAGTCAGGAACCAAACCTGTGTTCTTGTAACTGGATTCTCCTAAACTACATTTCGCTGCTGTCAGAACAAAACCTCGTATCTCCAAAATGGTAACTTTACAGGAGAAGGAAAAAACATACTTTACTTTTAATGTAAGTCAATGGAACCAGATGTTTTCCAAGTCATTTTACGAATGAAATTTACAAATAACATAAAGGACAGCATGCATTTTTAAATTATGTCAAAAACTGAAAAATCAAAAAATTGAGATACGAGGTTTTCTTCCGACAGCAGCGATGTGCTAAAAACACAAACCTCTGACATTTTAGTTTATTTGCATTTATTCTACTATTATATTTTGTTCTTAATGGCAGAAAAACGTAAATATGTGAGAAAACCAGGTTCAAACAATTTTCTTGTCTGCCTAAGACTTTCCTTGAGCAGGAAAGATACAGAGATTACAAGACATTGCAAAAAAGCAGCAAACAGAAAAAGAGTAAGTAGCTTTAGTATGTAGATGATGATCGCTTGAAAGTTTGTTTGCAGACCTAGAATGACAGTAAAAGCGGTCCACTGTCTGGCGCTGGCGACAAAAGCTCCGCCCTCCACTGCGAGGTAACGCGTACTGACCGTCTGAGACCTCAAGCGGTTAAACAACGACACTCTTGAACCTGATGAAATGCACACTGAAAACACACACAGAAACACACAGCAGCAGAGTTAAACACACACAGAGGCAAACAGCAGCCGCTGACAGCCTGGCCCACACCAGCCTGCTCCCCTCTCACTCACAAATTCATCGCATTGTGTCCCTTTTCTGCTAGAAGGTGAGGAATTCAACGTCACTCCACTGTCCCCCAGAGGTCTGAGCGCTCCTTTCTTTTCCTGAGAGCCTCTCAGAGGGCAGGACAGCCAATGTCAACAAAACATGCTCCAACAGTATGTGTTTTAGGACCAAATGGTCAAAGGTCAAATGCTTGACCTCTCTGGGTCAGTTGGGTCTGACCAACTTTTTTTCTTTTTGAACAATTAGCAGAACTAACCCACTATTGGTTTGGAGCAGTAAGTGAGGGTTGAGGGTGACATTTGACCCAGAAAAACGCAGAAAGAAACAGCTGCTGAAGGAATATTACTTTCTGACCGTTCTCTATAATTTTTGGGTTCATTACTCTGGCAAAATTGGCTTTGGCTACAAACGCTTTCCAAATAGACATACAATCATAAACTGCAGCAGTATGAGGCTAATGATGCTCATACTTTGGATTAAATTGGGTAAAGTAGATTAAACATGAACTCTGTGGTCTTTTTAACTACCTTCTCTCGCAACCAGTATATCGCTGCTGTCGGAACAAAACCTCATATCTCCAAAATGGTAACTTTACAGGAGAGGGAAAAAACATACTTTACTTTTAATGTAAGTCAATGGAACCAGAATATTTTCCAAGTAATTTTGAGCTGTTTCTTTGGGCCCGTTCATCATGAAATTTACAAACAATGTAAAGATAAACAGGCATTTTCAAATCATGTCAAAAACTGAAAAACGACAAAAATGGAGATACAAGGTTTTGTTCCGACAGCGATAGTGATGTACAATTATAAATGAGGATGAACTCGTCTTCTTTGAGCTTTGGTGTTGGTAAAGAATCTTAGACAGCAAAATGGATGCTTGACCAAATCAAGCCTTACTCAAAGCCCAGATAACCAAATTAAAGCTCTTGTTTTGGATGTTTTATGGAAAGAATCTATTCATTGGAAAAGACCATTATAATTGGAACAGCTGAAGGTAAAAGAGGAAGAGCACGTCCAGCTACAAGATGGACTGAGACAATCAGAGGATTCATGAACCAGCCATTCAGAAGCCTGAAAACCCAAACATAAGACAAGATATTCTGGAAAAACTATCCATGGTCACCTGCAGTCAAAATTTACTTGACTGCATTCATAATAATAAAAATAATAATGCATTTTGTCAAAATGCATTTTTATTTCTTTCATAAAGTTGGCATTAAATCATTATATAGCACTAATATTCTCATTGCCCATGCTCATTGTCCATTTTATCAGCTCCACTTACTATATAGGTGCACTTTGTAGTTCTACAGTTACAGACTGTAGTCCATCTGTTTCTCTGCATACTTTGTTAGCCCCCTTTTAGCCTATTCTTCAGTGGTCAGGACCCCCATGGACCCTCACAGGGCAGGTACTATTTGGGTGGTGGATCATTCTCAGCACTGCAGCAACACTGACGTGGTGGTGGTGTGTTAGTGTGTGTTGTGCTGGTATGAGTGGATGAGTGTAGATACTATAATGTAGTTGTGATCATTACTACTTCATTTTCCACACATTCACGCTGACTTACGGTCTGCGTTCTTCATGGACTGTCTCTTCTGAGATGGTTTGGAGATGACTTTAATGAGTCCACTCTGGAAAGAGCCGATCTCCTGCCCTCCACTGTGGAACAGGCGAAGCAGCAAACGGAAGTGCTTGCGCTTGTCCGTGTCTGAGATGTACAGAGTCTTAGCACAGGCGAACATCTGAGATCACGACAAAGATAGAAAAGAAAGTATTAACAAAGCTCAACAAGACAACTACACAAAATAACAAAATAATAATTAATTCTTATTAATTCACTGAGAGACATGAGTGCATTACATGCATAGTGAGTGGCAGATGTTGAAAAACTACCTTTGATCAGAGTCGTTCAGAGTGGTTTGGTGTGAAACGCTCTGTTCTAGAGAAACTTACAGAGTCAGAACTGTTCACAGTGGTGGTGATAGGAACCAGACGTCCACCTCTAAAAGCTCCCTCACAGAAAGTTACTACATGAAATGGTTATGAATTCACTGCCTGATGTCTGAGACACTTTATGGTAGTTTTGAGAAGATTATGGCCTAAAACATATTTTCATGGTGAAGTGGCATTCTGAGGCAAAATAGTCTCCAAAGATTAGAAAAGAAAAAACATATTTTTTTGCAATATTTTTTCCATCATCAACGTTCCTTATAAATGCCAGAAGACTTGTGTAGGTTCTCTGGTGGTTCTGGATAGTAAATAAAATGTCTATATTTGTGTTGTAGTCATGGCGACCCCTGGTTCCTATCACCACCACTGTAAAGACATCTGAACCATTTCACACCAAACCTCTCTGAATCACTCTGATCACATCTCACACACTGAATTATGCTGAAATGTAGAGAAATGGTGGAATTCCCCCTTTAAATGATTGGTCTTATAAAACTGGGTACCATGAGGAGCTAAAGATTAGAAAGCAATATGACCTGAGTTTCAGGCCGAGGAGTTGGGAAAGCTAAAATGGGACACAGCTAGAGATGAGTTAGGCTGTGATAGAACCAGAGAAACTGAAGGCTTTGCTGAATCTTTACAGCAGGCGGCGTCGAGAAGTCAGTCAAAATCTACCCACTAAAGAGCAACATTAGATTTCAGAGGCTTCCATGGGGAGCGCTAGCGCTGAAACTGATCAAGATAAGCATCTTGAAGAGAAGCAGTGAGCCAGAAAAAGAGGCCAATCTTGTCAGATGGAACCGAGATAAGTAAATAGGCGAGCACTGAGAGTTACTGCCACGGGGAGAGTGCAGCTGGGCATCTTTCAGCAAGGCTCCAAAAAGTGGAACGTTCTTGGCTGATAATCCTTCAACCTGAGCATGAATTTCAGTTACAGGAGAGGCAAAAAGCACCAACGCAAACCAGGGCCGAAAAACTGCATTACAGTCCTGGTCAGATGTACGTACAGTGCAGGCGCGATAACGTGGCCGCAATATGAGCTCACGATGCATCTGAATTAAATGTCCAGTGTATTAAAGCTGCAGCTCATCACTCAAACTGCAAGTAGCATGATATGGGCCCTTTAAAAAATCAGTGCAAAAGCGGCCATCGCAAGTTGTTCAAACTTTAGTAGACCGAGTGGAATATGTAATCCACCGCACGTGTAACATCTCCACCCATTTTGTGTGATCCTTCCAGGTACACATGGCCCATAAACTGTCTGTTTAGGCTTGTGTGCCAGTTTTGTACGTAATGCAGGCAGAATGTGTACAAAAGTTTCTTTTTTTGTGATCAGCTTTTTATTGCATTTTTCATCATGTCTAACAACAAGGGTCAGGAGAGGTAAGGGGGAGGGGAAGGCAGGACGGTGTCATACATTTTAGGAATACACACAAATCAAAAATAAAGCAAAGACAATATATAAACAACTACACAACTAAACAGCACATAATTTAATTGAAATTAAAGTTCTTGAATTGAGTCATATAAAGTCTCCCAGTTTCTTATTGTTGACTGTTTTGCCTTGTTAATCTTTGCTGTAAGAGATTCCATCCGAACTATATTTTGAAAACTAGATATCCAGAATTTCGAAAGTTGTGGGGCAGTCCAAAGTTGCAAGGCAGTTTCCTTGATAGCTCTAAAACTTGCCATCACCATACTTTGCTGAATCAAAGAAAACTGAAAAGCTGAGTCATCATTTAAAAGACACAAATGTGGTGACGGTGGATCACTGAGGTCAGGTACTTTGGATAATATATCTACTGTAGAGGTTCATATATCTGCTGCTTTAGTACATTCCCAGAACATATGCATTAATGCACCAGGTGCAGAGTTACAAATAGGCAGGTATAACTAGAAATAAGTTTCATTTGATTTCTCCTGTAAGGTGTTGCATATGCTCTGTGAATTATTTTGTAATGAATAAACTGATGTGCCAAATTTTTAGAAGCGTGACTTAAATTAGCCCATATAGTGTTCCAATCCAAGGAAGGACCAGTACTGGCAAGCTTTCGTTCCCACAGTTGTTCGACTGCCAACTGCTTTATATGATGGTCTACCAACGATTTGTAAATAAACGATAATCTGCCCCGTAGATTGTCCAGACATCCTATCCAGTCTAGCAAGAGGTGAGAGCTGAGAGTGCTGCCCCAGGGAACTCATAGGCTCGAAGTGCAGAATGAAGTTGTAAATAAACAAAGTATGAAGAAGCTGGTGGAGTTTTCTATCATCAGCAGAGTTTTAGGATTAGACAAATCCAACCAGTAAGATCTCTTAAATGGTGACCTTACACTTATTTTCACTTGCATGAAGGGGATCTTTCTGTCTAGCATTCAGAAATCTGAAGGGTCTTCCAAATGGGAGGCCTCTTTGTAGCTAAACCCTGAAAATGTGGAGACTGCACTCTTAAAAAAGGGGGATCTTCAAGGGTTCTTTAGTAAAAACAATGGCTCCTTTTTGAACCATGAACACTCAAAGAAACTTTTCTTGCTTAAAGGGTTCTTTGCATGGTGAAATGGTTCTAATTACAACCATTTTGAAAGTGGTCTTCAAACTGATGCATTTCTGCACCCCATTGATTGGCAGTGGAAGCTCGTACAATTGCATGCAAAAGTTTTGGCGCCCCTGGTCACTTCCTGGTGTCACATGAACATCTGAAAAATTTTAGTGTCCAACCACCTCCACTCAGCCTGCAGCTGATTTATTTAATTCCAGTTAACTTTTCACAGGACTTTAGTATGTTTTAGTTATCATTTTACATCTGACATTATTTTTATTTATTTATTCTTCAACTTTTACTTTTTAGTTACTGCTTAGTTATTTTATATTTTCTTTTATTTATTTTATTTCCAATGTTTTGTTTTATCCCTTTGTGATTTTTATGTTATTTTTATTATGTTATCAGTTTACTCTCTAATTGTTTTTTTTACTCTTAAATTACATTATGATTATTATTACTTTTTTTATTATGTTTAACATTTTATATGTTTTTTTTTTACAATCTATTTTTTTTTCTTTTTCATTACTCCCATTTTTTCAGTCCCTGCTTTCTGTATGGGCTTAGCTACATTGTAAACGAGAGTTTAAATAAAGGTTGATTGATTGAAATGAAAAAATGTTAAAGTGAAAAAGTTGTAGCACATTTTTCAACATGCTACACAAACAAAAAAAAAGAAATAAATTGTGCATTAAAATTTGCAGAAAATTGGCCATATTTGAATCTGTTCCCTGTAGAGGGCGTGCTAACTTCTTTTCACTCACACAGAAAAACAATAAAACATGTCATTCTATTTAGGGCTGTTCAAACTTTTGCAAACACATGTATGCTTGGAGCACAAGGCACTAGTTTAAACTAGTTTAAGACTGAGTGAAGGTGAAATGAAGCTAATCTTCCCATAGGCAAGGCCTCCTAAAAGTAGTTGAGGTGACCTCAGAAAAATCTGTCTTTTACAACCTTCTGGCTGTCTTGTCAAGTGTCGTCGTATTTCACACGAACAGCTGTGGTGAGATAAAATTCTGGTGACAAACGAGCTTATTGAGAAGTAAGAGAAAAGTCCTTTGAACTATCTGCTCAAAGCTTCGTTACAGCTGGCAGTACCAATAGCTGGATCTCCAGCTGGATCTTTAAACAGTGCAGCCATGTTAGATCACCGTCACAGGGTCTCTCTGCTTTGATGTTGGGTGCGGTTGTACTGTCTCACCCTCTTGTCTGTTTGTTCCTCAAAGCTCAGCTTGAAGCTGTCTGCCTGTGGCCCAGGGGAGCTGTCCAGACCCATATACCCACACAGTCGACAGCTAGACTCACCCAGACCTGACGCTGGTCAACAGTGAGAGAGACAGTCAAAGTATTTAGTCATAGGAAAGCCGGATCAATTAATCCCTTAAACCCCAGGCTGAAAATTCAGTTATTAATCTTAACAGCTATTGTTCAGCAACTATTATGAATTAATCAATACCTAGTATGAATTATTCAGTATCTATTATGAATTATTCAATATCTACTATGATTTTTTAGCATCTACTATGAATTATTCAGTAACTATTATGAATTATTCAGTATCTACTATGATTTTTTAGCATCTGCTATGAATTATTCAGCATCTACTATGAATTATTCAGTAACTATTATTAATTATTCAGTATCTACTATGATTTTTTATCATCTACTGTGAATTATTCAACATCTGCTATGAATTATGCAGTAATTATTATGAATTATTCAGTATCTACTATGATTTTATAACATCTGCTAGGAATTATTCAGTAACTATTATGAATAATTTAGCATCTACTGTGAATTACTTAGCAACTACTTTAAATTTGTTCAGTATTCACTCTGTTAAGACTTTAACTGTTGTTTAATGTTGCTTATGTAGGCAACAGTATATTTATTGTTAGATATCATGGAAAGAGATGGAACAAGACACAAACCTTTAAGATGCTCTTGTCTGAGATTCCATCCCGTCCCACAGAGATACACACAGGGAGGAGGGCAGAAGAATCTACACACACATTCAAACAACAAAATGATATACAGGTAAATAAAATAACAAAATCTTGTCAGAAATTCTGTCCAGTCTGGAGATGTAGTGACCAATTAGGTCCTCTATGCTGCAGGTGGCAGCCATGGAGCAAAACAATTACTCAATTTACCATTTGCAAAATTCTGCCATGTCCCACCTCCTTAGTTACTGTCGCTATGTCCTTTAAACTTTTAGTTTAGGATGTCTGGTATCATACACAACACTTGTGCTTACAGACTAAAAATTCTTAAAAAAAACAAAAAAAACAAAAAAAAACTTAAAGGCACACAGAGGAGGATATTTAAAAATTTTATTATTTAAAACTAAACTTGCTTCAACTGGAGACATAAATGTTTGATAATTAATAATATGACTGTTGGCCAATTTAAATAAAAAAAAATGATTCTGGAAACCATATTTATATTAATCAAATCAGTGAAATTGCTTTGCAGATTTTCATATGTAATCAGCAAGTCAGCTAAGAAAGGTCTTTCAGTAAACTTTAATGAAACAGTACAAATGATGACACAACAAGTTCATTAATAATCTTTATGTACAATTGTACAATTATAGACGTGAACATTGTACAGTCCTCTTTGATCTGACTAATTTATCAAGATACCTATCAGCAGCTAAATTAAGTAAAGCTAAGTTAGCTAATTGATCTGTACTGTTAATCATCGTTGGACATAAAATACAGTTAGCAAATAAAGTTAGAAAGGTAAAGTCTATGATTGGCTGAGAGGTGTCAGTCACTATTTTGCAAATACCCACGTTCATGCTTAGAAGCACGACCTCATAACGAATGAAATTTGGTGGGTAATCCCTCCAGAAGATCACGAAAGTTTAATTCTATGCTTGGTTTAAAAGAACTATGATGATAGTTGAATTAAAAATAAATTCTTTTTACAAATGAACTCAAGTAAAAGTAAAATGTGTTTATTTTTAAAACGACTTGCCGTCGAATAAATAGGTTTATATTTTGCTGCTTTACATGATTATTTCATGATGGTCAGTCATTCTCAGTAATGACCTGAAAGTATATGGGACACATATGAACTCTCAATATGAACACTCGATATGAACGTAATGTTGCAAAGCATTTAGGGGGAATCCAGGAACCTCATATGTCTATTTGATTTTGATTCAGTGTCAATTATAAAACAATTATTGAATTGAATTTTGACTGCTTTTCCACTGCATGATACGGCTCGACTCGACTTGGCTCGCTTTTGGTACTGCTGCAGATATAGCGCCCCCTCAGTGTAGCTGGTTGTCATAGCAACACTGTACGAAACTGCCATGATATGAACAAGACAAATTGTGTTCAGAAGAGGTTGATATGTGTTTATAGCCTATATGTTTAACAATTCTCTCCAACCAATCAGTAGTCTGCACTGCTTTTACACCACCTTTTGTTATCGGCTCAGCTTGCTTAGAATCTCAAAGGAGGTGGTTCCAAAAATAGTACCAGGTACCAGATTTGCTAATGGGAAACCAAAAAAGAGAGTAGAGTTGTGCTGGTACCATGCAGTGGGAAAGTAGCTTAATAGGGTAATAGGTTTAAACTAAAATAATAATAAAAAAAATAAGAAGAAGAATAGGTTTTTTTTAGTGCATCACACATGCTATACAGTATTGCTTATTGAGTTTTCCATCAAAATTGTTAGGTACTAATAAAATTTAAAAATACACTGGAGTTGGTTCACTGTTAGTTCTAGCCTAAATGTGGACATTGTAAAATCAGGCATTTAGATATGACTTACAGTCAGTCCTTCAGCAAAATCTTAAACTTATAGTGTAACTGAAGCAGAGGTGGTTGTTAAAAACATGTTCTGATGTCAGGTCATGTTTACTCTGATTTCAGGCCTTTTATTTCATACAGACTTACACTTACTTTATAGTTTATTTTACTGCAGAGAAAACGCAGAGCTAATATAAAAATCTAAGGTTTTGTGAATTGATTCAGAATTTATCAACAGAGAACAGTGATGCAGCATTGCTAGAAGGTTAAACTGAAGAATCTCTCACCGTTTCTCATTGCCGTAGGACTTCTGAGCCACTTTGGCGTGAAGGATGAGCACTGACTGGTCAGGTCTGAACTGCAGGTACTGTTTTACCGAGTCTCTGGTTACCCTTGACGAGGAGAAACTTTCTTCCACCCTGTAAATATACAAAACATTTTTTTATTACTTAGGTCTGATTCAGCAAGAAAAACTCTGAACTAGAAGAACTTCTTAATTTTTCCTTAATTTGTACTACACAGATCTTCACTTACTGCATTAGTGTATTGCTATTAATTTATAAGACATATCTAATCAATCGAGCCTTTTAATGCCCAGCATGTATCTTTCAGCATTGAATATACTGTAAGTTTAAGGCCAGAATCACACCAAACCACTCTGAACGACTTTATTTACATCTTTTAGCAAGTTATTTAAAAATCAGTGCTATTTCTCCTTTTAAAATCCTTTCCCAGATAAAACTCTGACTGTAATTTCTTACCTTGTAGTCCTCCTAAACTCTGCGTGCCATTAATCATCCTGCTAATAAAGCATGTGTGATTCAGTAATGGATGTGAGTAAGAGTCGTTAAATATACAGAACTGAATGTTGGGCATGCTTTCCACAGTGACGTGGGAGCTGCTGTTAGGAAAGTGTGTGAAAGTTGTGACTCAATATAAATTTAAAGAGAGATGGTTTTGGCACTGGTGACTTCAGCTGTGTCACAGACATAAACTGAGGAATACTGATAATTGTCTTTCCTTAATACGGTCAGCTACCAAGGCCTCATACAGCACCACTCAAAAGTGTGGAATTTGTGTTAACTTACAAATGAACATTGGGACACTGTGTGAAATGCCAGTACTAATAGAAAGCAGTGATTAGTAATCTGTTTAAACTATATTAAACACAATAGGCTTATTTAATGTTACCTTTTTTTACCTTCATTGAGTGGGTTTACATGCACTTAATAATCCAGCAACAGCAGAAAATCAGACTTTGTCAGAAGTCAGATCAACATGTTTACATGTACTTGAGTAATCAGATAATGGGGAAGCTCCAGGTTTACATGAGTCAGGCAGAAATCTGATTTCTGCTTTGCAACCAGCCAATAAACTCACAGCTAAAAATGTGACGTAATCATAATATAAAACTCAAACTTCATGCTGCGACTTTTTGTTTTTTTAATTGCGCCACTTTATCTGAAAAATTGAACATACATCATCAAGAAGATAAGAAACAATCTAAATTCTTCATTTTGTCAAGCAAGTATTTGGTTACAGTGTCACTCTAAAAGTGTTTTGCTTTCTTATTGCGGCGACACTGCTCGCTTATTTCCAGTACCACAGTCTGTTTTCGCACATGCACAGACTGAGAAATCCAAAAGAAATCAGAGTAAGAGTTCACATGCACTGAGAAATCTGATTACTGAGCTAAAATCCAGCCTCTTTATTTCTTAATCAGATTTCTAGACCTTTCTAGACCGGAGTGTGCTGTTTACATGACCATTTGAATAATCTGATAACTGCAGAAATCCGATTATGACTGGATTATTGAGTAAACACACTCTGTTTATTGTAAATATGTTCTCATTCCAAATATGATGCCTGCAACATGTTCCAAGAAACTTGGGACAGGAGCATGTTTACCACTGTGTCACATCACCTTTCCTGTTAACAGCACTTAATAAATGTTTGAGGACTAAAGACATAAATTGTTTGTTTTGAAGGCATAATTTTTACCATTTTTCAGTTACACATGTTTTCAGCTGTGCAACCATACTAGGCCTTCGTTATCTTGCACTTCATAATGCAACATATGTTTTTCATAGAAGACAGACAGATCAGTCTAGAACCTGCACTCTATGACTGTGCAGCCCGTGCTGTTGTAGCACATTGAAATGTGGCTTGATGTTGTCATGTTGAATTAAGCATGGACGTCCCTGAAAAAGACAGGCAGCATATGTTTCTCCAAAATTTGACAATATCAGCATCAATGCTGCTTTAACAAATGTGCACGTTACCCACTAATAGCCTCCATACCATGACAGATGCTGGATTTTTTACTTTACACTGGTAACAATCTGGATGGTTCTTTCCTTCTTTGGCCTGGAGAACACAGCATCCATTATTTCCATAAACAATCTGAAAGGTAGACTCATCAGACCACAATACACATTTCCACTGCGTATCAGTCTATTTCAGATGATCTCGAGCCCAGAGAAGTCGGAGGCGTTTCTAGATGTTGTTGATATATGACTTCCACTGCATATAGAACAATCTTAACCTGCATTTATGGATTTGGTGATGAACAGTGTTTACTTTGACAAAGTATTCCTGAGCCCATGTGATGATATTATCGCAGAAAAATGCTAGTTTTTAAGGGCATTCAGTGGCGGTTTTCCCCAGATTCCCTAAATCTTTTGACAATATTATGCACAGTAAAAGGTGAAATATCTAAATTCTTGCAAACACTCATTGAGGAACATTGGGTCTCATTCTCCAACCATTCTTATGAAGAAATTTCTTTTTTAAAACCCACTTATGCAGTTTTTATGAAAATTCTGATGTTTACCAATGTTTTCTTATTTGGGATTTGTTCTCAGGTAAGAACAGAATCTACGCACTCAAGAGCACAAAGGTGAGAACAGTTCTGCGCTTTAAGAACACGTCACGAATCTGACGTAGACTTTTTCTTAGGACCTTTCTCAAGAACGCATTTAAGAGAAGATCTTGGTAAATGAGGCCCAATGTTCTTAAAAAGTTGGACTTGTTGCTGATATATTTTTTGGCAAAGTGGCGAGCCTCGACCCATCGCTACTCATAAAGGACCCTTCCTGGATGCTTTTTTATACCCAAGCATGATTACATCAATTCTTTTAAGATATTTTCTGAACATTTAACAGCATTCACTCCTGTTCTAGATTTTTTGGAATGTGTTACAGACTTTGATTCCAGAATAAGCACATATTTCCAAAAAACAAAGAGGCTGATAAGTTAAAACATTCAATATCTTGTCTATGTATTGTTTTGTTTAAATACGGTCAAAGTTGATTTACAAATCACTGCTTTCTGTTTTTGTTTGTATTTCACATACCATCCCAACTTGGAATTGGGTTTGTTTGCTCTATGGTGATCCTGTGAGGATCCTGACCATTGATGAATGGAGTAAAGGTGGTGTTTATAAATTATACAGAGAAAAGATGTATATTGCTGCTGTCGTCGGTTTTTCAGTTTTTGACATAATTTGAAAATACCTGTTACCCTTTACATTGTATGTGAATTTCATGATGAATGGACCAAAGGAAACGGCCCAAAACGACTTGGAAAAAATTCTGGTTCCATTGACTTACATTAAAAGTAAAGTAGGTTTTTTTCTTCTCCTGTAAAGTTACCATTTCAGAGATACGAGGTTTTCTTCCGACAACAGCGATATACTTTTTGTCAGGTCCACTTAGCACATAAGTGCCTTTTAAGTAGCACTGTGCGAAAGTCTTAGACACCTAAGCACATTCTTTAAAGCCATTTATCTGTGCATTAAGTGTGTGCTTTGCTTGTAAAATCATCATATATCATTAGAATAAATGCAAATAAATATAAATACAGTAAAAAGCAAGAAGAATTTTCCTATTGTGAAAAATTTTGTGAACCAGTTTAATGAACAAAGTTTGGTTCCAGATTTCTCCAGATGTTTTCAGCCATCATATAGATTTGTTAAATTCCATCATCAGCACTCGATTTAACAGAATGCGATATAAATTAGCCAAATCAGGTATTTTACGAATACTTGGCTTTCATGAGGAGAGGCCAGGAAACGGTTAAACACACAACTTGGCATACATAAAATCACTATTTATTGTATTCATATAATTTGTACTTATTTTAATATTAGTGTTTTTCTGAGTAAATAAATGCTTACTGCCCAAATAAACTGAAAATATATATGGATAAGGTGTTTTTTCCTATAGTGATCATTGCTGTTGGAACAAAACATTGTATGTCCAAAATGGAGAAAAGAAAAACGTTCTTAACTTTGAATGGAAGTCAACTGAACTCAGTTTCTTTAAAGTAAGTTTGGAGCACTGCTATCAGTCCAGTCATCATAAAATATTAGCACACCGTAAAAAAGCAGCTGGCATTTTCAAATTCTGTAAAAAAGTTCTTACAAAATGTGTGACATTTATTCTAAGCGTCTGTTCGGTGACTAAACTAGTGTACTGTACAGAACAATAGTGTACAGATTAAGATGAGGGTGAAATTCGGTGGTGGGGGGGGTCTGTCAAGAATCTCCATTCCACTCCATTCTCTGCCTAATCTGTTAAACTGAAAAAGGCCGTCCAAGCCCATAACAGAAAGACCTGCATTCCTTTGGCCAGAGCCAGCCAAGTGAGTGATGCTGCATTTTGTAAATAGAGACTCTCATTCCTTCCTTTCCTTTAAAGTTAACCGGCAACCACAAGGCAGGGTGGTTTTCACTCACAGGCCCCTGCAAAAATGCATTTTCAAGGAAACCTTTCAGCGCTGGAGAGACTGATCCATTACCCCAGGATGGACGGACGGAGCAGAATAAGACATTTATTGTGAACGTGTCCTTATTGTTTGGGTTTTATGGTGCGGTATTGAAAGTACAACAGTGACAGTTAGATTACAGGTTATAAAGTCTATGGAAATATATCTGTCTTTTCTGTTGACTTGGCTGGCGCACAAGTCTTATGGTTAATGTCGCTGAGGTAATGTCAGTGATGCGGGAAATCATTAGAATAATTGCACGGCTCTTCCAGCACTAACAAAAGCAACTGTTGTTTTCTTATTTCTCTCGTTTCAAGACACAAAATGTCCCGACCTGGTACAAACGGCAGCCTACTGAGGTTCTATTCAGTGTACCACCAGGTCTCAGCAGTGGAATGTGGTTTGTAATTGTCTGCGGGGAGAGAGAGAGAGAGGGAGAGAGAGAGAGAGAGAGAGAGAGAGAGAGAGAGAGAGAGAGAGGGAGAGAGAGAGAGCTTGCTTTGTCTTTAAGGGTCTCAATAAATCACTACCTAATGAACTGTTTCCTGATTTCCTGCCTCAGTACGTTTGTATTTCATCTGTATTTGGATCTGGCATAAAATCTATTATAAATATTTATAAATGACTTTTTCTCTCCCTAAAAAAAATATCTACTGTTTCTCCATTTTAAATGGATTGTAATTAACTTGTATTAGTGTTTAGTTGAGAATCTGGTATTAACGCTCATAATATCTCCTTCATTACTCACAACACAGTCAGGGGTCAAAAATCCCAACTCGTTCTCTTTCTGTCTCCAGACAGACAGACAGATGGACAGAGAGCCATACAGTCAGACAGATAGACAGAGAGACAGACAGGCAGTTAGACAGATAGATAGATAGATAGATAGATAGATAGATAGAGACGGACGGACAGACGGACAGATAGATAGAGAGAGAGACAGACAGACAGACAGACAGACAGACAGACAGATAGATAGATAGATAGATAGATAGATAGACAGAGACATATAGATAGATGAACAGACAGACAGATAGATAGATAGACCGGGAGACAGACAGACAGACAGACAGACAGATAGATAGATAGATAGATAGATAGATAGATAGATAGATAGATAGACAGACATACAGATGTATGGATGGGTGGATGAACAGACAGACAGATAGACAGATAGATAGATAGACAGACAGACAGACAGACAGGAAAATGTATGGATGGACAGACAGACAGCCAGACAGACAGACAGATAGACAGATAGATAGATAGATAGATAGATAGATAGATAGATAGATAGATAGACAGGAAAATGTATGGACGGATGGACAGACAGACAGACAGACAGACAGACAGACAGATAGATAGATAGATAGATAGATAGATAGATAGATAGATATTCCTCTGCGTGCACTACTGCACGCAAGTCCCGCGATAAACGAGGCTCACACGAGAATAACTTTTCTATCTTCTTCGCGCGCTTTTAAAAAAAGTGTCTCGTGCTGTTCCAGTTTCAGAGGGGGCGGGTCTTCGTTCCGGCACGCTCCGCTTTAATACCACACTAATGTCCTGCCACTCACTCCGTCTCTGATAGGCACGAGCGCTTCGCTGAAAACGGCCGGTTTTGATAAGTCCATTAACGAAGCTGTGATTGTGGTGCTGCTCGGAGAGGACTGGACTCTACCTTGGACCTCGAGACCCTCCGGACAGTGCGTGTGAGTGAAGGTTACCTGAGCCACCCCGGCTGCTGCTGCAGGTCGCTGAGGTGAGTGAGCGCTGATTCAGGTGCGTGCAGGCGCGCGGGGTCCCCACACTGCAGCCCTGAGGAAACCGGCAGAGCTGATCAAACACTGACCAACGGCTTTCAGTAAAGAGATACAGGTCTGCTTAGAGGGGTTTAATGGGGTTTAAGGAACCAATGAAAGCTGATAAAAGCTTTTATTTTTATTTACCTTTGCTCAACATTTAGTCTGACTGACTCTACCTGAGTAAACATGGTTATTATTGGTGCTTTTTTATTATGACATTGGTAAACAGTTCCTTACTGCTCTTTTTTCTCACTGACGAAGCATTTCCTGTGGCCAAGAGACTCTAAGGGCTGTAAATTGTCTATTCTAAGATCTTTTTAACGTTTTTTTGGTTTTGCAGTTGGTTTTGATCATTTTTTTTCTTGCTAATTTTACTTAAAAATTGAACGTAACTGAGAGAATCTGAGTCAGCCGGGTTGAAATACAGCGAGTGGTCAGATTTATTGATACGTGTTTGCTTGGTCAATGCAATCTTGTGGAATAAAACTTATTTACCCTCTTTGTTATCCGTCCCCCTCATCCTGCATCGTGTGCATCATATACTCTTTGTTAAAGAGAAATTCCACTGATTTTTCCAAAATATCCTCATGAATCAGTGGTGGAGCTGTAAGTCATACAGAGTGGTTTGGTGTGAAATGCTTCAGTATAGAGACTCAAATTTCTTCACAGTGGTGGTGATAGGAACCAGGGGTCCTGATGTCTGCAATGCAAGTATAGCCGTTTTATTTACTATCCAAAACTACCAGTGAAGCTCCACGTGTTTTTTTAGTTTTATGTAACTTTGATGATGGTAAAATAATGTTTAATCTGAAAAAATAAGTGTTCTTTGGGGGCTATTTTGCCTTAGAACACCCTTTCATGTATCCCTCCACCTTGAATGGATTAAAATAAATGAATTAAAATACGTTTCAGACCAAAACTTTATCCCAAAATTACTGTAAAATAGTAAAACAATGTCTCAGACATCAGGCCATGTTGTAACTTTCTGTGAGGAAGCTTTTAGAGGTGGACGTCTGGTTCCTATCACCACCACTGTGAACAATTCTGACTCGGTTAGTTTCTCTAGAACAGAGCGTTTCACACCAAACCACTCTGCACAAATCTGTATACATCTTAACGGCTTAATTCTTGAAAAAATGTGCAAAAAATGGTGGGATTCCTCTTTAACTGCCTAGCTTTCTTGTTGGCTGTGGGTAGTACAGTAACTTAAACCTATTAACTTGTGCTGCTTTTACTACTTTTATTGGTCATTACAAGTTGAATGTAGGATTAATGCATACAAATCTAGCCAATTAGCCTTAAATCAGATCATTTTTGAGTGATTTACTTGAATTAATTGAATAAATATTACTCAATTAAGTATCTTAGAAGCTAATTATCGGTTGGGTTGTAAAACTTATCAATATATTTACTTAAATTTAACATTTCGTTTACAGCCTGCACAGCTTAAATAAAGTTAGGCTCAACAAGTAACTCATTTAAGCTTCATTTGTCCTGCATGTTCTTGATCAACTGATTTGAGGCTACTTTAACACAGCTCTAATTATCTTCCATATGAGGAATAATCTGTTGTGATGGCTGTTACACCTCGAAAGACCCTCTAAAAAGTCTGTAATCCATTGTCCTGCTCTTTGAGAAATGAGGGCGTCTGACAATCCCTATTAAGCTTTAATAAAGTTCAACATCTTTTTTCTAACCTGCATAATTGCCAGAAATACCTGTAGTTGAAGATCCTGAGATCTGTGACTGAGAGTAGCAGCACGCGCTTACAATGGGAGTTTGAACAGCTGACCAATCATAAAAACCCTGAGGGATCACCGTCTCTTCAGTTCCTTGTTCTTCCTACATACATGTGATTATACGGTCCTCCAAGGGGTCCACTAATGGTGTTAGGTTGCAGAGGCTGGTCCCAGATCAGCTTTAAGACCAGCTAACCGTATTAGGCGTGCAGTGGCTGCCTGGAGACAAAGCCGCAGTGAGACTGCTAACAGTAGCAAAGCTCCACATCTGCTTCCAATCCCTCTCTAACAAGAAGCTGCTGTTTCTTAACCTGAGTCCGCTGTGGAGCTGTCAGTCAAGCCTCAATAGAAACATAGCGCTCTGTTTCTCTACAGCGAGGCCCCGATACTCTTTCCATCTTCCCCTCATTTTTTTGCTTCCGTCGTTGCCCCGAGTCAAGCTGAGCACAGTGTTTACACTGCGATGGTTTACCCCACGGATGGTTTAGGCCTTGAATGCTTATAGAAGCTTCAGCAGTTTATCACGTGTCCTCAAAGGCATATGTGAAGAAATGCGCCTTGTTTTCTCCTGGTTTATGGCCTTCGGCAGTGTTTTTAGTTAAAATCATTCTTTTCTAACTCGTTCATATTGACCTTTTTTTGCCCCAGAACAGTTATAAACTCGTTCTGCTTCAAGCAAGTTTTCACAATTTTGTTGACTTTAATTCTGTAAGGGTCCTTAATTCTGTAGCAGTCCGATTTATCAGTAGGCCTGTCTCAAATATTACATAACGGTCTAACTGCAGTTATTTGAACTGATCGCAAGTTATTAACTCTCCACTGTTTACAGTTCAATAAACAGAATGTGATTTGGCCGATTGGGTTAAAAGAAAGCAGTAAACACATTTATTGAGACACAACAAAACGTAAAAACAACACTTCTGACTTCTGACTTGGTTCCCTTTAGAGGGCGACGATGAGTAACATTTGTTTATTTGATGTTTGTTAATGACGCCTTTAGAGGGCGGAGCTGAGCGGCGTTCGTTTATTTGATGTTTGTTAATGACGTCTTTAGAGGGCGGCGCTGAGCGACGTTTGTTTATTTGATGTTTGTTAATGACGCCTTTAGAGGGCGGAGCTGAGCGGCGTTCGTTTATTTGATGTTTGTTAATGACGCCTTTAGAGGGCGGCGCTGAGCGGCGTTTGTTTATTTGATGTTTGTTAATGACGCCTTTAGAGGGCGGAACTGAGCGGCGTTTGTTTATTTGATGTTTGTTAATGACGCCTTTAGAGGGCGGCGCTGAGCGACCTTTGTTTATTTGATATTTGTTATTGACGCCTTTAGAGGACAGCAGTAAGTAAAGATTGTTTATTTGAGCTGTGTTTGTTGTCAGCTCAGATGATACTCGCGAATATGAGCAGACATTTTACAGGCCTGTGAAAACATGAAATCAGCGTTTCGTTGAAGTGTTGGTTTGTATAATTTCTCCATCTTTAATGAAATTAAATGAAACGAATACCCCTATGGTGATTTCAGTATTCAAACTACATGAGTACCGATGCACATCTGCCCCCACTAATATAAATCTGACACCATTGTGCATCCCTGGTATTCTGGACTGATATGCCTGAAGTGGTCTGTTCTGACTCTTTAAAGGTTAAGGATTAGACTGGACTGTACTAACTGGACTGGAGTTCTCATTTCCCCAGATATCACAGACTTATGCCCAGTCCCATTTCACCCCTCGCCCCTACCACTTAGCCCTTAGCCCTCTGTTTTGCGTGTTCATGTCTAGGGTTAGGGTCGCCCAATTTTAGTTGAGATAGAGGGGTAGGTTAGGGCTAGATCGTCCTCCAAACAGAGGTTTTTCAGAGGCACTCCAAACAGAGTGTTATGAAAAAAAAGAAAAAACGGCAAGATGGCTGCGTAAGCGACCAAAGAAACCCACAAATGTGAATATTTTCTCTGTTAAAGGTTAAAATTTCTTTTAAAACTTTAGACAGATTTTAATAATGTAGGAAGCCACAGTTCCTGCAGTTTGAAAACTGCACTCTTTTCATACTGTGGTTTTGATCTAAAAAGATGAATAGTTTTCATAGATCCTGCTGTCACTCACCAGTTTCCCTCTCTGCTTTCCTTTGGTCCTGCATGTCTGTCAGTGGTTTGGCTCTGCCTGTATCTTCATCTGCTCTTTTGCCTCGCTTCATAGCCCACTGCACGCTCTCCCTCAGCTCAGTCCACCTGTTTCTGCTCCTCTAAACTGCCTACAGCGAGCAGACTGTGCGGTCGCCACACTTCTGCTGCAAATGTGTTCATCACCTGCTGCTTTGGCATTGCTATTAAACTCCTGGTAGTGCGTGTTAGCCCTCGTGTCCGTTTGTTTTTTGAGATAGTGACCTGTACTCAGGTGTGCGGTTCTCATGCCCTCCCTTTGCTTTGCAAACAATAGCTGATACAAGTCAATAGACGGACTGAGCTGCATATAGTAGTGAATAATGAAAGCTTTTCACTTTGAGTTTCGTGCTACATGCAACTGTTTATTTTATATGATGCTTTAGTTTTTGTACATGTACATTTTGAAATATAGAACATGTAATTTTGAAATATAGAACGTCTTTGGCCTTATTCTGAAAAAAAAGAAGGAAATGATGCATATAATAAGTGCATACTGTATATTTAAATCTTTAGATTAAGAAATTGCTGGGTAATAAAGAAGTGTTCCATAGATTTTGCAATGTGACTGCATAAATAAATTGATCAAATGTAAACAAAGTCATTCAGAGTGGTTTGATATGAAATACTTTGCTCAGAATTGTTCACAGTGGTGGTGATAGGAACCAGACGTCCACCTCTAAAAGCTCCCTCACAGAAAGTTATTGCACAAAATGGTTATGAATATGTTGCCTACTGTCTGAGACATTGTTTTGCAAAAGTTGAGACAAGCTTTTCACCTAAAATATTTTATTTTTCAATATACATTCATGGTGGAGGGATACATGCAGGGTGCTGTGAGGCAAGAAAACTTATTATTTTAGATTTTCCACTATTTTCCCATCATCAACATTCCATATAAACTCAGAAGACTCGTGTAGGTTCACTGGTGGTTCTGGATAGTAAATAAAATGGCTATATTTGTGTTGTAGTCATGGTGACCCCTGGTTCCTATCATCACCACTGTAAAGAAATCTTTACAATGAGTCTCTACAATTAACCATTTCACACCAAATCACTCTGAATGACTTTCTTTATATCTCAAGAACTGAAACATGCAGAAATTCAGTGGAATTCCCTTTTTAAGACATGATACTAGCAACCATCCCCTGAAGGAAGTGGCTGCTTCCTTAGAGAGGCGTACAGTAGCTGTTTTGAAGCTCTGTGAGAGGAATTACAGTGAAATGGAAGTTACATTACCGCTCCTTTCCCAAAGGAGCTGGAGAGTCTGGGGCCTTCACTCTCAGCGAGTAAGAGAACATGTGCTGTTTAGTTCTTTACCTGGACGTTCTGTGTGCAGAGTTCTCGCCTAGAACACGTGGGCAGTTGTTTTTGCATGGATAAGCTGTTTTAACAATAAACATTCTTAGCATGACACTGATTTACAGCTATAACTAGTACAGCTCAGAATGTGTTATTTTAGGTCTGTCACAGATTCATCTAGAGGTGGGCGATACAGCAAAAAACATTACGATACTTTAAGACATCTTCTTGATACACAATGTACATCGTTTTTATTAGTATAACTACTGTGATATTAGCCTTGGAGCTCCAGTGCAAAAGTAAAGAAGCCAAACTCAGTCACCAAACACGTCTTGGCTGATTGGCTATGTTTGGAGGAAGGGGGAAATTATGTAAATTAGATTTTTTTATGAACTATTCCTTTAGGTCAGCAGTGTCTGTCCAGTAAAAATATAATTAATATCCAATGCCCTGTTCACGTATCCCTCCGACTCCGACTCACCCGAGGACTCCATTTCCCAGAACCCCCTGGGAGATCACGAGACTGTAGAACCTTTGCCATCCACCAGTCACTGTTCTCAATCCCCTGAATACTGATCTGTTTCACCTGCTCTGTTTGTCATGTGACTAGTCTTAGTTTAGTTTATAAGCTCGAGCTTTAGACTAGACACTTCACGAGATATTGCTTCTCCTACAGTGTGTCCCAATTCAGGGGCTGGACCCTTCCAAGGATGTGGTCTACGAAGGCGAGTCCTTCAAAGGCTGCTTAGACCTGTAAAGGCTGAACTGAAATGAGACGGTCTGCTCTACGGCAGATTTCTGTTTGTGCCACAGCACCGCTGTTCGTGCCCTCACCGTTGCACCACGAAACACCGCTCCTGTCAAAGTCTTTGAAGATGGAGCCGGAAACTTTGATTTTAGTTTTTTATTTTTTCATTTGTAAAAGCTAGAGATGAGTTTTTTTTTTTTTTAAATACATTTGTATTATTAGCCATTTGCCTCAATTTAAACCCAATACTTATATTTAAAAGTGTCTCTTCAGCCACTGTTCGCTTCTCTGTTGATGCCGCCATGTTCTCGAATCCTCAACGGCACGCAATGAACCTCGGGATAGATTGGCTGGCGAAGGATCCACCTGTTGGATCCTTCATTGCTATGGAAAAGAAGGACACATTTCTCTGCCGCATATGAAGCAGCGTTTGAGATGGGACGGCCTAGTCATGCCGCTGTGACACAATCGGCCTTCAAATGCAGCCTCCGAAGGACGCAGCCCCTGAATTGGGACACACTGATAGTAGAGCTACTGAGTGTTTCCTTTTTGGCTTTTCCCTTGTTTGGGTCTTGGTTGCCTGATCACTTCTTTGTTACGTTCACCTGTTTACCAACTACAAGTATGTAAAACCCTTTACAAGTAAAGCCTCATTTCCTGTTTTTTTTTTACCACAAATGTCTGGCTGGTTCTGTCGCATTACACCCCTGGAGAAAAGCTAGAACAGCATTAAGTCAGACTATTAGAAAATAAACCATTTTCTTTCAAATTCAACTTGACTGTGAATCTCTCTTTTGTGCAATACTAAGCCTTTGACTTTCCTGTGTCTTATGTGGACGGTCCGCATCATGCTGAAGGTCAGCCTTTGCATATTCAGAATGGTTTTTAAAGCGAATTTATGATGAATTTGCTTCACACTCATTCAAAGAGCTCATGTTACGATTCTCTCTCATAGTTTTTATTTGTATTTGCAACTAATTTTTATGATGCCTATGAGATTCCTCTAAAAGGTAATGCCAAAACGATTAGAGTGTAGAATAGATTACTGTTGATATTTATGATGGATTCATGAGGGATTTATAATACTCAATATAAAATGCTTTAAAAATAAAATACTTTATAATCTCTTAGTAGGCGTATTATAAATCCCAGTGAAATTATCATTTTTTGAAGTCCATAATGATAAAGAAAATAATAAAAACTGCTCACAGAAAATAAATTATAATAAACAGTGCTAGTTGAATAAAACAGAAATCAGCAGCTACTGTACTTTGCAGTACAGTTTTTTTTTAAAAAGTGTTCTTTAGTAAAGAAAATGTTTCTATAAAGAACCATGAAGACTTAAAGAACACTTTGCAAGATTAAAGAGGGTTCTGCCATTGTTACCATGTCAAACTTGCTACAAAAAAAGAACCCTTTTTGGTGCTATATAGAACCATGCAAAGAACCCTTTAGTCATGCAAAGGGTTCTTTGAGTGTTTATGGTTCTATATAGAACCTTTTTCTTTACTAAAGACCCCTTGAAGAACCATCTTTTTTAAGTGTGTACTGAACAGTGCAGGGAAACTGGGAGAGAAATTACTACAAGACCTGGCAGAGAAATGATAAGACCTGGAATAATGTGAGTGAACTGGTGCGTGTGGTCCTGAACGCTGGGCCACGCTGTCGAGGACACACTCGAGACAGTGGGTACATTATGATAAGCGCTGATCTTGGATGTTTGCCTGTTCCTTCCTAATCTCTACCAAAAAAAGAAAAAAAAAAGACAGCTAGAGGGCAAACTTTTCACCAATATCCAAGGGCAACTTCCACCAACACCTTCATATCTGTACCAGGGTTACTGGTATACATAGATAACATTAATATCAAGTCTGGGAATCAGGCTCATATGAGCAGAAATGCTAGGCGCATAAAGAAACTCACGCTGTACATGTGATGTTATCAGCTGTGTAGTTCTTCCTTTGAGGTTATTAGGGTGACAGAGTAGTTTTAGCACCACAAACTACTTTTAGATCATCATCTTAAAAGGTCACTTTTTACATTTGTGTAGTTTTATGCACCCAAAACAGTCATATTTCATTTTTACATTGCCATTTTCCAACTTCTCTTTATTCCCCTGTATCGCGCCTCATTGAAAATGCAGTCCAGGCTGAAACGCTTCTTATAACTTCAGTGTGAATGGGCGGGGCTAAACTGCAGTAGGCAGAGGAGGATGGGTTCCCCTTTTGAGTCTGGTTCCTCTCGAGGTTTCTTCCTCCTGTGAGGGAGTTTTTCCTTGCCACTGTCGCCAAGGCTTGCTCACTGGGGGCGTGGACCCGGTTTCTCTGTAAAGCTGCTTTGTGACAACATCTGTTATAAAAGGTGCTATATAAACAAATAAAGACTTGACTTGAATAGGCGGAAATTTGTAAATGCTTGGTTTTGTGTATCATCACAAAAATAACTAATTTAAATGTAGGCAATTTTTACAGGTTAGGTTACGTAAATGGACTGAGGAGTGAGTGGTACATTTTGAAGTTTCGAAAATGTTTACAAACTACATAAACTCTTATTTTGAACAATAATGATGTGGGCCATTTGAAACAGATGTATGTAAATAAGCTCTGCTCTGATTGGAAGACATATATTGTGCCTCATTCAAAATGCAATCCTTAGGCTGAAATATATATATATATATATATATATATATATATATATATATATATATGTAGACTTTGCAAAACCAACATATTCAAAACTTTTCAGGAGAAGGAAAAAAACATACTTTACTTTTAATGTAAGTGAATGGAAACAGACATCTTTCCAAGTCATTTTGGGACCTTTGTTTGTCCATCCATCACAAAATTAACATATTATCTAAAGGCCAACGGGCATTTTCAAATTTTGTCAAAAACTAAAAAACGACAAAAATGGAGATACAAGGTTTTGTTCCGACAGCAGCATATATTGCCCATGTGGACTGTGGAGTGTATTTTATTTTAAAGAAAAAAAAACAATAAAATTTAGTTTTTTTATGCTATGGGACCTTGAAGTGAAGTGTATCAATTGATAATAGCTCATTTTAAAGCTTAGTAGTATTTAAAAAAGAAATATTGGATTGGATAGTCAAGGTGTCGATATCTATATAAGTAATATCTATATAAGTAATATTTACTATTACTTTTAAATATTTAATATCAAGTGCAAATCAATCTGAATATGTGGTCTTATGTATAAAGTGTGTGCTTCAGTAGCTCTTAGCCCAGGGCTAGTTATCTTGACATAGAGCACACAGAGGGGCTCTTTGTATGAGCAAGACACAGGGGAGTGAGGTCTGCTGATTGGCTGGTTGCTGCTGAAACAGACACTGTGCAGAATTTCAATGGAAACCCGAAGGGACCACAAAGCAAACAGTGATCACCTCCCTGAACCAGGATCTGAGTTACATAACCCTGTACCTTTTACCTCCACAAACTGTACATACAGCAGGACGACAAATTAGTTTCAATTATATTAACAGAAAATTATTTTACGTATGTACTATTTGGGGCTTTCAAATTCTTAAAATAATTAATCATATTATTTCGTTACAATTGCATTTGCCTTATTTGCTCTAATTTGACCCTAAAGAGAGATTTTTTTTCCATTTAAAAGCAATGTGTTGTTATAACTATATAAGTGGACAAAATAAACCCAATTTTTATTGTGTGAATGCAGAAACTGAACATGAAAATGTCCAACTTCCAGTTTTTCCAATTTGAGAGCAATATTGGCTGCATGTTCCAACCAATGAGTGTATATACACTTTATGGCCAAAAGTATGTGGACACCCCTCCTACTTATTGAGTCCAGGTGTTTCAGCCACACCCATTACTAACAGGTGTATAAAATCCAGCTCATAGCCTTGCAGTCTCTATAAACAAACACTGGCACTAGAATGGGTCAAACAGTTACATTAAATCTGGCACAGTCATAGAATGCCAATTTTGCCTGTCAGTTTATTAAATTTCCACCCTGCTAGATCTGCCCCTGTCAACTCTAAGTACTATGATTGTGAAATGGAAGCATCTAGGAGCAACAACAGCTCAGCCGTGAAGCGGTAGATCACATAAACTATCAGAGCGGGGCTGCCGAGTGCTGAAGCATGTAGCGCATAAAAATCACCTATCCTCAGTTTCATTACTCACCATAGAGTTTAAACTGCCTCTGGAAGCAACATCAGCTCAAGAACTGTGCATGTTCATGAAATGGGTTTCCAAGGACTGCCACTGGACTCTGGAGCAGTGGAAACGTGTTCTCTAGAGTGATGAATCACGCTTCTCTATCTGGCAGTCTGATGGATGAATTTGGGTTTGGTGGATGAGAGGAGAACGTTACCTACCGAAATGCATCCAACAGTGTCAATGCCAAGACTAAAGTTTGGTGGAGGAGGGATAATGGGCTGAGGCTGTTTTTCAGGGTTTGGGCTCATTTAGTTCCAGTGAAGGGTGATATTGATGCTACAGCACAAAGAAATTTGAGAAAATCATATGCTTTCAAGTTTGTGGCAGCAGTTTGGGGAAGAGTCTTTCCTGTTTCAGCATGACTCAGCCCCTGTTCACAAAGCAGCTCCATAAAAACATGGTTTGAACAGTTTGGTGTGGGGGAACTCCAGTGGCCTGAACAGAGCTCTGACCTCAACCCCACTGAACATCTTTGGTATGAACTGGAACGTCGATGAGCCAGACCTTCTCAGACAACATCATTACTGACCTCAAGTAAAGTGGGGGGCCTCCATATTAAAGCCTGTGGTTTTGGAATGGGATGTCAAACAAGCTCAGAAGTCAGGTGTCCACACACTTTTGGCCATATTGTGTATGATATGTATCATGTATACAGTCAGTGTTTCCAACTCCTCTCCAACTGTAGCTGTCATGTTCAAATAGGGTAAAACCTTCAGTGCTCACTGGAGAACTGGGGATAAATCATCTATGGATAAATCAACATACCAGTGTTGCCTTTGACAGCCTTAGTATTGCAATATGACGATTATTTTTGTTATTGTGATGTTTTTTTTGATCATATTTTGTGGATATCTTAACTTAAAGAACACTGACCAATTGCATGTTTCATTACAAAAAGAGCATATTTTGTCCTGTTTTATTGGATTCATGCAGTGCAGTATGTGAAACACTGAATAAAAATCATTGCATTGAAGTTTCTTGATAGTATTTTTTGAATGTGGCACTACTGGCGCTTTTTTCTCTGTCAAACTTATCAAACCTCAAAAGACAAAATATGGTGATGCAAATATCTTGATGTTTGCTTATTTATTTATTTAATTATTTAAACTTATTTATTCACATAACTATAATCGGAGACCACCCTTCATTTCTTGAATTACCCAAGCAACCCTTAGTTATTCATTTTTCAGGAGATATTTGTAAGGAGATTAGCTATAAGATAATCCACTTGCAAAATGAAGGAGAAAGTCAAAGAAAAACAAGTAGAAAAACAGTTCTTTCCAAAACTGTTCAAAAACTGATTCAAAGCCACAGAGAAAATGTGGCTCCTAACAACCACCTGGAAGACCTGGTAGCCCCCAAAACTGCCCCCATCAGATAAACAGCACTTAAAGCTTTCATCTTTATGAGAGAGGAGAAAATCAAGCTGCTTCAGATCTGAAAACATCCACAGGTGTTTCTGTCCATCCTTCCACTGTGAGAAGACGACTCAGCGCTGTGGGTCTGAAAGGATGTGTAGCTGTCAAGAAGAACCTCACTGAGAAAAGGAGACGGACACATCAAACAAAGAAGCTGAACAATGGACTGACCACCCCAGAGTCCAGACCTCAACACCACTGAATGTGTTTGATTACTTCAGAAAATGATCAACCAGCTTCTAAGACTGAACTTTGGAGGTGTGTCTGCAGATTCTTTGAAGAACTGAAAGTGAGTCTCCTGAGAAGAATTGAAGCTGGAATAAAGGCAAAGAGTGACTCACTGAACACCCAAATATCAGATATTATATGTAGTTATTAAGGATTCGGTGTCATTTTCTGTTAAATACATCTTTTTTGCTATTTTCCCTAAAACTGAAAAATGAGTAAATTGTGCTTAATGGCTGTTTTGACTGGAAATTAAATACATGAAGGGTGGTCTCTGACTCCTCACAACTGTATTTACAATTTAATAGCTACCTGCAATTTTTAGTGGAGTGTTTTTTCTACTTTAAAACGTCTCTTGCAGCTCATCAGCCCATTATCAAGTCCTCTGTGAACTGAGTGAAACGTCCCAGAGGAAAAAAAAGCATGAAGGGCACAGCAAAGAGTCCCAAAGAGAGGCAGATTGTTTGGCAGGTTTAAAAGTACACCTCACACTCACTTGCTGAACTAATGGATAATTGTAGTCGTGCGGTATATCATCAGAGCTCTACTTTAGCCTTTTATGTCCTGGCAGGCACATCTTATACGCAGGGGCATTCAGACACAGAAGTCCATGCCAGCTTCTTACTCACAGCTCTGTTTTAGACCTCCTCTTCTTCCACAAACACTGATAACTCTCTCCAGACTCTTTGAAGACAGAAGCCTGTTCGTGAAGACTGATTTTACTGGCAACAGGACTTTTACAACCCAAACGTCCCAGACATTGTTATTTTCCTGCACTTACCTCAGGCAGTGTTTGAACTAGCACTCTGCTGTCATGTAAGCAATTCAGGAGTTGAATAATTCCTCTCCGTTAACAGCATCTGCTTGGAACGACTGCTGTGGCTGCTGTGGCCATCTGTTTGCTGTTGTCATTTTATGGCAACACCAGGTTGGAATGAGTGGCTGTCGCTAAAATATATGCTTTGTGCTTTGACCTAGAATTCTCGCTTTCTTTCTCTCGCCCTCTTACAGGCACAAGGCCAGATTGATTACACAGCCAGCCTGAGGCCAGAACCCAGTCTCCAGAATGAGATGCTTGTTTATGTGTGTCGGTGTGCTGCTGGCTTCAGTGGCCATCATGGAGGCTAGACCCAAAGCAGGTCAGTCTACTGCAGAATCACAATATATCATGATTTGAGCTGCTAGAATAAGATGATTCAGGAAAAAGAAATATTTTTTAATGCCTGTTCCACCTTGTGAATTCAAATCTACTAATGAAGAATAGTACACATCATACGTAAATCATATTTAAAAAATAAATATACTTTTATATCACTTTACCACTTATTATTATGACCATTACTATGACTATAACTGTGGTTATTGTTCTTGTTTGTTGTTGTTTTATCGTTAAAGATTTTGATATTGTTATTAGTGATGTGAAAATGAAATGAAAATTTCAAAGTTCACTGGGCTGAAGACCATAACCAAAAACTGAAAACAGTTGGTGATAAAAACAGTTTGCATGGAATAAACTTCCTAGAATGATTTCAGTATGTAGATATTGTATGTGCCACGAATTTCGTCCTGAAAATCACAGAGAATGATCGGCCATCCAAGGCAATCTTTCATTATTTTGTATATTTTTAACTTTAGCTGTCATTAATGTTTTCATCATTTGAAAACTGAGTGTACAGATGGTGTCGGTGTGCTCGCAGGGTCTTTCCGCTTCTGTTGTTTTGCTGTGTTCTGTGTATCAAGTCATGTTTTCAGGTAGTTTTAAAGCTGTAGTGGAGAAGTTCTCGTGTTGCATCTTCTCTTAAAATTCAACATGAACAGAGATTATAAATCTCTTTTTTTTAATCTTCCTCATAGAAAGTGTGAAATAGCTGCACCTGACTGATATTTTCACTGTTGATCTGCTGCTGCTCAAACTTTTTAAAAATGTCTGTGCAGACCGGCGCAGGAACGTGAAGGAAACAAACATTTTTAACCACTTTTTTCATATTTTCTATTACCAGTAAAATTATTTGAAAAAAGTTCAATTTAGAGAGAGAGAAAGAGAGAGAGAGAGAGAGAGAGAGAGAGAGAGAGAGAGAGAGAGAAACTTCTATTTAATTTTTGTTTTTTTCAGCTATTTTTCTCTTTTTCAGCCAAAAACTGAAAGTGGCGTTTTTACCATTTCCACCTAAAATCTTTGGTGGCCAAAATTTTGGCGCATGGCTAATTGTTATTATTGCTATGCAATATTGTACTTGAGATAGTAATGCCAATAATGGATGCTCCAATTTGGGAATTGTGGGCCGATGCAGATACTTGATATTTTCTGCCAATACTGATACATAAACATTTATTTAATGTAGAAACAGGACTAAATCTACCCAAATTAGTATTAGAGTGAAATATATTTTATTTATGAAATTATATTTAAATATTTTACTATTTATATTGAGCTACAAATGCAGTATAATGAATAGAATGCAGATATTTTATCACAGAAATCCATCATCAAATATCGTCTCGAAACATCAGTCGAATCTAAACATCTGTCCAATGCTGACAACATTTTTGTTAAGCAGTTACCGATATGATTTGGTTATTATTGCGATCCCTAATACAAAGTAATGCTATTTTGAACTTAAATAGTTTCAAAGAGTGAATAAACAGGGAATTAATGTGTGTAAGTTTGTCTTCACTGTTTACTGTTTCTCATCAGCCACCTCTCTCACATTTTACCTTCTTACAGCTGGAAATCAGAAGTGTAAATCTGGCCCAGTCGACCTCGTCTTCATCATTGATGGCTCGCGCAGCGTTCGTCCGCACGAGTTCGAGACGATGCGGAAGTTCATGATTGACATCATCCACGAGCTGGACATTGGCCGGGACAACACCCGAGTTGGTGTTGTTCAATATTCCAGCCAAGTCCAGAACGTCTTCTCCCTCAAAGACTTCACAACACACCAGCAGATGGTCAAAGCCATCAACGAGATCATTCCGCTGGCACAGGGCACAATGACTGGTCTTGCTATCCGCTACGCCATGAACGTGGCCTTTTCCGCTGCAGAGGGAGCCCGGCCTAACGTCCCTCATGTAGCGGTCATCGTGACTGATGGACGGCCTCAGGATCGCGTTGCTGAAGTGGCAGCCGCTGCCAGAGAGTCCGGCATTGAGATCTACGCTGTGGGTGTGGCCAGAGCAGATATGACGTCCCTGAGAGCCATGGCATCCCCGCCCTTTGAAGATCATGTGTTCTTGGTGGAGAGCTTCGATCTCATTCACCAGTTCGGGCTCCAGTTCCAAGACAAGCTTTGCAGTAAGTCAGCTTTCTTGAAACTTGTGACCCTTAACTGCCGGGAACAAATCTAGACTCTCAGAACTTTGGAGCACAGGTTCCTTTAGCTTAGGGGTCATCAGTTCCAGTCCTGGAAGTCCAGAACCCAGCACAGCTTAGTGATTTTTAATGACATTAACACATTTAAATCCATCTGTGGTGGTGCAGGCTGAAGCCCAGCTGCAGCACGCTCTATCTTGCTCTGATACAGGGAGATTCATTTGAAAGAGGCCCCGAATATTCTGTTGTAACTCCGGTTACGATGAAGCAATCTAAACCAAAAAAAAATTCGCTACATACCTTGACTTGTGTGTAATCGATTGCGTGACGTGATGCTGGAAGTGATCTCCGTTTTCTGCCAGACACATGAAGGGGTATTGGGGTATGCACCCGGAAGTTGTAAACGAAGGTTAAACATTGGGATGGCTGTCCAGCCCCTACCTCATCGCTCCGACGCTGGGGCATCCCGGCTTGTTCGAAGCTCGATATACTGAGGAGCACATTGCACATTGTTTCGTTCATTGCTTCATCCTAGCGAGAGTTATTACAGAATATTCGGGGCCTCTTTCAAGTGGATCTCCCTGCAGAATCTGTGATTGTACCAATCAAATACAGCTTTTAAATGCCATTTAAAGGGAAACTTTCAGCACCTTCAGCAGACCATGCTGGACAGACGCTCACAGAAGGACTATGGATAAATCAACAAGCAGCAAACTAACAAAAGCAGCAGCTTGCTGGAGCTCCAGTTCCCCTCGAGATCCTCCACAAGCTGTATGAACAAGAGTGAGAGGCTACAATCATGGAGGAGCTGAACCACTGACTGTATATATGATATATATGACATACACACTCATTGACTGGAACGTGCAGCCTCTGTTGCTCTCACTGGATGCTGGTGATGAGAACTGGAAGCTCTCTAGGGCTCAATGAGTTAAAAAAAAATCTCATTGCCATTTTTCTGACTTATATTATGAGTGTGACTTATAATACAGTTATTGCAGGTCCAGGCCTGTAATTTGACCAAGAAGACGAGAATATCCACTTTTTCTGGATTGAGGCTTGAACGCTGACTGCCAGTTAATTGTGGTTGTGATGCCAAAGCATCTGGACGTTTGGTTACTTCTGATTGGTCTTTTATAAGCAGCTCACAAGCTCCATGCTGTTAGGTTAAACGTCCCCAGTTAAAATATAAGACAGTGATGTTAAAAATAAGGGCTATAATTAAGCCTTTATGCAGCTCTGAGCATAAAAATGATTAATCTTTCAGCCCTAGGTCACTCAAGTTCAATCAAGTAATGTTTATGTTCAGGTTCTGAATTCACCTGATGAAAATAATGTTATTCAATTATTGAAAGTAATGAATACAGTCTGATGAAGCTTATTTTATACTCTCTTATAGCTATACTACAATGATCTGCTCATTAAATTGAAATAATCTTTCTTTAGGGTCAGATTTGAGCAAATAAGACAAATGTGACTAATCACAATTAACTACACAAAATCAAGTGATTAATCACAATTAATTACTTTAAGTGTTTAACAGTCCTAAAAAGGTTTTGCTTGAAAATTCATTTTCAAAATGTATTATTAGTGCTTAGAACTGAACTTGCAGTTAAAACTCACAGTCAAGAGTTATGTTTTGATTTATTTGATTGCACAAAAAGGAAATATATCCTGCATTTTTTAAAAACTGTGTCTTGGTTTTGCAGAAATTGATCTTTGTGTTGAGTCCGATCATGGCTGTGATCACATCTGCGAGAGCTCTCCCGGCTCCTATCAGTGCCTCTGCCTGCCAGGGTACACTCTCAATGAGGACGGCAAGACCTGCACAGGTATGTATAATTTTTTCTGAGCAGACTTCACCAGACTGAACCTCAAAAATGCTTTTTGTTTTTGACTGTTTGAACTAGTGCTGAGCGATATGACCTCAAATCAATATTGAGGTCATATCGCAATTAATTGAATATTTAATCTCAGAATTGTTCTCAGTGGTGGTGTAATGTTATTACTGAATATAAACCATTTTGGCCATATGTGCCTTGTAGCCATAGACTTGTGTGCGGAGGGGAAGCATGACTGCGAGCAGATCTGTATCAGCTCTCCTGGCTCTTTCACCTGCGACTGTAATACTGGCTACACACTCAATGAAGACAAGAAGACCTGTACAAGTTAGTGACGGAGTGTCTGATCACCACTACATGCACAGCAGACGTGCACAAACACACACACACACACACACACACACACATTCACTCACTGTTTTAGCTTCTCAGAAAACACTGTACAGTACTGTGCAAAAGTCAGAGGCCACCCTTCATGTGGTTAATTTCCATTCAAAACAGCCATTAAATAAAGTTACAGTGGATTTCATGAAAAACCCAGATAACGTAAAACAAACTAAATATAATATCAGCTGTTTGTGTTCAGTGACTCATTGTACCTTTATTCCAGCTTCCATTCTTTTCAGGAGACTCTCTTTCAGTTTCTTAAAGAATCTGCAGACACAGCTCCAAAGTTCAGTCTTAGAAGCTGGTTGATCATTTTCTGAAGTAATCAAACACATTCAGTGGTGTTGAGGTCTGGACTCTGGGGTGGTCAGTCCATCGTTCAGCTTCTTTGTTTGATGTGTCCGTCTCCTTTTCTCAGTGAGGTTCTTCTTGAACAGCTACACATCCTTTCAGACCCACAGCGCTGAGTCGTCTTCTCACAGTGGAAGGATGGACAGAAACACCTGTGGATGTTTTTAGATCTGAAGCAGCTTGATTTTCTCCTCTCACTCAAAGATGAAAGCTTTAAGTGCTGTTTATCTGATGGGGGCAGTTTTGGTGTCGACCAGGTCGTCCAGGTGGTTGTTAGGAGTCACATTTTCTCTGTAGCTTCCTGTTTTTATTTAACTTATTCTTTGTTGACTTTCTCCTTTCTTATCCAAGTGGGTCATCTTATATCTAATCTTCTCACAAATATCTCCTGAAAAAAGAAAAACATGTAATCATGGCTGTTCTGACTGCAAATCTAATAAATGAAGGGTGCTCTATGAATTTTGCACATATTTGTACTGCACATATTAGCATATGTGTAACAGAACATTAACATATGCACTTTTGAAGCATGTATGCACCTGTGCACGCAGAAGCAGATGTGTTTAAACTCACAGCCACACCTATTAATTCCCAAATCAATTACAGAATAATTGACTGTATAACTATTTTAATTAGCTTGGCTTTAAAGGTTAGCATAAATATATGCTGTCAGAAGAAAACCTCGTATCTCCACTCCGTTTTTTCAGTTTTTGACGTCATTTGAAAGTACCTATTTTCTTTTACATTGTTTGTAAATTTCACAATGAATGGACCAAAAGAAACGGCCCAAAGTTACTTGGAAAAATTCTGGTTCCATTGACTTACATTAAAAGTAAAGTAGGATTTTTCCTTCTCCTATAAAGTTACCATGTTGGACATACGAGGTTTTCTTCCGACAACAGCGATATATATTTTTAAACAGCATGCAAGCATGTCTAAAGATTCCTTATTTTGATGCATTTTAGCTTTGCAAACTGTAAAAAAAAAACCAAAAAACCAAGAGAACTCACTCTCACCATCTAGTTTGTGTTAAAACATTACAAGACGATATTCACAAACACAAAAACTTACATAAATCTAGTACTAGAGTGAAAACTGGTCCACATTCAGACTCAGCAACTTTAATGTGATTGTTAACAAATGAAGCTTTTTCATACACCTTACAGGCAGCTAATTTTAAGACTAATACAGTTTAATAAACTCAGATCCTGGACCCTTTTCATGTTAACAAACAGCAGCTGTGTTGGTTAGCCACACTCTGACAGCCTTGTTTGCTGGATCATTAATACTGTTCTTGTTTTGCTCCAAGGCAGCAAGCTTGGCAACTTACTGGATAAGCGTGGGTCTTTGAGAACCTATAAATTGCATCCTATTTCATGGAATGTGAAAAAGGATGTGGCCCACTGGAGCCATCCAGCCAGCAATTTCAACAGCAGCGTGTCTCATGAAGCAGGGTTTCTCACTTAGCAGCTAACTTTAAACTCAGATCGATGTAACCCTGGGTTTTCTGTCTCACTACAGCGAATCACCTTTTACCAATTTGTGCTGTGCAAAACCTGCTCTGGGGTAAATTCAGTTCAGCATAATATAACCCCATTTCCAAAAAAGTTGGGACACTGTGAAAAATATAAATAAAAAAAATGCAGTGATGTGCATTTAAACCCTATATTTCATTGAAAATGCTTCAAAGACAACATATGAAATGTTGAAACTGAGAAATTGTATTGTTTTTTGAAAAATATATGCCAATTTTGAATTTGATGCCAATAACACGCTCCAAAAAAGTTGGGACAGGGCAACAAAAGGCTGGTAAAGTTGTGTAATACAAAAAAACATCTGGTGGTTGATTGGCAACGGGTCAGTAACGTGATTTAGTATAAAAAAGCATCTCAGAGAGGCGGAGTCTTTCAGAAGTAAAGATGACGAGGGGTTCACCACTCTGTGAAAGACTGCATGTTCAAATAGTGCAACAATTTAAGAATAACGTTTCTCAACATAAAATAGCAAATAACTTTTGCTTTTCATCATCTACGGTACATAACAACATTAAAAGATTCAGAGAATCTGGAGAAATCTCTGTACGCGAGGGACAAGGCCAAAAACCAGTATTTGCTGGCCGTGATCTTTGGGCCTTCAGAGGACACTGCATTAAAAATCACTGCATGGGCTCAGAAATACTTCTGAAAACCACTGTCTATGAAAAAAGTGTGTTGCTGCATCCACAAATGCTAATTAAAACTTTTAAATGCAAAGAAGAAACCAAATATAAACAGGACCCAGAAATGCTGCCGCCTTCTCTGGTCCTGAGCTCATTTAAAATAGACAGAGGGGAAGTTGAAAAGTGTCTTGTGGTCCAACAATCAAAATTTGAAATTCTTTTTGGAAGTAATGGACACTGAGTCCTCCGGGCTAAAAACCACTCAGCTTGTTATCAGTGCACAGTTCAAAAGCCAGTATTCATTTAACAAATCAACATTTGATTTGTTGTCTTTGTACTATTTTCAATTAAATATGGGGTTTAAATGATTTGCACATCATTGAATTTTGTTTTTATTTACATTTTGCACAGCATCCCAACTTTTTTGGAAATGGGGTTGTAGATTATAAACAGCTCTTTGATCAATCAGAGCCAGCCTAGTGGAGCTGAACACACCCAGGTTACAGCTAATAATTTACTTTGTAGTACACATAAAAGCAAGACATCAAAAGAAAAACAGCACAGCCACAACTTAGATACCCCTTCATAATGTTTGCAACAAGGAGCCAATCACTTGAAAACACTGAGGTGTGGAATGATGAAAATTACTGATGAATACTGATTTCTGAGCATTGCATTACAGAGAGCATTATGGTTATATTCAGTATATCTAGGACAGTTTTCATTTGCGCCCAGGTGCAGAGCATGGTCTTGCAAGCCCCCTGCAAACAGTAGTCTTGGATGGGATTAGTTAGGAGTTATATATATGGTTATAAACATTACAGACGTCCTGGGCATGTTATACTCATCACATGTAGTTTCATCCAAATCCTCCATAAAAAGAAGGAGAAATAACCCCAGTTTATATTAATCATGTGCTATAAAAAAGCAGTAGAAATAATCTCATTATATTAATGCTGTGCTATTAAAAGCAGAAGAAAATCCCAGATGATATTAATCCTGGGCATAAAACAATCTGTACAAATATATAGAACCATCTATAACACATCCATGGTCATTCTCCATCAATCTGAAGAACATGTTCATGATGCAAAGAACTCTTTAAATCATGCAAAAAGGTTCTTTGAGTGTTCATGGTTCTACATAGAACCATTTTCGTTATTAAGAAAAAACATCTTTTTTAAAAGTGTAGCTACAAAATGACTGCATGTACCAAATACAAGAGCACAATAAATACATTTCAGTGAATAGAACTGGGTTACACTGTAATTGTTCAAATACTGTGTGTGAAAAGGGTCTATAAACAACAAATGCAGTTGCCTACAAAGTTTTGGGCCCCACTGCTGTGTATGTTTCTACCAGTCTCTAAATAAAAAGAAGCTGAAACATCTATACATGGTTTAAGATCAATCATGATGGACCCTGTTTTTCTGACCCAAAGTGCAGTGTAATAGCAGGACTAGCAGAGTGACGTGACTTAGAGTCATGAGGGCGTGTCCAAAAGACACATGCTATGTTAATGCAATCATTAGCATTATGCGCAAATGGTTCGGAGTCAAATACAGTTGTAGGCAAAAGTTACGGCACATTTTGTAATTTATGATCAAAATGTTAAACTCAGCAAATAAATAGAAATTGTGCTTTAAAATTTGCAGAACATTTGAAAACTTGAAAACTAATTTTTACTAAGAAAATCAACAGAACGTTTCGTTTGATGAGGAGTGGTCAACTTTTGCATATGACTGCTGTACAAATAGGATTAATAATCACATGAATAGTCACATGCTTGTGAAAAGCATTCTTGTTCTGACTTTTAGACGACTTTCCTCTTCAGTATTATACATATGCCTTCACTCCAAAAAAAGTCTTGACAAGTGAAAATGTCTTAAATCTAATTAATATATCTAATATTCCTCAATTTGAGATTGTTGTAAGAATATTGAGAGATTTTCTAACCTATTTCTTGATTTTTTTTTACTTCTTTAAGTCATTTTAGCTACAGGCAAATTCTTATGTGTTGTAATGCTTGAAACTGCCAGGCAAGTAAGACATAAAATATAAAAAAAGGTAAAAAAATGAGAAATAGGTTCAAACTTCTTCTGTTATTCTTACAACAATCTAATAATAAGAAATATTATATATGTTCTCCATATTTAAATGGTCTACCAAGACCATTATTTTGCAGTTTATTGTAAAACTCTCTTGAAAACTCTCGACTGAATCTGAAGTATTTAGAGAAAGTACCATACTGCCAATCATTAAATGACAAAGAGTGAATAAAACCTGAGTTGTATTACAGCAGATTATTGGCCACTACAGGACAGTTTTCAGGCTTGAACAGAAGAAATTGACCACCCACAGATGATTCCAGAAGGCTTCAGCCTCACAGCGTTCTCTTGCATTCTATAGCTCCATATTCACAGCACTGCACACAGGGTTATTTCTAAACATCTGGGGCCTCTAAATGACTTCCTATCACCACAAAGATATTAGTTTTTATGTAAGCAAGAAAATATGAATTAATGTTTCATACTTCATTAATAACTAGCTTAATAAATACTAACAAATACAATATAACAACAATCATTAAAATGGAAGTCTACTGATTTTTTTTCTGTATAACTAAATGGTTAAGATGTAAACATTCAGAGTGGTTTGGTGTGAAACGCTCTTTTCTAGAGAATCTTACTGAGTCAGAATTGTTCACAGTAGTGGTGATAGGAACCAGACGTCCACCTCTAAAGGCTCCCTCACAGAAAGTTACTACATGAAATGGTTATGAATTCACTGCCTGATGTCTGAGACACTGTTTTACAAAAGTGTTCAGAAATATAAAAATGTGCTTCAAAACCTGATTATGTCAGAGAGGTTCATGCTTATTTTTACAAATAGCTATAGTTGTGTTGTAGTTATGGCGACCCCTGGTTCCTATCACCACCACTGTAAAGAAATCTGAACTACTCTCTGAATTACTGTTTACATCACAACAATTGAACTATTCTGAATATTCTCAACAATTTACTAAACAATTGAGGAAATCAGCTGAATCAGCTAAACCTCGTTTTTGGGTCCTAGATATTAGCCTTAACTTATTCCACTTTCACTTCTTTATAATGTTTCTCATAATTTAAACTGTTTGCTGAAAGAATTTTGGATTTATACAGTTCACCTGTTTTGTAAAGATGTAATTTCAGCTTCTGTTCACAGTAAGAGAAACGTGCTCTTACCACAGGTCGGTCGTGATGTAGTGGTGTGTCAAATTTCTTCTAATAACCTCACTCTTCTGTAGGAGCTTTATTAACTCTTCTCTGCCTGTTTCAGTGATCGACTACTGCTCATTCGGAAATGATAGCTGTGAGCACGAGTGTGTCAGCGTCCTTAACGGCTTTAACTGTCGCTGTAAGGAAGGATACACTCTCAATGACGACGAAAGGACCTGCACAAGTTAGTGGGGGCGACTAAGCCAATCACGCCTTTTCTCCTTTTAACCAGGACATCAAGATACAGTGTTTTGTCTACACTTGCTTTGACGTACCGGGGGGTACACCAAATAACAGGAACACCAAACGGGTCATATTGTGCTTATTACTCAATGGATACGTTTACATCCAAAGGTTTTTGCCAATCCGATTGAAGACATTCTGATTACAGATTAACACTGAGGTGTTTATTCTCACTCTACTCAACAATCTGATGGAAAATCTTCATTTACATGCTCACTACAAGTACTCAGATCCAAAATTACACACATGCACAGAGAACCACTTAGTGTAGAGGTTACCATGACAACAAGCATCACATGAGTCCAGTCAGAGTGAGATGAGCAGCAGTGAGCAGTGCTTGTGTGTTTAATTGCTTTAAAATGATGTCAGACTCAGGAAAACGTCCTTCACATGTCCTTATTAAAGAAGGCTGAGAGGAAGACGTCGTGTTCTGAGACACATAAGCTGGACGTCCGTCCCACCGCCGTCTTTTAAAGATCAGAGCATAAACTTCGTCTCCTCTGCAGACCAGTTTCTGCTCCGCCATGTTGAACGTTATAAACTTTCACTATGACACGACGAACATGATCAGAACGTACTTAAACTTTCTGATAGGGAATGTAATCAGATACAGGCGTTAACACGGATATTATTCTTCTATTTAACAGATTATTCACAGGACTAACCACCTCAGTCAGTCATATAGAAATTGTATTCTGAATGGCTTCAATTGGACAAGTATATTCCGATTGAGGTGTTTACATGGACACATTGTATTCTGATTGAGCTATTAGTCAGAACAGTATAGTTTGAGCAACTAAAGCAATAAACAAAAACAGACTAATGCCGAACACGCTGTCATTAGTGTACTTAAAAAGAACTCTGTCTCAGCACCACAGTCCGTGCGGTGGACCAATCACAGTCAGGGGGAGGTCTCTGAACAGGAATAAACCTTATAGAGCAGCAAGTGAGCATGGACTCATGAATAATTCATGCAGTTATTTAGAGCTACTTGAGCTCTAAATGAGTGTTTTGAAGTTACATTTCTTTTAGGTCTCTGGAGAACTGGTTGGCATTTTGGTGAGAATTAGATTTAAGACACACTTGTGTGGGTTAATACTTGCTCTACGTTTTTTAACATCCAGCCTGAATGTTTTGAGCATGAAAGTTTGTAGTTTGCCTTATAATTTTTGTAGTTTGGCTTATCAGTTTTTCAGCAACCTCTTGGTAAATAATATACATCACTGATTTGTAAAGAATTTGTTTTGTTATTGAGTGCACAAGTCCATGCCTGATGGTGTTTCTGCTCATTTGTCTACCCCCTTGTAACTCTTACTCAAAATTACAAATACTTCATTTAAGAACTTAATATAAATGAATACACTCATAAGTCTGAGTTTGCATACTTGAAAGCAGATTTGTAATGATTTTCTACACAATATTAACTTAAACACCTACAATTTCTTTACGTGTGTATTCATATTAATAGTTAATTAGTGGTGAACTGTGTTGAGTTAATTGGATTTCAGTCTGAAGGACTAAGTCAGTTGAAAGTTTGGGAATACATGTCAAGTGATGTCCTGATTTGACACTCATTGGTTTTTTGACTTTTTATGAATACTTGATGAACGTCAACAATACAAAACAAGATATCACCTATAGAAAATAATCAAAAAGCAAGCGTACACAAAGTTTGGTAGTAATCATTGAGTAGTGCACATCAGCCATAACTGCAGTGTTTGAATGATAGCTCAGTGTAATTACAGGCATGTGCATGCACAGCACACAGAGCTGCTAATGAAATTAACCCAGTCCACACGCTGTTTACCTGTTCCAGTGATCGACTACTGTTCATTTGGGAATGATAGCTGTGAACACGAGTGTGTGAGTGTGCTCCAAAGCTTTTATTGCCGCTGCAATGATGGATACACCCTCAATGAGGATGAGACAACTTGTACAAGTTAGTGAGGGTGACAAACACATACACACACTCCTATACATGCCCAACATCCTCAACAGAGGTTCTCATTTCAGTCCCTGTTGGGAAATGTACTTTGGCTGTAGGTTCTAGGGCCTGACCGATATACAGATTTTGTGGCAAATACCGATACCAATTCACCTGTTTTTTATTGTGGCAGTCATGCACAAGTTTTATTTGAAGAAAGCTGTAGTTGTCCGTTTTATCTCTTATTTTGTGGAGAGGTGGGGATTGTTTTTCACAGCAGGGGGCTCTCACTCCTCTCTTTTTGCCCCTCATTGCTTACTAGCAGCTCAATACAGTCACAACATTTCACACACAGGGAGACAACCATGCCCTAGTTCACCTAATAACAGTTAGGAGGAAAGATCCCCCTATAAAATAGATACGTCGCCTGCTGTACGATATGGTCTTCTTACAATTCAGCCTTTCTTTTCTCGCATAGTAACTAAAGCCCTCAACACCATCAACACTACTAAAGGTACAGGAAAGGATAGTTTGGACCCCTTTTTTCTGAAGCTTGCGACCTCTGTTATTATAAACATTTTTAATCAATCTATTTTATCAAGCAGAGCACAAAGGAGATGATGCCTCAGATACTAATAACTACAAAATATTGGTTTTGACCAAAGAACTACCAACTGTATTACAAATGATCTCTCTGATAGACAGCGATGTGTGGCTCTGGGACAAAGTAAATCAGATTTACTACCGGTGCATAAGGGGGGTCCCTCAAGGTTCGATCCTCAGATCAATATTAATTAGTATATATATATATATATATATATATATATATATATATATATATATATATATATATATATATATTAATGACATTGCCCCTCCATTATCAATTGCAAAGTACACTTATATGCTGATGTCACCATTCTGTACCGCTTGGCTGACTATTATTAGTACTGTAGCGGAATAACTACAGTATTCTTTTTATCCTTTTTATGCCCTGTCGGCGTTTGACAATTAGATTATTTTATTTTTGCAAATTTAGTGGTTCATTCTGATTTTATTGATTTTTACTATAAAATGTACTATTATTATTATTATTTTATTTTTATTTTTTCAGTCCCTGATTTCTGTATTGGCTCGGCTACACTATAAATTAGGGTCACTCTCAATGTACTCCAAGTTCAAATAATGATTGATTCCCAGTTATCGCAGAGCGTTATCGTCAATACTTTTGCCAATACTGATAAAAACGTGGGTCATCAGTATCGGCCAGCAGACATATCGGTCAGGCTCTAGTAACTTCCTGAGGATACTGCTCTATATTATTCTTTTTAACACAATATTTGCATGTTTTGCATTTTGTCCCTGTTTAAAAGTCATGATCACTGAACTGATCACATTACTGGATTTCACTACTGAATGTTTTTTGAGTTTCCACTGGTCACCAAACTTAACAATTTGCTTTGCATTTTGGCCTCAAATACACAATTCACAACTGTAAATAACTGTAACAGTAAAATACAACTCTACATAATGTTTTTTTTTTTAGAAAATGTATTCATCATTCAATTTGTGGTGGGGCACCTTCAAATTTATTCAGAAATACATCAAATTGTAATTGCTTGAGTTGCTGTTCCTGAGTTTTCTAACATGTTTTGGTTGTGCTCTGCCTGTTCCAGTGATCGACTACTGTTCATTTGGAAACGACAGCTGTGAGCACGAGTGTGTGAGCATCCTCAATGGCTTTAACTGTCGCTGTAAAGAGGGATACAAGCTCAACGACGACAAAAAGACCTGCACAAGTTAGTGGGGACACCCAGCTATCAATGCGTTTTCTCTTATTGCTTTGCTTGCTAATCTTGCTCTTCCAAAAGTACACGATCTCTCACTGTTCTTTACGTGTTCCAGTGATCGACTACTGTTCTTTTGGAAATGATAGCTGCGAGCACGAGTGTGTGAGCGTCCTCAATGGCTTTTACTGTCGCTGTAATGAGGGATACACTCTCAATGAAGATGAAAGGACCTGTACAAGTTAGTTGGGGGCAACTAAGCCACCAAGGCTTTTTCTCTTATCACACATTTGCTTTGCATGCTCTTCCTGCTCTTGCAAACATGTAGAATCTCTTATTGTTCTCTGCCTGTTCCAGTGATTGACTACTGTTCATTTGGAAACGATAGCTGTGAGCACGAGTGTGTGAGCATCCTCAAAGGCTTTTACTGCAGCTGTAATGAAGGATACACTCTCAATGAAGACAAGAGGACCTGCACAAGTTAGTGAGGGCCAAACTGCATGCAACACACTATCAATCACTAAGGAACAGCCACAGAAGTCTGCATATTTTCCTGACAAGTTTACTTGGCAACAGTTTACAAATACATACAGACGGGTGACAAATTAAAAGAAAAACCAGCATACAGTATCTTAGTAAGGTGCTGGGCCACCAAATGTCATGAGAACAGCTTCAGTTTAGGCCTCACATGATCTTGATATTTTGGCTGACGATTAATTGCCACATAAATAATTGTTATTAACAAGTTAATAGTCTGCAAGGAACTTACAGACAATCCTGAAGTGACCAAATTGGCTCATTATCTTATTTCCCAGCTATCAATACTGACATAATTCAAGCTCAGACTGAGAAATGTTACTCATCACTGCCCTCTAAAGGTGTCATAGCACAAATCAGAAGTTATAACTATTGTTGTTCTATAAGATTCATCTTGTGCCTCCATAAAGAAATGTATTGCTTTCTTTTATTTACATGCATTTGCCTCAACACAACTGATGGGCATACAGCCAATTCACATTCAGTTTGTTGTGACATAAACATTAGATTATGCTGGAGATCATTTAACGCAGTCTAGAGCTTTACATTGAATGCAAACTGTCAGACATGCAAGCAGGACTACAGAAAAGCCTTTTTGTCAACCATGTAAAATTATGGACTGTCCCCAAGAAAATGAGTATACCAGAGCATCCCATTGTTCTAATGAGGACCCTACACACTGAACAACAAGCTACAGTCATGTCAGAAAATGACAAACTGGCTGGTTCCATCTTGGCGAAGGAGTTGGTCAAGGCTGCCCTTTATCCCCATACTTGTTCGTCCTGTATGCTAAACATATAGGAAGACCAACAGGGCTGGAGGAAGATGATCACAGATTCAAGAATGGTACAAGAAACATCAGTGATCTTCAATATGTGGATGACACAACACTCAGCAGAAAATCAGAAGAAACTGAAGACTATATAAGGAAAGTTACAGAAATGATGGGACTTCAGTTTAATATGAAGAAAATAAAGGTTATGACAACACAAAAGAAGACTAACTTTATCAATGAATGTGAAGATGTAGAGGTGGTGAGCAGTTTTTGCCCACTGGGATTAATTATATACAACAAAGAAGCCAACAGTCAAGTAATATGAGAATAAAAAGACCATCTTCAACTTGTAAGGGGTCAGGTTACGACGTCAACTTGTAAGGGGTCAGGCTACGACGTCAGCCGCCACAGGGGGGCCCAGGCGTTGTGCCAGGATTGCTGCTAGACGCAGCTCCCAGAACTCCAACTCCCAAAAGCCTTAGTAATAATCAGTGCTGACCGGTTGCACGTGGGGAACGCTGCATAAAAACTTGCACAAATGGCAGCTCAGCATTATACCTTTGTAGAAGGTAACCAGAATGGTACTTCAGCCCAGGTGAGAGGGAGGGAGGGAAGAAGGAAGGAAGGAAGGAAGGAAAGGGAAGGAAGGAAGGAAGAAAGGAAGGGAGGGAGGAAGGAAGGAAGGAAGGAAGGAAGGGAGGGAGGAAGGAAGGGACAGAGGGAGGGGGGAAGGGAGGGGGGAAGGGAGGGAGGAAGGAAGGAAAGGGAAGGAAGGAAGGGAAGGGAAGGGAGGAAGGAAGGAAGGAAGGAAGGGAGGAAGGGACAGAGGGAGGGGGGAAGGGAGGGAGGAAGGAAAAAAAGAAAAGGAAAAGAAAAGAAAAGAACAAGGTCAAAAGAAAAAGACAATCTCAAGGGTGGTTGGTGAGCTGGACTCACCCTTATGCCCTCTCAAGTTTGTGGGTGGTTTTGTGTTCTTTTAGTTTCCATTTTTTAAGAAGTTCCTTTGTTTGAGCTCGCTGGTTGTAAGCATCTCTTTTGTTTGCCATTCCCGCCATTTCTTTTCCCATCGCTTAGCATAGCAGTTTTTCCACCTCATTTACTACAGCCCCTGTGGCACAGTGGTAGAGCTCCACTCTGTCACGCAATAGGTTGTTGGTTTGAACTTGGCATCTGCTCTCGCCACAAACAGACACCAAGCATATCTATTCCACTTTACCATCTCATACCAGATCATGTTCCACACACTACAATAACAAATGAATTATTTATTATGGACTGGGGCATTGTCATCCCGGAAGACATCACTCGAATCAGGATAGAAAAGTTTCATCATAGAATAAAGATGATCAGTTCAGATTAACTTTATATTGATTTGCAGTGACCGTTCTCTCTAAGGGAACATGTGGACCCAACCCTTGCCAGCAAAATGCCATACACAGCATAACAGTGCCACTGGTCCCCCCACCCTCTCACTGTATGGGTCAAACATTCAGGCCTGTACTGTTCTCTTGGTGTACACTGCACTTGCCATTTGCCCACTTGTGGAGAGTCCAGAAACCAACTCTTATCTCTCAAATGGTCATTTATGTTTGTAATGAGGAGCTTATGCAGTCCCGCTATCATTTCTGCTCTATGTAGTTGTGGACGGACTGTTCTTGCTGACACAGACTGATCACGTCCTGCATTAACGTTCTTAATAATCTGAGGAACAGCTGCTCTCACATATCGCACTAATTCACAAGCATCGCGCTCACTAAATGTGAGCTTTTCACCACAATTTTCAACCCTATTTACTGATGTCTTTCTCATCTCTCATCTAAGTCTCTTTAGTCACTGTTCCTATTAAAACACTAGCAAGTTGTGAGTGAAACTTCTGCCATCTGTACCCCAATAATACCCCAATAATAAACACTCTTTCAAAGCCACTTAAATCTTTTGCTCTTGCCATCTTGATCCAAAATTGAAGTCAACTGGGCCTATTCAGCATTTTATATATTCCATTTTATATACTCATCTCAGTTATGCAGGTTTTTCCTTTAATTTGTCATACCTGTGGATTACATCTTCTAACTGTAGTCCATAAAAGCATTGGTTCTAATCAACTTTCCAGTATACGTCTTACAGTCTATTAGGGTAAAGTGGAAAATCAGTCTGAAATATATAACAATATCTGTACAAATATTGTTTTTATGTACCAAAAATGGCCATCCTCGAATGCACCCTGACTCATGTAATCTGTCTCCAGTGATCGACTATTGTTCATTCGGAAACGATAGCTGTGAGCACGAATGTGTGAGCGTCCTCAAAGGCTTTAACTGCCGCTGTTACGAAGGATATACACTCAACGAGGATAAGAGGACCTGCACAAGTTAGTAAAGTCCTGAGATCAGACCACACACATGCCTTTCCTAATCTACATAAAATCTCCAAAAATAAGAACTGTACAGTGGTTTGAGAAAGTAATACACCCTCTAAAAAGGTCTTTTTTAACATATTTGGAGACATAGATATTTAATACAATTACTGTTAGTAGTTTAAGGCAGTAATCATCAATCTGATCCACAAAGAGGTTTTCATTCTAACCAAGCAGGAACACACCTCATATAACCAATCAACTCTCTGAGACCACCTGATTAAACCAGCGGAATTAAGTGTGCCATTCCATGATTGGAATGAAAACCCACAGCCATGAAGGGATAAGATTGGTGACCCCTGGTTTAAAGTGATCCTGTTGAAATATGAACACTTTTGTTATTATTTATTTGGCAGGAATTACCAGAAATGTTTGGGTATGTTTGACAACTCAAATGTGAGTTATTTAGTTAAATGTTAGGCATCATGTTTAGCATGAACCAAAATCCAAAACAAAATGACTGTACCGACTGTAAAGTGGTGGGATTACAATTAAGTCCACAGTGTAACAGAGGATAATTACAGAAGACAACATGAGTCTAACTGTTAAAAAGCTGAAGGTCAGGCAAAAATTGATCTTGAAGTTAGACAAGGAAATCAAACCGAGACAACAATGGTCCATTTGAAGCCCAGATTTAAACTGGGTGAAAATTCCAAGAGGACTTAAAGCATGTGAGAAAGTCCTGACAGATGAGCCAGCACTGAATAGAGAAGGGGCCCTAAATTCCACTGGGTCAATGTAAGAAAGTCCAGCAATTCTAATTAAGTGTCACATGCACAAAAACATTTAGAATATTTTAAGCTTGTGCAACAAGACACTGTGCAATTGGCACAGGATGCCAAAAATAGCCACTTGTTTCACTTTAGCACTGCTGACTTTTAATATCAAACAATTGCTTAAATAATATTAATTTAATATTAATAGAGACAGTACCTTCCCATTAAACTGTTTAGAATAATACTTTACCCATCATTTAAATGGGAAGCTATAAGATATTTAAACTTAAATGAATAGTCGGAATGAGTGATGCTTATCTTTTTGCATTTCACTTGTTTTTGTAGGTCTCTACCCCTCAATTCTGTATGTGTCAGAAGTGTACACATTTTTAGGTGTAATCTCTTAAAAAAAAATGTACTAGGAAGTCTTACATACATAATAACGTGGGCCCAAATAGAAGCTAGAGGGCACATTTACTTTTTCACACTCAAGGAAATTGCATTTAAGTTTCTTTCAGTTGATAATAACTGAAAACCAGAATAGTCAGTGCTTTTGTTAACTAGGTCATATTATTCCAAAGACAGCACTAAACCTGGGATTAGACATTTATGTTCAAGTATGTTAAAAAAGACTTTACCTCAGAGCACTGTACACTGATATGCTGTATAGATATATACATAAAATGTATATTATATATTTAATACCATAGCTCTTTTGAGATTATTGTAAATATCTGCAATACAATATTGTATGCTAGATTTTTCAAGGATTAAATACTGAGGGAACAAATGTGACTGAAACACCAGGCCAGGATTCCTGTCTATTTTAATTAGTTTCTTTCTGCTTATATATGAACCTTTAAGTTACAACCAGTTTCTGTGCAAACTCACTTTCAGGATTTTAACCTACTTGCTGAATTAGCATGGTGAAACTTTCATGCAGCATACTCAATTACTCTAGTACTTGGTAGGGGTTGGGCAATATGATGATATTTTATCATATTGTGATACATTATGCTTTTCTGAGTATATTATACATAAAGTCAGTATTTAAACAACACGGAACAAATGCATGTTTCATTACAAAGAGGGCAAAATGAAGTGTTTCAGTGGGTTTAATGCAGCACAGTTAGCTTATTTATTTATTTATTTATTTATTTATTTACATACATACATACATCTAGGACCACATCTTGGTCTTCCATTACATTGTAGTCTTCATCCTTTGACTACTTAAAGGAATCTCCACTCTGTGTAAAATCATTGGTTGCCAAGAGAGAAAATGAATACCAGCAGGTTAACAAAGCAGAACAAACGCAGGTACAAGCAGCTGTTTGAACAGCTGTCATGTTCACATTAGCTGGCAGGCTAACTATTTTGGCAAACTGGTTACCAGCAAATAGGCAACGTAACTCAGTAAGATTCATGAAGCACATTATTATTTGTAGTTATGGTTCAGGTGACTGATATCATGAAAATCTGAGAACCTTCTCAACCCTCCAAGAGACCGTCTTCTGTTTTATTTTTCTTGGCGAAGACATGTCAGTTGAATCAATGGAAAATGATATAGTTTGACATCATCTCATGGTACATAATTTGGCTTTTGTCACTGGTGACAACAGTGTCAAACAAGCTTCAAATGAATTCAGGAGGCTTTACGTTTTATGCAACACAAGTAAAATTTGGTTTCTTAGTTTTAAGCAACCAATGTTACATGAAAGTTTCACCACATTAAGCCACCCTAACAATATAACAGGTCCTTTGACTTTAGTTTTTATTAGTTTAGCATCTAATTGTGCTTCACAATGATTCACGCTCGCAGCTTATTAACTGCTTTGCTTGTTCTTCTCTCATCTCGCTCTGTCTCTTATTGTTTTCTACATGTTCCAGTGATCGACTACTGCTCATTTGGAAATGATAGCTGTGAGCACGAGTGTGTGAGCATCCTCAAAGGCTTTAACTGCCGCTGTAATGAGGGATACACACTTAACGAGGACAAGAGGACCTGCACAAGTTAGTGAGGGCCAAATATCAGCCCAAACATACCTGCACACATGCCCAACTGTAAATGTTAATATTATTTGTATATGGTTAAAAAAAAACTACAGATAAAACTGTTGTGCAAATGTTTTGGATTTGGAAGACCAAGACTACTCTCAGATAGAACTGCTTATATGCTGACCAGAAAGGTAAAGCAAAACCCCCATATGACAGCAAAGGACCTACAGGAAGGTTTAGCTGACACTGGAGTGGTGATGCACTGTTCTACTGTACAACAGTCATCTACATTAATGAGTCATCAAAAGGAAAACTTATCACAAGAGTCAACATCTAAAGGATGCAAAACAACTTCTAGATAATCCAGAGCCATTTTGGAAACAAGTGCTGTGGTCTGATGAAGTAAAAACACAACTCTTTGGCCACAATCACCAAAAGTATGTTTGGAGAAAAAAGGAACAGCATTTGATGAAAAGAACACCGTGCCAACTGTTAAGCAGGGTGGATCTATTATGTTTTGGGGTTGTGTGGCAGCCACTGACACAGGAAACACTGCAGAGGTAGATTGAATAATGGATTCCACTAAATATCAGCAAATTCTTAAAGGAAATGTGAGACAGTCAGCCATGAAACTAAAGCTGAAAAGATGCTGGCTTATTCAACTGGATAAAGATCTAAACATACTTCTGTTATATTGTTCCTGGCCAAGACATGTCAGTTGAATCCACGGAAAATGATCTAGTTTGACATCATCTCATGGTACATCATTGGCATTTTGTCATTATTGACAACAGTGTCAAACAAGCTTCCTGTGAATTCACAAGGCTTTAGATTATGCAACACAAGTAAAATTTGGTTTCTTTGTTTTAAGCAATTAACCTTTCATGAAAATGTCACCACATTAAGCCACCCTAACAATATAACAGGTCCTTTGATTTTAGTTTTTATTAGTTTAGCATCTAATTGTGCTTCACAATGATTCACGCTTGCAGCTTATTAACTGCTTTGCTTGTTCTTCTCTCATCTCGCTCTGTCTCTTATTGTTCTCTACATGTTCCAGTGATCGACTACTGCTCATTTGGAAATGATAGCTGTGAGCACGAGTGTGTGAGCATCCTCAAAGGCTTTAACTGCCGCTGTAATGAAGGATACACACTTAACGAGGACAAGAGGACCTGCACAAGTTAGTGGGGGGCCAAATATCAGCCCATACATACCTGCACACATGCCCAACTGTAAATGTTAATTTTATTTGTATATGATTAACTTAAAAAAACTAAAGATAAAACTGTTGTGCAAATGTTTGGACACCCTTCTAGTTGTAAAGTGGCAGAACTTAATTAGCCCATTTTGCTTTAATTGACTCATTAGGACTGGTTAGGTAGGTCAAGAATTGATGTTAGGGATTGTCAGCTGATGACTAAAATCTGTCACTGTTCAAACCATTTGCTAACATTTAATAACCACGGGATCCTCGAAGCAGCTGGCTGAGCATCTGGAAATTAAGCTAACTGATGTGTATAAAGCAGCAAAAGACTATTAAAAGATATCAAAGCTCTTCAAGCTCACAGTTTACACTGTCAAAAACTGTCAAAAAATGTCATCAAGAAGATTTGGAAGACCAAGACTACTCTCAGATAGAACTGCTCATATGCTGGCCAGAAAGGCAAAGCAAAACCCCCATATGACAGTAAAAGACCTGCAGGAAGGTTTAGCTGGCACGGGAGTGGTGGTGCACCGTTCTACTGTACAACATTGATCTACATTGAAGATTCATTAGAAGAGAACCTTATCACAAGAGTCAACGTCTAAAGGACGCAAAACAACTTCTAGATAAGCCAGAGCCACTTTTGGAAACAAGTGCTGTGGTCTGATGAAGTAAAAACACAACTCTTTGGCTACAATGACTAAAAGTATGTTTGGAGAAAAAAAGGAACAGCATTTGGTGAAAGAACACCGTGATAACTGTTACTTGGCAGCCACTGACACAGGAAACACTGCAGAGGTAGATTGAAGAATGGATTCCACTAAATATCAGCAAATTCTGGAAGGAAATGTGAGACAGTCAGCCATGAAACTAAACCTGAAAAGATGCTGGCTTATTCAACTGGATAAAGATCCTAAACATACTTCTGTTTTATTTTGTCCTGGCCAAGACATGTCAGTTGAATCAATGGAAAATTATATAGTTTGACTTCATCTCATGGCACATAACTGCCATTATGTCATAGGTGACAACAGTGTCAAACAAGCTTCAAGTGAATTCACAAGGCTTTAGATTATGCAACACAAGTAACATTTGGTTTCTTAGCTTTTAGCAATTAACCTTTCATGAAAGTTTTCACCACATTAAGCCACCCTAACAATATAACAGGTCCTTTGACTTTAGTTCTTATTAGTTTAGCATCTAATTGTGCTTCACAATGATTTACGCTTGCAGCTTATTAACTGCTTTGCTTGTTCTTCTCTCATCTCGCTCTGTCTCTTATTGTTCTCTACATGTTCCAGTGATCGACTACTGCTCATTTGGAAATGATAGCTGTGAGCACGAGTGTGTGAGCATCCTCAAAGGCTTTAACTGCCGCTGTAATGAAGGATACACACTTAACGAGGACAAGAGGACCTGCACAAGTTAGTGAGGGCCAAATATCAGCCCATACATACCTGCACACATGCCCAACTGTAAATGTTAACATTACTTTGTATGATGATTAACTTAAAATAAATATAAAACTGTTGTGCAAAGGTTTGAACATCCTTTCAGTTATAAAGTGGCAGAATGTAATTAGCCTGTTTGGCTTTAATTGACTCATTAGGACTGGTTAGGTAGGTCAAGAATTGACATCAGGAATTGTCGACTGATGACAAAAGTCTCTTACTGACTTACTTCAAACTGTTTGCTCACATTTAACCTCAGGATCCTCGAAGCAGCTGGCTGAGGATCTGAAAATGAAGCTAACTGATGTGTATAAAGCAGCAAAAGACTATTAAAAGATATCAAAGTTCTTCAAGTTCACAGTTTACACTGTCAAAAAATGTCATCAAGAAAATTTGGAAGACCAAGACTACTCTCAGATAGAACTGCTCATATGCTGGCCAGAAAGGCAAAGCAAAACCCCCATATGACAGCAAAAGACCTGCAGGAAGGTTCAGCTGACACAGGAGTAGTGATGCACCATTCTACTGTACAAAATTGATCTGCTTTGAAGATTCATTAGAAGAGAACCTAATCACAAGAGTGAACATTTAAAGGACGCAAAACAACTTCTAGATAAGCCAGAGCCACTTTGGAAACAAGTGCTGTGGTCTGATGAAGTAAAAACACAACTCTTTGGCCACAATCACCAAAAGTATGTTTGGAGAAGAAAAGAAACAGCATTTGATGAAAAGAACACCGTGCCAACTGTTAAGCAGGGTGGATCTATTATGCTTTGGGGTTGTGTGGCAGCCACTGACACAGGAAACACTGCACATGTAGATTGAAGAATGGATCCCACTAAATATCAGCAAATTCTTGAAGGAAATGTGAGACAGTCAGCCATGAAACTAAACCTGAGAAGATGCTGGCTTATTCAAAAGGATGAAGATCTAAACATACCTCAAAATCCTTTGTGATGGCTTTTTTACTGTCCCTTGACATCATCGAAAATTTGTGGGTAGATCCTAAACATGCTGTGCTTGCAACACGGCCCAAGAATATCACTGAACTGAAAGCATTCTGCAAGGAAGAGTGGATGAAATTGCATAAAAAAGAATGGAAAGACTCCTAGATATGTACTGACGAAGACTAAGTACTGACTTAGAGACCCAGCTAGTACATTTGAACTGGCCACAACTAAACTGGGGGAAAAATGATGAAGTCAGATCATAACCCCAAGTTTCACAGCCAGTGCTCTGCAATCTGCATTTAAATATACATGCAATGTTTCTTTCTTTCAACTTTCTTTGCCTAGCGTAGAGTTTACTTTCGCCTTTCAATAATATCTTTTCAATAATATATCTAATAATCTTTTGTATCACTTGCCCTGCTTACTTTCTCACTTTATCCAAAATAAATATATTACTGTTGTCAACCTGTTGCAGTGATCGACTACTGCTCATTTGGAAACGATAGCTGCGAACACACGTGCGTGAGTGTCCTCAAAGGCTTTTATTGTCGCTGTAATGGTGGATATACACTCAACGACGACAAGAAGACCTGCACAAGTTAGTGAGGGCCGCAGATCGAGCCGAACACACTGTTGTGTTGAACTGCATGCTTTCTACACTGCATGCTTGCATTTATCCAGTGGGACACACACTTGTGCATGAAAATTGCATGTGGACATACATGCTGTCACATGCGACAAGTCATAATACTGTGTTTCATGTGATTCTACTTTATCTAAAATTAATGTAATTTAATGTAATGTAATTTAAATACGGCTTCTTATAGTTGATGAGAGCTCTGTGAAACGGAGTTTTCCAGGAGTTCCTTAGCCGACTTTTCCTGATTATTTGCATCACTTTTTCTATAGATTTGTTCAGCTATAATAACAATATAAGTCTGGCTTTTTGGTTTGCTTATAGCTGACTAATCATTAGTGTCCTATAACAGATTCACAATGAAAGTCTTGGTAGCAAATTATAAACATATATGTTTCTGATTTTGTTTATTAAACTGCAAAGTGGTTCAGGTTCAGAAAGTAAAAATCCTCCCCAGGATTTTGTTCCATCTGCCTTGCATCTCTAATAAGCTCAAACCAGCAGCAGATAATGTTAGGCAGTTGGAACAAAATCCTGGGGAGGATTTTAATTATTTGGACCTACATTTTTAAAAATGGTCCTACTTCATTTGGATAGGCCCAGTAGATTATCTATAGATGTTCAGATATGTTACAAACTATCTGGTGAAAATCAGTTGATTCTCCACGGGATTAGGGTGAGGGTTAGGATTAGCACCCAAGCTGTAACATCTGTCTAAATTTAGATATTTAGCTGAAAGTAATCGAAATGGAATCTTCATCTACAGTGGGCTATTCAAATCAAGTTTTACAATTAAAAATTGTCCTCCAAATGACAATTCTTAAAACTTATTTTTAGATCCCTTATTGTAAATCGGTAACTTTTTTGGACACCTTAATTGGTGAAAATAGCCATTGAGAAAAACTCTTGCCACTTAGTGCTCTTGGTAAGATGAGCACTTGAGGTAGCATGTGCTTGTTTCATATTATGTTAACCTGTTTTTTTTTTAACGTTACGCTTATGTACAGTCACATACAGGGCAAAATATCCTGCTTGGTTACTTATATTTATGTCCTATGTACAACAAATCAAGCTACCTCAAGAGCTTTTTTATATATTATATTATATTATCATTGGAACCATTTCAGAGCTAACAAACATGTTATCTGTTAAAGGGGCATTCTGGCCTAAAACTAGCAATTAATATATTTGTTAAGTTATGTTACATGCTGTAGCACAGTACCGTCTCCCTCAGCCTTAACTGGTTTGACAGAATTCACGTTTTTGGTCTATTAGTTTTGTTTCACTACAATACCCACCATACATTGCGCAAATATGTCATACAACCATTACAGACATGATATTTAGCATCCTAACAGTAGCTATCTGGCTTCCTTCTGCATTAGCAAATGTGAAGAGCCTTCCCTCAAGTTTCCATCCCAAAGCACTTTTTCCTTCCACCTTTAAGATACAGCTTCCCAGTCTTTAAACTGGAAAATACTATCTGGACTCTTGCGGTACGAGGCAAGTAGGTATGGTTACAACAGATTTCTTGTTTTTTGCCAAAATGCCCCTTTAACTGTCAATCTGTAACTGTCCAGTAAGAAAGGCGTTGTCTATTTGTGTATGTGTAAAACATTTTATTCACCAACTCTTCCTTTCTGATTTGTGTTTTATAGCACTGTCTACAACCTGCTCTTTCTTTATGATTTCAGTGATTGACTATTGCTCATTTGGGAATCACAGCTGTGATCATGAATGTGTGAGCGTACTCAATGGATTTTACTGCCGCTGCAATAAAGACTACACTCTCCAGGAGGACGGGAAGACCTGCCAGGGTATGTATGGACCCAAAGGACAAGGTTTCAAGATCATTTAAGTTGAGCCTAGTTTAAGTGCTGACTAATAGCTCAGTCGCAATAGAATACGTCCATGTAAACACCTCAATCGGAATGAGGGCCGATTGAGGCCATTCGGAATACAATTTCTATATGACTGAATGAGGTGGTTAATCCTGTAAATAATCCGTTAAAAAGAAGAATAATATCCGTGTAAACGCCTGTATCTGATTACATTCCCTATCAGAAAGTTTAAGTATGTTCTGATCATGTTCGTCACATCATAGTGAAAGTTTATAACGTTCAGTATGGCGCGAGCAGAAACTGGTCTGGTGGATCATTCTCAGCGCTGCAGTAAAACTGACGTGGTGGTGGTGTGTTAGTGTGTGTTGTGCTGGTCTGAGTGGATCAGACACAGCAGTGCAGCTGGAGTTTTTAAACACCTCAGTGTCACTGCTGGACTGAGAATAGTCCATCAATCAAAAATATCCAGCCAACAGGGTCCTGTGGGCAGCGTCCTGTGACCACTGATGAAGGACTAGAGGATGACCCAACACAAACTGTGCAACAGCAGATGAGCTATCGACACTGACTTTACATCTACAAGGTGGACTGACAAGGCAGGAGTGTCTAATAGAGTGGACAGTGAGTGGACACTGATGAGAATGATCCATCAGCCAAAGTACCTGCTCTGTGAGGGTCCATGGGGGTCCTGACCACTTAAGAACAGGGTAAAAGGGGGCTAAGAAAGTATGCAGAGAAACAGATGGACTACAGTCTGTAATTGTAGAACTACAAAGTGCACCTATATAGTGGAGCAGATAAAATGGACAATGAGTGTAGAAACAAGTCATAATGTTATGCCTGATCGGTGTATTTGAACTGTTTTTAGACTGAACATCAGCTTATTTAGCAGTATAAGCCATGCTATCTCTGCCTTTACGTTTTTCACGGCCTTCTGTTTCTGCTTCAGTTATACTGGTTGCCTGTCCCGCATCACATCCAGTTAAAACTCCTACTGCTAACATAAAAATCTCTACATGATCTAGCACCGGCCTATTTAGCTGGGCTCCTGCACCCCTACTGCTCTGCCCGAACACTTCGGTCCTCTGATACAGGTCGTTTTATCTGTCCCAAAACTTAGATTGGTCATCACTGGGGGCAGATCTTTCAGCATCATGGCTCCCAAACTATGGAACTATGGAATTACTGCAGTCTGTAGAGTTCTCAGTGTGATTAAATTGACACTGACATAATTCCTTTTGACATATTATCATTGTAACCATTTCAGAACCTCATTTATCACATTATCCAACCAGTTTATCATGACTAAAATCTCAGTGACTCCATTTGCACTTCAACAAATCACTGCACTTTTCCAAGAACCTTAAGAACATTCAGGATCAACACGGTAATAAAAAGAAGGAACACCCGACCTTAAAGTGTAATGATCTTCCCAGTCCTCATTCCCGGATAGTGGAACAGCTCCAAATCAAATGCTGTTTACCGTTTATTGATTCACCAAAGTCTGTAGGACAGCGATATGTCTTTTCCAGATTTTCAGATTATTTAAGTAATAAATAATTGCAGCACTGTATCTAGTCAGTTGTGCAGAGCTAGTGAGCAATAGGAGCACAAATGCTTGTGTCTTGAGGTTGAAGTTAATATTTTGATTTACTTTTTCACAACTGTCAGAACAGAATGAGAAATTTGGACTCTTGTCTACTTCAAAGTTTTTCTGCAGTGATTCAGAATCATTTTTACTTACAAGCGGTAATGTCAATGTTCCGTTCCCACATACTTTAGAGATATCTGATGTTTACACAGTCTTATCCTTCGATATTTAAACTTTTCAAAGGGCCTTATTATCAAATACATGATTTTTATCAGTTTTTATCAGGTTCAGGAAATAGAGCCAACGAGAGTTTGTGCCAAGATAAAGTAACGATAAAGTTTCCTTTTTTTAACCGGGTAGTTAGTGAAGAATGGTCTGACTGACATGGTGTGCTTTCCCATGATGTCAAAATCAAATGAATGAACTAGGATGGAAATTAAATGTCACTCTCACTCATGGACCATGACAGACTCATCCCCCCTCTCCTTACTAGTGACTTATTATCGCAAGGGCTGAAACCCGTAAACAGAAGGAGGGCTTAAAAGTCACAAATCTCCTAATTCTACATTCAGATGTTAAAATATGTAACTGTAGAAAATGGACAGAAATAAGGAATGCATTTATGTTGCTGGGACGCTCCCCTAAATGACTCACGACTTGTTTCAGGTTGTTTTGCCTCTCTCCTTTAAACTCTACCTTTACGGCATATTTTGGCCTTGTTTTTTGAAGCCTGACAGATTTTTAGTCAAGTTTACTTTTGTACAATGCAAGTAAAACAAGACTAAACTACAATTCTCTAATAAAGATTTGAGACTCAACTTGGATTCGCACAAATTCATGTGAATGGGGCCAAGTGTGTCTTGGACACCCATCATGATCTGTTCACTCAGACCAACTTCTGAGGTGGTCAGGGACACATATGGCCTCAGTACATTTGTATGCTGAAGCAACAGCAACTGCGTCATCACTGCAGTAACAAAGCAGCTGCGTAGCTTCTTTCTTTGTCTTCGCTTCTCTTTGTTTATAAATTGTGTTAGTAGTCCATGTGTTCAAAACATCTCTATTTATTTTTTTTATTTTACCTTTATTTAACCAGGGTAATCACATCATGATTAAAAATCTCTTTTACAAGTGAGCCCTGGCCAAAAAGGCAGCACACAAACCATCAACAAAGAAACCACAACCGACAAAATCAAATCAAAGCCAAATTAAAAACAAGAACAAACAGAATGATACAGCTCTTTAACAGATATCTCAAAATCACTCAAGGAGTTAAACTGATCCAATTTCAAATGTTTCTGCAGGTCATTCCATGCAGATGGAGCTCTGTAACTAAAAGCTGCCTTGTCATATTCAGACCGTATTATTGGAACGTCCAGCTGAATTGAACTATTAGAACATAAATTGCACCAAGACTTATTTGTTGACATGAATGCAGACAAATATGAAGGAAGCTGTAAACGCCTGCACATTTACACAAACAAGGATTTTGCAGGACAGTTTTTCTGGCAACAAATGCAGCAAGAGACTGACATAGTTAATCTATTCAACCCTGCTACCCTTCCTCCAGTCATAAAATCCAATCACAAGTCTTCAAGGTCCATGGTGATGCTAGGCTACGCTCATTGTCCATTTTATCAGCTCCACTTACTATATAGGTGCACTTTGTAGTTCTACAGTTACAGACTGTAGTCCATCTGTTTCTCTGCATACTTTGTTAGCCCCCTTTAACCCTGTTCTTCAGTTGTCAGGACCCCCATGGACCCTCACAGAGCAGGTACTATTTGGGTGGTGGATCATTCTCAGCACTGCAGTAACACTGACGTGGTGGTGGTGTGTTAGTGTGTGTTGTGTTGGTACGAGTGGATCAGACTCAGCAGTGCAGCTGGAGTTTTTAAACACCATGTCCACTCACTGTCCACTCTATTAGACACTCTTATCTTGTCAATCCACCTTATAGATGTAAAGTCAGAGACGATAGCTCATCTGCTGCTGCACAGTTTGTGTTGGTCATCCTCTAGTTCTTCATCAGTGGTCACAGGACGCTGCCCACAGGACGCTGTTGGCTAGATATTTTTGGTTGGTGGACTATTCTCAGTCCAGCAGCGACACTGAGGTGTTTAAAAACTCCAGCAGCACTGCTGTGTCTGATCCACTCGTACCAGCACAACACACACCAACACATCAGTGTTACTGCAGTGCTAAGAATGATCCACCACCCAAATAGTACCTGCTCTGTGAGGGTCCATGGGGGTCCTGACCACTGAAGAACAGGGTAAAAGGGGGCCTGTTATGCCTGATTGGTGTGTGTCTTGTTGTTTACTTGTAATAAGATCACTCGAGATGGGTGCTAATACCAGGTATGAACAGGGCCTTAGAATGCGTAAGTTAAGCCTAAATTCAACCTCATAAGACCTCATATGTTCAATTTAAGAGAAATGTTCCTTATGAGCAAAATGTTGTATGGCATATAATGCATTTTTTCTAAAGTTATTTAGCCTAACATGGGTCCTTCTACAGAAATGTCCATTTTTGTGTCCCTAGCGTTTACAGATATATTACACTTGAAAAACATGTTAGAGTTGCAATTTATTTATATTTTAAAATAAAACAATGTTATTTTAACAATCACACCTTCTTGAGCCTCAATTTAGCAATATTACTTTTTAAATCAATTATCTAGAATTCCAAGCACCACAGAAGAGCTCGTCCTCACAGTCATGTGTGAAGGCTGAGGCCATATTTTGAAGAAAAAACACGTTTTTCTGCAATTTTAACTACAATAATCTATACATGACTATGGAATATATAAATGACATAAAGAAAACAAATGCCAAATAAATATTATAAAATATATAATGAAAGTTGTGGTCCCCAGGAGTCGTGTCACTGGTGTTACTGCATTATAGAAAATCTCTTATTTTGAAATAAAAGTCACACTGATGACATCACTCGACTTCCTTTTACCTGTTTTCTGAGGATCTATGAAGAAAAGCACATGGTGAGTCCACTGTGTCTTTCAGTTATCAGAGATTTTCTCATTTAGCTCATGATTTCATATGAAGCTTTTAGCTGAAGTCACTGGTGTGACCGACTTTATTCTGAGGTCATTGTGAAAAAAAAACAAATGGATTAAATTCCATATTTTAGTGGATATTCCATGATTGACAACATGTGGTTTGATGCTCTGTAGCAGCCATTTTGTAAAATGCATTTTTTATTAAAAACGTCTCTGGTGTTACCTTTCTTATGTGTAACACCAATGAGGATCAGTAACGCCAGTGACTCCTATGGACAGATAGAAAAGTGGATTTTTCTGTAGAATGACCCAAATATTACCATTTTTTTTACAGTCAATCACTTTAACAAGAACCATTGCAAGTACACATTTCAACCTTCTGTTAGGTTCTTTACATTTTGCATAGATTTACATTTAAGTTTGAGTCATGTTACAGAGCTACATGAATGTAGCATTAGGTGTCTAGCCTAAGTACTCTCATTGGTAAAGTGTGATATGTTGACTGGGCAGGGAATTGAATCCTAGTTTGGACCCTGTGATGGACACCTATGTTGCCACTACTCTGTACCGACTTGGAGGTTTGGTGACACATTCTGTCATTCTTAATTTGGGCCATTTTCGCAGCCTCAGATTAAGCTTGTGCATTGACTAAAAAGAATTTCCAGTGGTAAATCACCACTGACGCTTCAACTCAGTCCAAGAGTAGATTTTCCCATGTCTGGGAAACAGGGCTTTTATGCTTCCTGCACTTTGTGGGCTTATCTGCAGCTTAAATAACTGGATTTTTACTCTTGAAACTTCCTTTGCCTGCTTATCTTGGATGTCACCAAAGGCAAGTTCCAATGCAAACAGAGCCTGCTTTTCTACAGTCTGCATCAAATCAGCAAACTTAGCTCTACTTTGCTTTTCTCATGAATTTCACATTCCACAAACCACCATTCATCTCATAGTTTGAATGGCATGTTTAATATCACAGATATTTGGCATCGTAGCTCTCTTCTGTTCTCAGCACTACAAGCTGATTGCCATTTTGCTGTGACAATTTCCTTTGTCTCTAACTCCTCTGTGTGTTCAGACAAATCCAAAATAAAGTCTCGACTGCTATCGATTTATCTTTTTGTGTTCAAAGGCTTTCATGCCAGACATGAATATGCAGGGAATCATCATAAAGCACTGGACACTTCAGTTGGCAGAAGTGAGAGATTCTGCTGCTTAAACCAAAATATCTTTATCATTTTTGCACATACAATTTTGCAAAGGGAGCATGTTTTAAATCATCATGCTGCTGTGTAGTTATTGTTTTTCTCAAAGGTGACTGAATACTTAACCCTTAGAAACCTAAAATTTCAGGGAGTGGTTTTGGTATTTTTTGGGGTCAATTACAATTGCAATTATAAAGTATTTACATGTGACACTCACACATGCATGTTGTTATTTTCAGAAGACCCTGGGCTGCTCAGATATGCCATTGTTTGACATGTAAATGCTAACAGAAATTTTATATCTTTATTAATTTGGATCATTTCAGATCAAAAATTTACCCATCACCTGCTAAATTTTGTATTTTTTTAATTACAGAGACCTTAAAAACAAGTGCGGTTGTAGTTATCTTTTCAGAAATTGTTAGTCTGGAGTGTCTGTGAGCTGAAAGTGCAGTAATTTTGATGGTGATTCATTCTGTTGGTTATTATGAGTAAAATAAACAACTAACATAAGGCGGACGTGTTTTTTTTATTGGTTTAATACTCAAAATCAATGTAAATTGAAAGCCCTTTGTTTATAATATGAAGGCTAAAAGCAGAGATGTACTATAACAGTAGTGGGTGGTTTGGGTGATTTTGGAGCTGGATCTCTGGCTGATGGACGGTCACAGGTGGATGAAATCACTCTGGATGGTGAAGCAGAGTCTGATGAGTGATCTGATGTGTGAATCATGTCACTGTTTTAACCCTTTGTTGGAATATGAAGGCCAAACAGCAGAACAATAATATCAGGATTTTAGGTGATGTTCTGAGCCAAATTACTCACTGGTGCTGATGTCACAGCTCAATGACATCATGCTTGCTTGTTAGGGGTGGGTCTGCTGAATGTCCTGATATCTGGATCATGTTTGTATCTTAAACCGTTCTGAAGTTATGAAGGCTAGAAGTGACCTACTGTTTTGTCTCCGGGTCCTATGGGTTAATACAATACTTTATCTAATACAGCACGCTGCACCATTTAAGGTGGAATGGGATAATTCGAATGAGAAACTGACTTCAGCTTTATGACTTTTTAGTGTTTGACAGTTTCTCATAGCAGATTAAACGTATCAGGAAACCAGCTGGAGTGATTATAAATGCAAATAATTCCATTTGTATCTGAATAATCCATTTTGGTCTTAACTCTTCCTTTTTGCCTTTTCGTTAGCTGCTAGCTAGATGAGACTGTTGTGTTAAAACTGTGTTGAACATTTAGCAGAGCTTTATTTTACTGTAAAGGAGGATTGTTTTATTTTCACCTAAACATCTAATTCTGCTCTGGAGCCAAAACAGGGCAGTAAAAAAGCCGCATGTTGCTGACCCCTAGTCTAGGACACGCTCCAGTCTTCGCGGGCCAAAGCACTGCAGACTTCAGCACGCTGCCTCATTTAACACATCGAATTCAGCTCATCAGATAATTAGCAAGTGTTAGATGAGGGTAAACACTGATGTCTGAAGCACTTTGGCCTGGAAGTTAATCAGTTTGACATGCCTGGTCTAGGAGCATAGCAGTGCAAATCAGAGAGGAGGAACAGACAAGCAAGATTTAAGTAAATGAGGACTTTTATTAAAGCAAACAAATCTTAAGTACTTGAACACTTGAGCTAATCTGTGTGGAACAACAGCTCAGATTTATATTGTACACTGTCACCAAACAGTCAATAGTGGCAATAACAGTCCAGAGACACCACAGAGGTTTAGGTCAGCTATACTGACATCCACATCATATACACAAAGTGACTTATTTTGTGAGGTTTCAGCTCACATGCATGAAGATTTCTGGTTTTGGTGGTAAGGAGGTTACAAATCAGTTTACACTAGCTAGAACTATTAAATTCATAGACTTTAGTGCCTAAAGTGTTAGCCCAAAGGAAAATGACTTCGATAAACTGAAATAAATGTCTACTGTTAGCGTTTTTTAAAGCAAAGGCTGTTTTGTCAGTGAGGGCAAAAGGACGGGGTCTATAAGCCAACAAACAGTCTGACTTTGCATCTTGTCATCATAAAACTTGATTACATTTTCAGTTCTGTGTGTCTCCAGTCATTGCTGGCTAAACGCAGCACATACTGCAATATGTATTATGTCAATATGTTGTTATTACTTGAAAAGACTATGATCACAGAATATAGCTTATAAATACTTTTAAAACACATTTTCAAAAACTTCCCTAAATCCAGAAAAGTTTGTTGGTATGAAGATGTCAACACACAAAGTATTGTGTATAGGGATACACATGGATTTGTTTGGACGAAGCTGTAATCAGGGTTAGGGTTGGTTAATGTTCAGTGATTGCAGTTTAATCTTCAAAGTATTTGCCACAACTTTTCCTTACCTCCCATATGGAAAAAAAATCCAAATGTATTCATCAAAAATATTTTTGCAATGTATAAAAATGGCCAAAACATGTTAAATATATTTTTCAAAATGCATTTTAAAAGTATTTTCCAAATGTATTCATCAAATATATTTTTTGCAATATATGAAAATGGCCAAAAATGTATTTGTTCAATATGTTTTGGTCTCAGATTATCTACAGATGCTCAAATTGTTAACAAACTATCTGTTGATTTGGGTTAGGGCTAAGACCAGGGTGAGGGTTGGGTTTAGGTTTTGGGTTGAGGTTAAGGTTAGGGTTTAGGATTGTAGCCAAGTTTAGAGTTAAAGACAATTATGGTCAATTTAGTAGATATTTAGTTGAACGTGATTTTTAAGCAAATTAAGTATCTACAAAGCATCTAAAGTGGACTGTCCAAATAAAGTGTTACCCAAATATTTTAAATGCATTTATTTGTATATGTTATTATATTTTTTTATTTGTTTGTAGTTTTCACAAAGATTACAGACGTAACTAAACAGTACTGACTTCTGTGATCTGCACTGTACTTTACATTAACCATGTACGTCTGCAGTGAGACTCACACATACAAAGTATTTCACATAAACAGGATAATAAATCATAACTGCATTTTCACAGAGTATCAATATCTACAACACTCGCTTCTGTCCTGTTAAAGGATCATTTGATCAGATTTAAAATTAAGATACTGGAAAACAAATTAATTTCTAAAGGTATCAGACAGTGAAGAGCATTCATTCATTTTTGTATGGTACATTTCCATGTGTAATATTTCCTCATACATACATACAATACAAATGTATTTTAAAAATATATTTGGTTAATATGGCAATAAATTCTGAAATATATTTTAGTGATTGGGATGTATTTCAGCATGGACTGTAATGTACTTGACATGTATTTCAAATATACTGAAATGTATGTTCATATGCTTTTTCCAACTGCATGTGGTTTGTAATCACATTTATTGTTTAATTGCTTTTGAGTTCTTCAAATCATTTTATGTCTGTTTGTGTGTTGTGTAGCGGACAACCTGTGCAATGTCGTGGAGCATGGCTGTGAGCACCAGTGTGTGAGTACTCCAGGATCGTACTACTGCATCTGCCCTGAAGGTCATCTTCTACAGGACGATGGAAAGAGCTGTGGAAGTATGCAAACTCACATCTATTCATTCTGTTTAAAATCTTCCTTGATTTTCCATGATCAGGTTTGAGTTTGTTCAGATAACACAGCAGGCAAAAGACATCAGTTATTTGCATGTTCATAACAACCTTGAGAAACAGGCCAGCAGAGCTTACAGGTTACAACACATGTCAGGACTCCAGTCATAGCGGACAACAGCACTACAGAGTTTAGCATTCTACCTCATCAAACACTTGGTTTAACTCATCAGCTGATTAGCAAGGCCTTCACGAGTTCAGAATTCAGAGTGACAGAAGCAGAGAAAAGACATTCATGCAGAGAATCTGCCGAGAGCTTGACGCCTCTGGGTAACATAAAAACGCTGCTGTCAGACCAAAACCTTCTCCATTTTTGTAGTTTTTCACTTTTTGACATAATTTGAAAATAACTGTTGACTTTTATATTCTCTGTAAATTTCATGATGATTGAACCAAAAGAAATGGGCCAAAATTACTTGGAAAGATGTCTGGTTCCATTGACTTTCATTGAAAGTAAAGTATGTTTTTTTGTTCTCCTGTAAAGTTACCATTTTGGAGATATGAGTTTTTGTTCCGACAGCAGCGACATACTACATTTTGTGAATCTCATTACCTACAACATGCTTTCTGTCACTTGCAGGCTGCAGATCCTCCAACATTGACCTGGTCCTCCTTATTGATGGCTCTAAGAGCGTTCGGCCCCAGAATTTTGAGCTTGTTAAGCAATTCGTCAACCAGGTCGTGGACCAGCTAGATGTCTCTGGTCACGGAACACGTGTGGGTCTCGTTCAGTACTCCAGCAGAGTGAGGACTGAGTTCCCACTCAGCATGTACAAGAGCAAGGAGGAGATCAAGGCTGCTGTGATGAAGGTGGAATATATGGAGAAGGGAACCATGACTGGGCTGGCACTGAAACACATGGTGGAGAACAGTTTCTCTGAGGCCGAAGGTGCTCGCGCTGCCTCAAGGAACATCCCCCGGATCGGGACTGGTGTTTACTGATGGTCGTTCTCAAGACGACATTACAGAGTGGGCCAAGAAAGCCAAGGATGCAGGTAAGCAATGACATAATTGGGCAACATAAAAGTGTAAGATTAATCAGTGTTTTTAATCAGTTTAATTCAGGCCTGAATGATACAACATTTCAAACAATAGATCATTTAGAATGAAATTATCAATAAATACTGACATATTATCTATTTAAAACCATACACTCTTAAAAAAGAGGGTTTCTCAAGGGTTCTTTAGTGAAAAAAATGGTTCTGTATGGAACCATGAACACTCAAAGACCCCTTGCATGTTTAAAGGGTTCTTTGCATCATGAAAGGGTTCTTCACATTGATGGAAAACCTGCATTAATGTGCTATAGATGGTTCCGTAAAGCACCTTTTTGAAAAGGGTTCTATATAGCACCCAAAAGGGTTCTTCTATTGTTACAAGCTTGGCATCATAACAATAGAAGAACCCTTTTGGGTGCTGCATGGAGCCATTTTTAAAAAGGTTCTTGATAGGACCATCTACAGCACATTCTCCATAAGTCTGAAAAACGCTTTCATGATGCAAAGAACCCTTTAATCATGCAAAGGATTCTTTGAGTGTTCATGGTTCTATAAAGAACCATTTTTTCACTAAAGAACCCTTGAAGAATAATCTTTTTTAAGAGTGTAAGTATTTTGCGGTAACATTTAGTTTATCTAGAACAGTTTCCATTTGCACCAGAGGGGGGCACAAAGCTTTAAGGCTTTTTCAGGCTGAGGTTTACACAAAGAAAACAAACAAACAAACAAACAAAAACACATCAAAACAGATGGTAATTTTTGAAAACATAAACATTACTAAAGCTTATGGTTAGTCTCCAGATGGGATCTTGTAACAAGAATGTCTGGGGATAGCCATGAGAAATTTGGGCTAAATGTTGGAGAACGTAGACTTATTAGAGTGTGAAATTTCAACCAACATCTCGTGAAGGCAGAGCTCAAAATAGGGGACAATGTTCATCAACATTGTCTTATGGACAACAAGCCTGTTGTTAGCTTCACAGATATACATTCATGTTTATTTATCTCTGTTTAGTCAATTGGTGTAACGTAAGTTAGCATGGCTGAAAGTCCCAAAACTCCAAGTAAGTATGTAGATGTGTGTATGGAGAACAGTTACATTAGCTAATGATTTTTTTTGTCTGTTTTGTTTGTTTGGCTTGTGTTATTACTCCAGACATTAAAAGAGCCACACTAGAGGAATTTGGGGGCAGGATTTTATTCAGATATTATTCAAAGAAAAGTGATAACTTCATCACTGTTACCACTCAGTGGATCCATTTTTATCCCTTGTCTTTGTGTGCATGTTTAATAAAATGGCACATTGGTCCATTTTTTATCCTCAAAAATCAGATAGCATGTGGATGTGGGCCACTTCTGGCTGAGATATGGCACTGCTGGCCCACTCTCAGGACTGGCAATCTGCATGTGAGCCAAGGGTGACCCACATATTGAAGACACAGATTTGGCCCACATGTCCCAAAACAGATTTTGTCCACTTATGGCACAGATATGGCACTGCTGCCTCCTGGCAAACAGCATGTGAGCTCAAAGTGGCCTACAGATAAAAATGCTAATATGCCCAAAACAGATCTTGGCCAGATAATGTAAGTGACTACATCCAGTCTGCACCTGCAATATCTTTAGTTTAGAACAGCAGGAAGAACTGCAACAACAATGACAGGTCTTGACTAATATTGTTAAAAACTGTTGACCTGTACTAGGCCTATATCATCTGACTGCAAATCGTGGTAATTAAATTAATTTGCTTTTTAATTTAAATCCCTACAATTTAAATAGTACAATGTACAATAATTTGAGACACATATAATAAATTCAAATGAGTACTGACTTACAGCTACCCCTGGTTATTATGTATGTAAGACAGATTTGTAATATATGCATAGCCTGTATGAAAAAGATATACACCGATCAGGCATAACATTATGACCTCCTTGTTTCTACGCTCATTGTCCATTTTATCAGCTCCACTTACTATATAGGTGCACTTTGTAGTTCTACAGTTACAGACTGTAGTCCATCTGTTTCTCTGCATACTTTGTTAGCCCCCTTTTACCCTGTTCTTCAGTGGTCAGGACCCCCATGGACCCTCACAGAGAACATACTATTTGGGTGGTGGATCATTCTCAGCACTGCAGTAACACTGCTGTGGTGGTGGTGTGTTAGTGTGTGTTGCACTGGTACGAGTGGATCAGACACAGCAGTGCTGCTGGAGTTTTTAAACACTGTGGCCACTTACTGTCCACTATATTAGACACTCCTACCTTGTCAGTCCACCTTGTAGATGTAAAGTCAGAGTTATGTTATGCCTGATTGGTGTATATATATATATAACATTCTTTAGAACATTCTTTATTGTAATTTTCACAGTTAAGATGCAGTCACATGTAAAAGTAAATTTTTTACTGATGATTTTATGGCGTTTATTGTTAATTATCAATAAATCACTAAGTGATCCAGCCTTAGTGTCTTTTGCCAATCACCATAAAGTAGAAAGAAGAGGAAAAGAAATGTAAAATGAGCTTCTCATTCAGGTTTGTTAAAGCAGGGAAATATAACACTGTACAGTGTTGGAGGGACCAAAGACTGGTCAGTATAAAAGGGCCTTTTGATTAGAGCTCAGTCCATTTAGAAAATCTCTTACACTACTTTTGGTCTACCTGTAGCAGGAAATGGGTCTTATATGTTCATCTGAAGCATCAACACATTTATGCTGTGCTCAAGAGCTGCATTATCCTGTTTTACAGGCATCACTATGTATGCTGTTGGTGTGGGCAAAGCTGTGGAGGATGAGCTGAGACTGATTGCCTCTGAACCTGTGGAGAAGCACTTCTTCTACACTGCTGACTTCACTGCCATCAGCCAGATTGCAGAGAACCTCAAACTCAATGTCTGTGCAGGTATGAGAGGAAAACAGAGCAACACAAGGTAAAGAGGTTTGAAATTACACAGCGAACACCGTGCAGGCCATTAGACATAATCCTGTCCGGCCCGCAAAAGTATTTTAATTTTCTATTAATATTAGCCCGTGCTGCACTACAGTCCCCAGCATGTATTGCAATCTAAGGTGCACTCTGACTCTCCTACCCCTAATAACAATCTATGGGACAGCGGTTACACCTCAGTTTCACACCAGTCATATCACCAAACACACTAACTGCATTTCAGCGAACGTCAGCTCAGCAGCTCAGAAACTGAGCTCAAGTATTAGTATTAATACTAAGAGGGCAGTTGTGGGCTGGAGGTTAGGGAGCCAGCCTTGTGACCGGAAGGTTGCTGGTTCGATCCCCTGAGCCGACAGTACTTGAGCAAGGCACCTAACCCTCAACTGCTTCCTGGGCGCTGCGGGTAGGGCTGCCCACCGCTCCAGGCAGGTGTGCTTACTGCCCCCTAGTGTATGTCTTTACTAGTGTGTATGTGGTGTCTCACTGCACTGATTGCGGAGGTGAAATTTCCCTGTTGTGGGACCAATAAGGGTCACTTAATCGAATCTCCTGTAATCTAATGAACTTGCAGCAAAAAAAGATGTCTAGTTCAATCAAATAGGTAGGTTTAAAAGACTGAGCTCCATGGGACATTTCAGTTCGAATATATTGGGTGTGTCTCAAAACCTGCCGCTGTCTACATAGGCAGCTGTCTAAGTAGGCAGCATTCCAACTGTCATCTATCTTTATAAGATAGATAAATGAGACACTCTAGTTAGACAGCAGTGACGTCGCCGCTTGTTCCCGCGCACTGCACGAGACCGGCGTTTACTTACCTCAGCCGTCAGAATCACATTTAGCCAACATGGATCCTGCTCTGGCAGTTGATATAGCGATTTTAATTGTATTTGCTCTGAATGAAACAGCAAAATAGACAATAGTTGTGGTCAAACGCGGAAAGTATAGGATATTTGAGCACCTTTATGACTAAAAAACAGATAAATACCCCAGAAAATCAGAATAACTTACATTTGGAGATGACGTTGCTGCTCGGCGAAGCGCTTCTGCCCGCCATGTTGAAACTAAAGTTGCGCCGCGCTGCATTGCGGGATTGCCTCAGCGGCTAAGGAAACATCCGATGCTCTCTTGATATTTGGGCAAAATGAGAGACCTCAGTAGGCAGCATATTTGAGATATCTAAGAATTGGGACAGCCTTCTTGTCGGGAGCGCGCATATTGTGACGTAAAATGCTGTCTATGTAGAGAGCTCACTAGGTTTTGAGACACACCCACTGAGTATTCATGTAATACTTCAAGGTCTCTTACAAGTCTGTATTTTACTGCGTGTATTTTGAATAAACAGTGGCCAGTTCAGGTTACAGCACAACATTAATTAAAAATGGAATCATTTTTTTTTTCTCTGGCCCGCAGATTTGTTGAGATTTTTTAATATGGCCCCTTTAGTGGTTGAGTTTGACACTCCTGCACAAGACCCTATTGAGATATGCGTTATTGAACAGTGCAATACATTCATGCAAGGAGATGAACAGTTTAACAGCAGATAGCAAAAGAGTTACAAAAGCCACATCACACCAGTTTATAAGTAGTACAATATACAACAGTATTAATTTCTGGAAGGTTCTTTGATTGATTTAGGGTTCATAAATACATTTCAAGGTTTTTTGAAAACAAAAACATTTTTTGATGTATATTTGTGTATGTACAGTTTTGCCTAACATAACAAAATATTCACAATCCAGTTCTCTAGCATTTGCACCAACAAAGGGTGACTTTTGAAGGAGGCTTGAGTTACGAGATACTTTTCTTCTGAAACAAATTGAAAAATCATTACAGAAAACTTTGCAGTAGACACAGTCCTTAAAGAGGTGATTAGTGGTTTCATCAAATCAGAGACAACAAGAACAATCTACCATAATAGCAGAATTAAATTAAACCAGTCTATTATTTACTGGATAATGTTGTGAACAGTTTCACGGGAGACCTCTACCATTTCATTGGAAAAAAGAAAATCCGTTCTAAGAATCCAGTGGAGCAGGTTTAACCCCTTAACATTCCAGGCTTATTACATACTAAGGCTTATTATCCAATAACTACAAGGACTTCAGTGCAAACTTATGGAGCTTTTTTGGCTTGGCAAGAGTGTAAGCATGTGGACTGAGCTTCTATATGACGTCTGATAAATTGTTATTTAGCACCATCTAGTGGACACTGAGGATATTGTTTTTCAGTAGGGGCTGAACAAACAGCATTCAGTGTATTAGTCTACTGTATGTAAGCATTCTTGCACCAGTGTTGAATCATGTTCCTAATATAAAATCTGATGTCTGTCCTTTTTAATGTTTTTCAGAGGAAAGTCAGGGTGAAATTGAGGTGAAGGACCCCTGTGCCTGTGACAGCCTTGTGGAGTTCCAGCAGGCCACCATGACCACTCTGAACCAGCTCAACCAGAAACATATCCTTTACAGCTCCAGGTCTCACCAACCAAAATATTATCCATAGTTCCAGCAGAACAAACCAAGTGACATAATCATTTAAAAATGGTGCTAATATACACCGATCAGGCATAGCATTATGACCACCTCCTTATTTCTCCGTCTATTTTATCAGCTCCACTTACTATATAGGTGCACTTTGTAGTTCTGCAATTACAGACTGTACCCCCCTTTTACCCTGTTCTTCAGTGGTCAGGACCCCCATGGACCCTCACAGAGCAGGTACTATTTGGGTGGTGGATCATTCTCAGCACTGCAGTAACACTGACGTGGTGGTAGTGTGTTAGTGTGTGTTGTGCTGGTACGAGTGGATCAGACACAGCAGTGCTGCTGGAGTTTTTAAACACTGTGTCCACTCACTGTCCACTCTATTAGACACTCCTACCTTGTCAGTCCACCTTGTAGATGTAAAGTCAAAGACGATAGCTCATCTGCTGCTGCACAGTTTGTGTTGGTCATCCTCTAGTCCGTCCGGTGGTCACAGGACACTGTTGGCTGGATATTTTTGGTTGGTGGACTATTCTCAGTCCAGCAGTGACACTGAGGTGTTTAAAAACTCCAGCAGCACTGCTGTGTCTGATCCACTCGCACCAGCACAACACACATTAACACACTACCACCACGTCAGTGTTACTGTAGTACTGAGAATGATCCACCACCCAAATAGTACCTGCTCTGTGAGGGTTCATGGAGGTCCTGACCACTGAAGAACAGGGTAAAAGGGGGCTAACAAAGTATGCAGAGAAACAGATGGACTACAGTCTGTAACTGTAGAACTACAAAGTGCACCTATATAGTAAGTGGAGCTGATAAAATGGACAATGAGCGTAGAAACAAGGAGGTGATCATAATGTTATGCCTGATCGGTGTACATTGTATTGTATTGAGGGGCAGCCAGGACATATGGTGGGTCCTGAAAGTCTGAGACTGCTTTAAAAATCTGCAATTTTTTATTTAAACCTGGAAACAGAAAGTTTTGAATTTTGAAACACTTAAAACAAAGAATAGCTATGATAAGTAAAATGAATAAAAATAGGTAATTCTCCATGTGGAGTGAGAATTTAAGTGGATACGTTTTTAAAAAATCAAATTCTTTCATCCCAAAACTAAATTATCTTAATACATCCATTAACATCTCCTATTATCATATATGCAGAAAGCAAAGCTTAATTCCAAACATATTTTACAGTCACTGGTGTTGTATGAATATGGTATAACACCAGTGACGATGACTCCAGTGACATTCTGGTTAAAACTGAGGATTTTGTAAATTGGCTGACTCGTTGGTGGTTCAGGTGACCTTGTGCAACTATTTAAAATCAGTAATAAAAATGACAATTTTAATTATCCAGCCATTAAAGCACATAACACAGATGACACATAGAAGTAAAAATATTTAATTAATAAATTAATGAAATATAGTAAGCGAGTGTGACTCGCCTTCACAGGCCTTGAGCTGCTTCCTCTCTGATGAGCCTCGACCAAAAGCAGTTTAATAGAGCTGAAAATACTGTGTTAAAATGTATTATAAGAGGCCTGATAACACCAGTGACCAAAATCTCTGACAAATGAATTATTTAAATAAAATAAATTTTCTAAAGGTAGTACAACGTTAATGATACAAAAAGTAAAGATGAATCTGTTTTATACAAATTCCTAAATTCTTAAAAATATTGTTTTATATTAAAATGGTTTTGGAAAAGTGTTATTTAATCTTAGGTCAACTGTGTAAATGTACATACTGATGTTTGGAGCTGTGTCTAATATTTAAAGTATCTTTTTAAGCCCTGCAGCCTGTGACATGGTTTCCCCTCCAAATGGAGAATGACCCAGATATTTAACGTTTATTGGTCTTCATTCAAATTTAAGCACACTTGTGACATGAATCACGTTAAGGTCTTCGCCCAAAAAGGTTCAGATTTGATTTTTAGTCTTATTCTTTCCATTGACTCTCGTGTTTGGATCACTTTCAGGAGGATTTGATCTGCTCACCAGAGCCTTTTGCCCAAACTTGTGGAGCTCATGCAGCTCGAGGGCATGCTGTCATTAAAGCAAAAGTGGGACACACCACCAAATTCCTAAATTCATGTGAATATTTCAAAGATTCTTTTCACTCAAATTGTAATGCTGACAACATAATTTGTACGGTTATTATTGCACTATTTTATTCAGTGTATCAAGTTAAAAAATAATGCAAAATAGAAGAATTTTCAGTCTCAGACTACTGGACTCCACTACATAAAAGGGGCTGACCACAACTCACTAAACTGTCTCTTTGGCTGTTTGTGTGGCCTTTCACATAATTTATTTAAGTCAGAAGACCTTAAACAGAAGCTGTTCTGTAAAGAATGAGAGTATAGAGTGTCTCTTACATCACTCCAGACTGGCCTCTCTGGTCTGCTTCCTCACAGGAACCGTCCAGACCAAGCAGACCACAGCTTCAATGCCTCTTTGTTACCTAATCTCTCATTCTGACATTCATCTGGCCTCAAAAGAGCACTCTGTCCAGCTTTGGAGTCCAGTAACAGAAATCCCCCAATGACAGTAGATGCGTTTTATGCACAGTTTCAAAGTTTATTGATTATTGTTTTGCTTATTATTTTTATGTTTTCTCAGAAGTGAAAAATCATAACATCATTTTAACAAGAAAACTAAAATAATCTACACATTGGAAGACACAGACACAGTGGGCCAGATTAATAAAGCTCAGCAGTAACTTTGCTTCAGCGTGCAAAATATGCAGCACTGTAATTAAGTCCTGCTCATAAAGTCACTGTGGTGTGATCAGTGCACTGCTCTCTCCTACAACTGCATTTTTTAATGAGTTCCAACTAAAACCCAATCAAAACTGAGATGTTAATGAGCTAATGCACAATCAATGACCAAAAAGAAAACCAAAAATCAGAGCTGCAGGTTCTAAGAAAAGAAATACTCTTTGGTAAAATGCAGCAACAAATAAGCAATGGAAATAATATAAATTAAAATATTTGGTAAGGAAACAATATCAGTTATAGTATTCAAGGTAAAAATAACTTCCATCCACTTTTAAAAGATAGAAAGACAAATAAAAATGGGAAGAAAAAGCATCCAGATATTCAAGTGTGGTAGCACTTGCCATAAACTGGATAGATTCACTGGGTTAATGTTTTTAATTTTTAATTAATTTATTTTTAATTCTCTTTTTAAATCTTAACAGAGCAGCAAAATTGTTTCTTTCTGTAATGTTTTTTTTTAAGTGATTGGCTGAGCTGATTCTGTATTTATGAGCTCTGAAATTCTTCTTAAGTAAAGTCAAATGCAGTTTGCAGTCCATGTTGCTCAATCTAAACAGATAAAAACTGCTTTTAAGTTGTATGGTTAACTGAGTGGGTCTATACGGAGCTCTGCTGGTGACATCCTGTATAAATAAAAATAATGCGTGGCCACCACTTAACAAGGCATGGGAACTAGATAATTAAGTCGTGGCCACGACTTAGTAAGGCATGGGAATGAGATAATTAAGCCCTAAACACAGCTTAATAAGGCATGATCTTGTTCACACGCCTTACTAAGATGTAGCCACAACATAATTATCTCATTCCTATGCCTTATTAAGTTGTGGCCGTATAATAAATATAATTAAAAAATAAATATGCATAAATGTGGCGTGGCCACGCATTATTTTTATTTATATGGGATGTCACCTGCAGAGCTCCATAGGTCTGCGGGTGTAATTTGTTGAGAACTTTGTGAGATTAGTGTTACACTGATAATCAGTACTGTATAGGTATCAGTAATGATGCTACCGATTAAATACTGTATTGGTGTCAATAATAGAGAATACCAATTACAAGAAGCAATTTCTGCAGCACACACTTGCTACTCAGTGATGTGTACACGAGCAGCAGTAGATGGAACTAAATCAAGCGCCATATCGGCGATGTGGGATTATTTCAAGTTTGTAGTAGTAAAATTGCTCATTGTAAAATCTGTAATCTGTATAATGGCAGCATTTCAAGGGGGAGCCCATAGGATAGCTGATTGAAATTCTGAAGGGATTAGCCACCAAAACATGCAGATATCTCAATGTTACCCCTTTTAGCTGAATGTTAGAGTCAGGGATCTTTTAGTAATCACTCATCTCCCACTGTGTAGTCAGTTATAGTCCGAGTTAAAGTTAGTCCATGTAAGGGCCCAGCCTGCACCGCCGGCCGCCAGCAGAGGGCAATGGCGGCGAGGCACCACAAGTTCAGGGAACTTCAACTCCCAGAAGCCCTCGGGCTAATTAGGCCCAACCTGGCACACCTGTGGACTCCTCTACTTAAGGCTGTGGCAAACAGCAGCCCTTTGTCACACCTTTGTAGAGGGGTGACTGGTATGGTGCTTAGCCCAGGTGGGGAAAGGAAAAGAAAAGAAGGGTGGAAAACCAAAAGAAAGAAATTGCCCCAAAACTACTTAAAAGCCAAAAAGAAGGCTTGAACAAGAAATGGTTCCAAGCCATACAAAAAGGGTTTGCTCCTCAAAGTCCAAACAGGTGAAACATAAAGCCAACCTTCCTCTGTGTTTTTTGTTTTCTGATATCTTTTATTTCACTTTTCTATCTCAGTCTTTGTTTGAACAAGCTGCTTTCAGTGTTCCCTTCATTTGCCTTTTTCTTCACCTGTGCTTCCCGGTGGCGCAGCAGTAGCTGCTCGGAGTTCAAACCTGGCTCTGAGCCACCTCAACCCCAATGTACACAATCACCCAATTCATACTCCATCACCTCAGTAAATTCATTTAAGACCCAAAACGGGTTCTGCCAAGCTTGTAACAATAGAAGAACCATTTTCATGCAAAGGGTTCTTTGAGTGTTCATGGCTCTATATAAAACCATTTTCTTTATTAAAGAACCACTGAAGCACCATCTTTTTGCATGATTTAAAGGGTTCTTTGCATCATGAAAGGGTTCTTCAGGCCGATGGAAAATGTGCTGTAGATGGTTTTATATAGAACTTTTTTGAAAATGGCCCTATATAGCACCAAAAATGGTTCTTCTATTGTTACAAGCTTGGCAGAACTCTTTTTGGTGCTATATAGAACCACATACAACACATTTTTTATCAATCTGAAGAACGCTTTCACTATGCAAAGGACCCATTAATCATGTAAAGCTTTCTTTGAGTACTCTTGGTTCTATAGAACCATTTTCTTTACTAAAGAACCCTTGAAGAACCATCTTTTTGCGTATTTCAGAATCTCAAAAAATGTTACACCTGTATCCAAACCTGTCTTATGAAACCTTTTCACAACATTATGTCCTGTTTCCCTTAATTATCTGTTACTGTCAGCAATGACTGTCCGATTGGAGAAGCTGGAGACTCAACTGCTCACAAGAAAATGAGGCTGGAACATCATCTGCAAGCCTGTGGGCTTTAGGTGCTGAGCTCCCTTTGAGGGGGGGCACTCAAGTGATGGCCTAGTCTGGCCCCAGAAAAGAGTTCTACCAAAACCAACGTTCTGTGGGTACAGAACAAGCAAATGAACCGTACCTAAATTTGGAATCGCCGTGCATGACCATACATGCACCGGAGTTCAACATGTGAATTCCTGTGTGGGATACAATTGTCAATATACCCTATTTATACTTGATCTGCTTTAAATGGCTATGAGAAATATTTATGGCAAAGCTTGTATCAGCATTCGGTAGTTATATATTGTTACCTCTCCTTAGTGTACTGTATGTCCATTGAACTCAAAATGGTGTTTTGGCGTTTCAATTCTACCAAACGTATACAAGTGTTTGGACATAAGATCATGTTAGAGTTGTAATTATCTGTACTGAAACAAGCTATGAATGAAATACCTCTTTAAACCACAGTCAGCTTAACAACAATTTACAAAACAGGCAAATCAGTGTCACTTAATCAGTAAAATACAATGAGGCCAAAGCAGTTGTCACCATCCCTTGAGTGCCCTCATAGCATTGTAAAGGCTTATAGTGGACTGCATATAGGTTGGAGATTGAATTATGGAAAGTGACAAAACAATCAAAACCCACTGCAGTAGTTTTAACAGTTTAGTTCTAGGCTAAATGGGATTTTCAGTAGAAGATCTCTATGAAACATTTCTCAGTTGAGAATATCTACCTAAAGTAGCTTTGACCTATTTTGTTTTCAGTCGTGTGAAAATGCCATGTTTTTTAATACTCGTCTGTATTTTGTCCTTGTGCTTTTATATGTTTTCTAATAATCATTTTTTGTAATGTATGAGGATTCTTTATATTCTTTCACCAGATGAAATAAAGACTTAACTTTTCAGAGTGCTGTTGTTGGTTGATTCATGTAACCTCTTTAAATTGGCTTACAAATACTTCTCTTTTGGTAAGAGAGATTGTAGGTCTTTTAGGAAACAGATTATATTATAAAACTAAATATAGTTGTTGTTATTATTATGGTTCCTGTAGTTTTATCATTTTGCCTTAAGTAAACCATAATCTACATTTTTCTTGAACTTTTGTCTGGTTTTATGTTAAAAAAAAACAACTATCTTTATCCCTTAGAATTAAACAGACTGTTTTTGTTAGTGTCTTTAATTTATCGCTGTTGTCAGAAGAAAACTTTATCTCCATTTTTGACATTTTTCAGTTTGACAATTTGAAAATACCTGTTACCTTTTTACATTGTGTGTAAATTTTATGATGAATGGACTAAAAGAAATGGCCCAAAATGTCTGGTTCCATTGACTTACATTAAAAGTAAAGTAGGTTTTTCCTTCTCCTGTTATCATTTCAGAGATACAAGGATTTGTGTGTGTGTGTGTGTGTGTGTGTGTGTGTGTGTGTGTGTGTGTGTGTGTGTGTGTATGTATGTATGTATGTATGTATGTATGTATGTATGTAGCAACAGCTATATATGCTTTGGTTTTCATGATCTCACCGAAAACAATACATTTAACCATGAAAATGAAGCTGGTTTTGCAGCTTAGTTCCCATATATGGACTGTATGGACTGAAAAGTGAACAGTATGTTTTATTTTCAATAAAGCTATAAAGCTACAGAAATTTGGTTTTACAAGATATGGGCCCTTTAATTAATGAAAACTCTTGGGAAATATTTTCACTTAATTCTTTTATACTCGCAACACTTTCACTTGCACCTTTATTGTGAAAAATCACAGAAATTGGAGTACTTAAAAAGGATTGAGGGCCTCAAGTAAACAGACATAATTTTGTCTGTAACTGAGTTTTGGGCCAGTATAATTCTTGTATGACATTTGTATGAATGTGGGTCAGCTGTCCTGAACAAATGGCAAATTCAATATATAAAAAACAGCTTTTGAAGGTGGTCCTGAAAAAAAACATTTTCAAAAATCTGCAGGAAAAAAATGGACCATGTTCATAATATTCACTAAATATAGAGATTAATGAGTACATTTCCTATACGAGTGTATTGCTCTAGGCATAAATGTCGCATTTCATTTTGAAAGATTTAGCAGAAGAACATGACCAGTAGCATTCTGGACATTCTTTTAAGAATCATTCATCATAGTGTTTTTGTTTTTATTTTTTTTAATTTTAGCAATTATTTACAAAGTGAGCCTAAAGGGTGCACTCTCATGGCTTAACAAGGCATGCTAATACCACTTAAGGAAAAAAGGTTCATTGTTGAAATAATCAATGCAAACCTGTATTTTATTTGAATATAGGTGATTTATCATTGCGATTAATTTCCTGCATGCAATTACAAATGATTAGATTTTTAGGTTATGGCAGACATCATATTTTATGTTTTATTAAACACCATCTGAGTTTAGGATCGCCACATAGATTATTTTTTCATAGTGTGATTTAATTCATAGATAGATAGTGAGATTAATGCACTGCAAAAAACAGTATCTTGGCAAGTTAAACTGTCTTAAATCTAGTTGATATCTAATTCCTCATGTTGATATTGTCAGCTAATAATGAGTTGTTTACCTTTATGTCTAGATGTGTTTTACTTGTATTGAGCAATTAAGTACGCTGGGGGCTTTTCCCATATGTAGTGAACTTTGTCAACATTTAATGAGTCACAAAACTTTTTCACCCTTAAGGCAGACGCTGTAATAACTTTTGTAAACATACGCAGCCCTGTTAGTGATCAACATCAGTGCCTCAGTCTCAGAGGTGTGTCAGTCTCCTCACGCAATCAAAAGGTAATTTCCAAAGAGACCAAAATAAACAAGCCAAAACAAAAGCTTGTCAGATCCTAATTGGCCTTAAATGTTTTTTAGGAACTCTTTAACTCATCGTGAACTTTACTGCCGATCTCCGCTGATGTCCTAATTAGTCCCTGGGATGCATTATGTGTTTTTGAAAAACAGCTATCCCTGCCTGGGCTGACCTTTTGCCTGAAGAGCCTAATGAGAGCTCAGGGGCTCGAGGTTCAGCTACGTCTCTCAGTCCTGGCTCTTTTAGTCAGGACCCGGTGGAGACTGAAATGTCAGAGGGTCCCTCTAGCCCTCGTTAATTACCCTGAAGGTACTGCAGTCTGCCTCAGGGTCTTGTTCTCGGCTATGGAAAACACACATTAGAACAAGAAGTGTTTTTAATTATCTTGCTGGAGAACATGAACAGCATTACTATAATTGAAAGTAATGGAGCTCTGTGCATTTTCAGAATCAAAACCCTGTCAACATGGACGAATTGATAGATAAGACAAACTGTAATCTTGTTTATTTGAAGTACTTGTGTCTGCCTGAGTGTCTGAATTAGTTTGACCACTGAAATTTTCCTTTTACTTTTTTCCCAACTACATAAAATACATGGCGTGATTGGTTTTAAGACAGAATAAAATAATATTAAATGTAATATTAATAAAATCAAATGAAATGCAGACTGAATCAAACCAGTAGGTTTACAGGCTTATCAAACTACTACAAAGGCCTTCTTTTTGAATATGCTGTCTTGTCTAGTATCACCCACACACCATAGCTTTAGCTATGACCTCTGCTATACATCCTATACATCATGGATGTCAAATCTTATCCATAAAGGGCCGGTGCGGCTGCAATTTTCATACATTTCACTTGAAATAATATATATGAATAAATGTTTTATTATTTTATAGTTTCTTACAAATCTAGATATGGTTTAGCATACCAGACCTAAAAGAATGTGCAGGTTAAATCTGTATGAAAACCTACAGTCGCGTTGCCCCCTTTGCGGAAAAGACTGGACATCTGTGATGTATAGGATGTATAGCAGTGGTGTCCAACCTAATAAGCAAAGAGCCGGTGCAGCTGCAGGTTTTCATTCCAACAAAGCAGCAGCTCAGATGATCAGCTGTTTAAAGACTGAGACCAACTGATTAAACCTGTGGAATCCGATGTGCTTTTTGTTTGCAATAAAAATCTGCAGCCACGCTGATCTTTTTTTTTGGATAAGGAGGAAATGCTGATGTATAGTCTGCTGTAATGTTTGCCCAACCATTCCGAACCTCAAGTGCTGCCTGGCATAGGGGAAATACATATGTAGCTGATTATTAATTAATATTACATATGTGGTTATTTTTTTTACATAAAAATCCGCTAAATCTATATCAAGAATTTTGTCAGCACAAGTCCGCTCCTTATCTTTATCATTTCGGACACAAGTAATTAACTTCCTATAGGATCGAAGCCCTGATAATTAAGAATGCTAATTTGCATTTTCTTACAGGTGTAATACATTTTTATTTATTATTTTAGTATGTTGTTTCGGTTTTTCATCACAAACATTGCACTGGGAACCACTTGTCTAAAAAGTATTTAGAGTTATAAAACTATCAATATCTTAAATATTCCTATACATTTCTGGTTATGGCAAATGTTGGCTCTTCGGTCTCTAGAGGCACTAGAATGTCGTCATTGTACACCTTAATTTTTCTGGGAACTAACTTACTATACTTACCGGATTTATTTATTTATCAATCATCCTCTTTTAATAAATAAATAAAGACATTGTAGCTCTCTTAGTTGTTTTAAATTTGTAAAAAAAACTATTAAATCATAAAACTTTTTCATACACATTTCTAGTGATATGTATGAAATTGTCCTACAGCTCACAATGAACTGTATTCCATTGCACATGAATTCTATTGTATTCCTGATCAATTTATCACACTGGCGCTTCTTGAGTTACATGAAATAATAATACTAAGAACATTTTTATGCTTCTCTTATAAAGTTTCAGCAATATTTTTATCTTTCTCCCATTTTGGAAATATAAGGTTTTCTTACAACAGTGATATGTTGCCTGTATGATGGGCTGATTATGAGAAAACTCTGAGATTCCGCAAAAGAAATTCAGTGCTGTCCTTAGTTACTTAATTCAACTAAGTTAAATTAAGTTGGTGATTTAACTTAACATTCTAAGTCAATAATCTACCGTCATTCAGAATCACACTATTATTTGTAGCTTATCTCTCATATGGCCAGTCATAACCACTGTATCAGTTAGGCCTTAACCAGGTTTCCAAGGTTTCTGTTCCCACAACTCCTCCTAACAAACAAGGTTTAACCAATGTAACCTTGAATCAATTGTGCTTCTTAATTTCTCTGGGTTCACGTAAAAGGGCTGAATTTCTTCTTTCTTGTCCACAGCTTCAATGTAATCAGGTGGGTGGGTGTATGGGTAAGTAGGTAGGTAGGTACACACCTGCAATCAAACATTTACATGTCACCTGTCCCTGTATTTAATAAAATATGCTGTAATGTTAAATGTTAGATTTTCCATTGTTTAACAGTCTTATCTGCTGAAGGCAGTCTGTGGTGCTAAAAGGAGCAAGTGATGAACTCCTCAATGCACCCAAACTAAAATGAAGGAAAGTGCATCTGTGGCTGAGCCCATGATCACTGTAGCTTACACTACTTCAGCAACCACTTTAACAGCATACTTGTCCACACTTTCTTCAAGCATGAGATCTTCAGTAAGAATCCTGGATATATCCTCTTCATCCATATGGTCATGGACAACATGATCCAGCCAGCAACTGCAGTATTGCTGAACATCATAAACTACATCTTTTATACGATTAATGTCTGTCTCTGTTGCTTCCTTTTAACGACTGAAGTTCACCACCCTTAGCGCTCCACTGAATCTGGCCGGCAGGGCTACATTGCTATCTGTAACCCGTTACGCCGCATGCAGATGTGCACTATGTGCAGGACATGCGTCCTAATTGGCCTGATTTGGGTCTTCGGTGCTGTCACCATAATTCTGTTCTTTCTCCTGGCCACTGATTTTTATCATTTTTCCCTTCTACCATCTACTGCAATCAAGATTTCATGTTTCATGAGAGA